TTCTGATTGGAAACCTAAGGGGGTGCCCGTCATTAGAAGTGTTACCATCATCACATTATTCAGTTTATGATTTTGCACCATCATTATCCAGTTTGCCATTGCCACATAATAATGTGCATTAGGATGGAAACGAATAGCCACATTCCCATAAATCATGATCAATGGCACAATTCGAACATCCATCATTTAATACATTGTTACCATCATCGCATTCCTCTGTGAAACTTAAAGCAGCTGGTGTCAGAACCTCGTCTCTCACACCATTACCACAATATTTAACACAAGTTGTCAACTCGTAATCTGTTGCTGGAGCACAATTGTACCCCTTTTCATACACACAAGTAGCACTACATCCATCTCCACTAGATGTTCCAGAATCGTCGCAGTCCTCACTAGGAGGCTCTTTGTATCCATTACCACAAGCAGCTTGTATGCAGACTTAACTTGGATTTACGTAATAACTCTATGTTGAATCACAAAATGAGCAGAAATTATGACTTGTCATATCAGTTATCACATAATAGTCAGTAGAACAAGGACTAGTACTGCATAAAAATGTGGAATCCAACTTTGCAGCTAAACTACAAATATAACAATAATTTTCAGAGGTTGTCAAACTGTATCTACCGATTGTGCAATCTGCTTAGCAAGGATTGTTTATAAATATTTAGAATCCCTCTTCAAATCTGAGCATTCTCAATTGTATTGTACCTTAATACGGATTTAGAGCGTCTCCAATGTAAGATTTATCAGTTCCTGAATACTTACTACTTATTGTGGCTGTGTAAGTGATTTGAACATATCCACTTAGGATTGACCCATCCTAAGCCACAATATGATAATGGGATAGAGTATTAACCTAACTTTATAAGCTTCCCGCAAAAGCGACAGATAATTGAAGAAAATACCACTAATCCACTTGACAATCAAATTGGACTATTAGTTTAGCCACTGTTTCCAAAGTCAATACAATACCTAATTTACCACTTGCCTGCAGTGCCAATTTGATAGAAAATAGGTTTACAGCTCCTGATGTTTATCTCTATAGCAAAATAATATCAGCTGCGAATTGAGGCAAACTCTTTTGAAGGATGTAGGTTCCAAATGTATAAGAACTTGTAACAGTAGTCCATTTAGCAATAGGAATAGTTAGGACAGGATGAGTTATATCCAGTTCGTAATATGTAAATTTCATTGCTTATTGTAAAGTCAAAGTTCCTGAACTTGCAAGGTTCGTAACTGTGGTTTTAGTAACCCTATCAAACCGATATAAGTAGCATCCGGCATTTGTTTTTCCTTCCAGAAAGTAAGCAAGTTTAAATATATTTTCATCTGTAGTTTCATAGTAATTTGGCATCCATTTCAACTTTTTAATGTCCCCACAAAAACTGTCTTGTGCGCCCCAGTACAATGCTTCAATAGCTGTGTTTGTTGACAAGGGAGTGTTGAAATTCACTTTTGAGGCTGAGAACTTCTTTTGTTGCCAAAATATTTACTTAGTTTCCCAAGTGCTTAATTCTATATAGGTTTTTATTTGAGATTACTTAATTCTCCAGTAGTATAGTCTAAGCCTGCATAAATAAACATCCAATCTCCTGAATATGCAGCACCCATCTGAGTAATATCAGTATAGAGTATGGGGTCACTTGGCGATTCTGAGTATCCCAATTAGAACCCTCTATTAACGGAGTCCAGCGAAAAGTACACAGCCAATCTTATCCCTTCCGTAGTTGTGGGAACTGTATCTGTGGTATCTGTGCTTACCCGAAGAATGCCGTATGACTTACCACCCAATGTAGGTGCACTGGGAGGTTTGAGCCAAAAAGATACAGAGAACTTGACAGCATTCTCTGTGGTAGCACCTAAGGTAGCAAATGGGAATTTGATGAGGGATGCTCCAGGTACTAGGGAATCAATTTAAATATTAACCTGGGGGAGTGCAAACTCCACTAGTTTAAGTAGTGCCAATCAAAGTAACGGGAGTGGCACATGGTTATCCATTTAAGTAGTGCAGCAATAAAAACAGTGTTAGCATTATTATAAAAATTAATGTATAAAATGTAAAATTAAAGGCATTCCAAAAATAAGCAAGAAATTATAAAAGAGTTGAAATCACTATAATTTTTACCACTTCAATTTAATAATTTCGATGCAAACACTAAGACATTATGAAGCTATGGCTGAGGAAGTCAGAAAAATCATGATATCAGGAAAGCCCATTCCCCCAGATTATTAGGAGGTTATCGAAGAGTTTCTGCCTACTGAAGACAAATATCCTTCTAGAAGAGTCATTACTATTTATGAATATCCAGACAGCAATCCCGCTTTATTTTTGGAGAACAAGAGGGGATTTCGATTGCAATTCATGTTTCTCTTCCTGTCAAACGAGTTGGCTGCTCAGTATACATTTTTATTCAAGTAGGTTTTACGAGGACGTTATGAACAATGGACCGCTCAAATGGTAGATTGCAAGATTCTATCTAGAGGTGGCAGACAATGTGGTATTCATTAAGACCAGAGGACAGAGGGCGACAAATATGTTGTAAAAGATTCAGCATGGAATTCAGACTCAACCTTTGTGTGTGTTTCATTATAATATGAAAATGAGAGTAATTATTTTGCCTGATTTTATAGACACTATTGCACATCCTAGAGCAAGGCAATTGGTGTATTAGAGTAGTGTGGGGTCCACCTGTAGATGTGCCTCTACATGGAGGAGATGCAGAAAAGGTTGAGAATGTGATTGCAAAGACAGAACCAAAATTAGAAATACAGAAGAAGGAGGAGATGGAATAGGAAGTTACTAAGAAAGTTTAGATCAACGAAGAGGAGATCAAAAACAAGAGTTCCATTTATATCAAGTCTATTGAATATTATAGTAGATTAGCAGAGTAGACTGTGCAGAAGTTGAGGGATGAGAATCAGAAGAAGAAAGCATGAATAATTTCATAATCCTATTTTATTATAATAATATTAATAAATGCAAATTCGGGAAAATTTATACAATTGGCTTTGCTCATTAAAGGTGCTGCCTTAGGATGGAAAGAAATATGCAGACAAGGTGGAAATTAGCAAGGCATCCTTATCTCAATTGGAAAATGGCATTGCTTTTGGATAATTGCTCAAGGAAATTGTGAAGTTACGAAACAGGTTCCTTTATTAATCAATTTAAAAGACCTTCGACTCCCTTGGCAAAGTTGGACACACTCAAAGATAATTAGTAGAAGTCCTCAATCTTATACAATTGGAAGATTCTATGCGAGGAATATTAGAAGGTCGATATCCAGATTGATTAAGACACCAAGGCCTTGATTCTAGGAGGGGATAAGGAAATGATACATCAATTACTTTTGGAAATTTATGATAAATATTATCGAGGTCAGTAACAAACATAAGTCTTATAGCAATCTCAAATGTTAGATGACTCATTATTAAGTTTAGGTGGAAACACCAAACTTTTAGCTAACAGTAAAATCTCCCAAGGTACACATTTGATTAATTTTATGCTAGCTAATTAATAAGTTGATTTATCAAAATTAGATCCGAAGAAAGATCTTAATAAAACATCAAATTGCTTAGAATTCTTTATAGTTGCTTTGGCTAAGAACTTGTAACTGTCAATTAAATAGTCTGCCTCTCTCTTTACTAATAACAACAAATACCTTGCTCACATATTGGCCAAGGGAGTGAAGGGAGTATTCGAGCCAATAGTTGCCTTTTATAAAGAAACCTATGCGAATGGAAATTAATTAATAAAGTTATTTAATGAGGATTCCACTAAGAAATCACTTACATTTGCCTTGCAAGTATTACTTTGTTATTATTATACTCAGGCTCTTAAACCTGGATTAATATCCAAATCTTTTGATGTAGCCTATGAATCAGTTCGATTATTCACTAGATTAGGTTCTATGATACCAGTATAATTATTAAGGGAATGGTTCCTTGAGGAGTAAGGAGGGTTACACACAGCATTAATGGGCACTCGGAGACATCCAGAATTGGTGTCATTTCACGTCGAGATGATATAATAGTTTGCAAGAAACAATTTTGTGGAAGTATTTACAACTGGGATCAGAACTGTATTGCCTGAAACAAAGGATTTCATAAATTCAATTGAATTAATCTACATTCCTTTAAGTCATAATCAAGAGTTGGTGTCAACTGGCATTTTGAATGATTGGGTGACTTCAGCTATAGGAATTGCTGAAAATGAATTTAAAAATACAATTGATACCAGAATATCTTCCCTTAATTTTTTAAGTGAAGTACTTGGCAATACAGAGTTAGATGAATCATTGACGAATACGATCATTGCACTACTCAAAAAGGGATCTAGAGATAAGTCATAATCACTTTCCTTAATGTGTCTAAATCATTTGTTTAAGTTGCTCAATCATTTCAGTCTTTAAAAGAGCAACTTTGCCCCACTCATATACAAGAAGTAAATACCATATTAATTGTGTTTAGTTTAACATTGTCTTTGGTGGAGAATCATGATAACCAACAAATCAGAGAGTATATTTTGAATAATTTCATTCACATCTTCTCCACCATGGAAGCAGTACCGATTAACTTGGTTCTTGAGAATTTAATCAAGTAGATGTAAACATCAGAGGGAGTCACTTACATTTTGAATACATTTGATATGCATTTCTTTATGTTCGTATCCAATCTGAATATAGGAATTAAGAATGCTATTTAATTGCTGGACTTCTTGGCAAAAATATTTTTAAACAATCTGGTCTATTAGAGTATATCATCTGAAATCATTATCAACATCTTGTCGAAGAATGTAGAGAATTAGACAATGTAAGAATTTATCTTAAAGTTCGTCAAAATTGCATTAGCTATGTTTTTTGCATCTGAAAAAAAGAAATAAACTAAGGATCCCATCAGTGCACAGAAGCGTAATTAAATTGTTGAGATTGTCAGAACGATAATTCAATTTTAATAACAACTTTTGAATGAGAAAATTAAACCATTGATTGCACATACAAATATACAAATAAAGTAATTCAGTAAAAGAAATTCTAAAGGAATGATGGCAATACTAGAACTATTCGGAAATGCTGAAAGAATATTGGAATAATATGAGATTGAATATCGAGAATAGTAAGCAAGTAAATTGTAAGGACCTCCTGAAGACGATGATTAATTGGTTCCATTCAATTCTCGATCTATAGGATCTATTAAATTATCAAAGGAGGAACAGTATTCTCTTGCTTCCTTAAAAACTACTAAAGCAGATCCAAAGGTTCTAGAGAAATTAGAAACCCTCAAGAAATAATTTGATGATAGAGCCACAAATGAGGCATAAAAAATAGAATAAATGAAGGAGGCCTAACAGAAACAAAAGGCCAATCTTAGAAAATAATTAGAAAAAAGATCAGTTGAATAAGGTGTGTCAATTGTGAAGGACAGGGAAACTAATTTAGTATTTAAGGATGGATCAAAAAGTGCAGCCTAGCCAAATAAACATGGGTTGACAGAATACGAAGTGTGGGATTTACAATTAGAAGAAGATAGAGAGCGTTATTTAGTGGAACAACTCTTTAGAAAGTATCATAAGATATTTAAATATGTTTTCTTTAAATATGCTAATTCAGGAAATAAAATTATAAAGCCAAAAGATTTTGATGAATTGAAAGATCAATCTGATACTATAAATGAAGCTGAATTGTGGGCATTCCTTAAGGATTATGAATTAGTATTCAATGTTTCTAGAGAACAAGTACATGCTTTGATGAGGTCGATTGCAATCTAGCTATTGAAATGCAAAAATGAATTAACAAATTTCAATTATGAAGGATTCAAACACATTGTTACATAATATGCCTGCATTCTATTTACTAAGAGAACCAAATACATTTAACCTCATACTTGCATTGAAATGATGATCTAAAGGATGAAATAAGTAACAGCAGCAAAAGGATAGACCACCTAATTATATGAAGATCCAGATAATATGTTTTTTGATTAAAAGGATGTTATTAAAGAATTCAATAAAAAATTAGCAGAGGATCCCAAATATGTTTTACCTGAGGGTTACAAAACATAGAAGGAAGAGATTATCAAATTTAATTATGCATTTGAATTTGAAGATTCAAACACAATTGCTTATTCCATTTTGGATGATATTGTTTTCAAAGTTTGCAATTGTCATATAATTGAACCTATAACCTCTAAAGAATTCTAACTTGTATGCAGACCCAATATGTTGGGGTATGTGGAATCCAAAGTTAAATAAAATTATGAGAAAGATCATTATATGGAATAAAAAAATAAAACTACGATGAAATAAACTTAAGTTGCATAATCATTACCAAATCTGCCAACTCAACCAAAGAGAAATTTAGAAATAGAACCTTTTAGACAATATGGTTTGGGAATCAAATTGGAATTGGCTAAGATACCATTTAATTAACCCAAATAACGATTATTAGTTGAACAGGTAGCTGATGTTTTGGAAGACATGATATTTGCTGTTGAAAACAATTAAAAAACTATTACAAGAAAATGGAATATTCTTAATAAGGTGTAGTAGGATAAATTGGATGAGAAAAAGAAGGAGGATGAGGAAGCTAAATTGAGAGATGAAAAAATACAAAAAAATCATGAATAAGCTAAAGCCAAATTGGAGAAATTGAAGAAGGACAGATAATAAAAATAAAAGGAAGAGGAAGCCAAAGCTGCTAAGAAGGATCCGAAGAAAATTCGTTAAGAAGAAAAGCAAAAGGAATAAGAAGCATATTTGAAATAGTAAAAAGATAAAATTGCTTAAAAATAAAAAGAAGAAGAGTAAGAGAGAATCAAAAGAGAATTATTAGAGAAGAAATAGAGAGCAGAAGAGATCTAGAAAAAGAAGGAAGATTTCAAATTATTTAATCAAAAGAAGATTGAATAATATGGAGAAATCTTTAAGGCTGAACAAATTAAAATATAAATGGCTGCTGAAGAAAGAAAAAAAATGGAAATTGATCATTAGAAAATGCATGAGGCTCTTTATAAAAATATTGAAAAGAAAGGTGAACAAATTAAAGTCAAAGAAAAGGGAACAAGTGAATTGATTGTCAAATTATTTAGACATCAAACTTATTAAACCATTTTCACTAATAATAACTTTAGATTAAGTTATTTATACGAATTATTGCAATTGGAATATTATAAATCTATTGAAATGATTGATTTTAAATAGATCCCATTAAAGTTATGGATGTGGTTTGGAGATAGATTCAGAATCTATCCAGACATCATATCTCAGATTGAATTCATTAGGGTCTTTAATGCAATCACATACAGATCTAATGAGATACCAGCGTCCTTAGATTATGTTGAATTTCTAGAAGCACTCTTTCGAATTAGTATAAAAGGATATGAATTTTTCAATAAACTAGCAAAAAGCATCAAAGAACCCAAACCTTAAAAATAAGATAATTAGGAGTTGCCTTAAGATTAATCTCCAATCAAAAGAACCTAATAGACCCAAGAGTTTATGCTCAAAAGAATAAAGGAGGTATAGTCAGAATAGGAGAAACGATTAGAAGCAGCAAAAAAGGAATTAGAAGAAAAAAAGAAGATGGATAAGGAAGCACTGATTTTAGATAATTATTAAGCATTAAATGATATTATGGGAACAGACAATATTTCAGGATAAAATTATAATGATTAAACCTTGGATGCACTTATTACTTATTTGGCATTACCAAATGACAAAACTGGTATTGAGTTGAGATTCAGATATTTGATGGAAGTGGAAGCTAAGAAGAAACCTAATAAAGTGAGAAAACAGGGTAATCAATTAATTTTATTTGTTTAGAGGCATCTAAAAGATTAGAGGAAGATGTCAATCAATGGAAAGAGATTAAAACAGTGGAGTAAAATAGACAGCCTATTTTATCAAGTATTAATATTGTTTGATATTGCTAGAGAAATCAAATTTTAAGTAAAGTCAGTAAAAGCCTAAAGAATAATAAGAACCAATACTACCTTAGAATAACGAGGAAAATTAAGATTAAGAATAAGAATAAGAATAGTAGGATAATTGATTAGTATAAATTATTAATTTTAATTAAAATATTAAGTTTAATGTGCCTTCAACATTAAATTTAATTATAAGAATTTATTGACTTCTTAAATTTATCAAATTTTCTAATTAAGTTATATGTCAAGCAACAATTTTTTAAATGATTTCAATATATAAAAGATTCCTTAATTTTCTTATTACTTCCCAAAATATTAACTCTTATTGATAAATAAATCGAATGGGTATTTTAATAATTAAATTTAGCAAATCATAAAAAAAATCTATGGGATGTATTCAAAATAAGGGTCCAAGCGTAGAAATTACTATAATTATATTGAGTCCTCCTCTTTGTGATTCGCCTTCAAATGAATTTACTCTTAAACCGTATCACAATGACTAATTTCCTGCTGCTCGTTTGCCTACTAACACATCAGTTCATTGCTTTCATACAGAATACATTTAATAAAAAGGATTGGCTTGGTCCTAAAGGTGTTAAACAGTGATAGATGGGCAGGAATCATATAATAGCCAACCCTCTAATAGCTGTCCATACTTTTGATATTGATTTAGATAATTTTTATTATTTTTTTATATAATTAAATTTGGCATAAGAACTATTGTCACGAGAACTTGAGGAGAAGCCTTGGGGGAGAGATTTGAAATCTTTTTCAAAAATATATAAATAAATCGTAAAAATCAACTTTCCCAATCGAATAAAAAGAATGGTTTTTTCAGTTTTTTTTTTAAACTTCAATGAATCAGTGTCTATTACTTAATAATTTGATTAAGTTAAATAATTAAATATATTTCTTTTCTGATGCAAGATTTTAAACCTGGAGATATAATTGCTGAGGATTATCAAATTTTGAGTTTATTATCGCAAGGTTCATTTGGAAAAGTGTATTTGGGCAGATCATAATCGATGAATCTGAAAGTGGCGATAAAAGTTGAAAAGAGTGAAGTTTCCTACTTTAATAGTTTGAATCAGGAAGTATAACTATAAACTATGAGAAACATAGGTCGAAGTTCTGAAACTCTTGTTAGATGTTCCATAAGTACCTAAAATTTATTGGTTTGGATAAGAGATGAATCTAAAAATTATGATACAAAACCTTTTAGGCAAGGATTTGACTCACTATTATAAGAAGCTTAAAAAGTTTTCGTACGAATGTGTCTGTAACATAGCTTATCAAATGATTAGCATTTTGGAATAAATTCATGCAAGGTAGAAAATTTCAACTAATACAAAATTTAGAAATATTATACACAGAGATTTGAAGCCAGAAAATATCCTTGGAGCATCTCTTTCAGACAAAATTTATTTAATAGATTTTGGTATAGCAAAGAATCTTTAATAGAACAAAAAGAGCAAAGAGAAAATTTCTTTCATAGGCACTTCAAGATATGCAAGTTTGGCAGCACATTTAGGTAAAGAGCAAAACAGAAAAGATGACCTTGAGTCTTTGGGTTATATTCTAATATATTTTCTCAATGGTTAATTACCTTGGATGAATATTGAAAAGCAAGACAGTGAAAGAATAGAAAAAATTGGTCTTTTGAAACAAGACATCTCTCCTGAAGAATTATGTGAAAACTTGCCATCTCAAATATTAAAGTGATTTTCTTCATTTATTCTTAGTATAGGTATATGAAATATGTCAAAGGATTATCTGTTAAAGTCAAGCCCAACTATATATAATTGAAAGATTTATTTAAAGTAGAAAGTTAAAATGATGCTATGCCTTTTGATTGGAACAAAAAGGTAAGAATGAGCAAGAGAATGTAGTCAAATAAATCCATAAAATCATCTAAATCTGCAAAAGTATTTAATAAATCAAAATCCTAATTTCATAAAACTTAAAATAACATCCAACAAGAATCATCATAGAAATTAATTAATTAACCTTTAACACCCATTTAGAAATAACATCAAACCTTTGTGTACCCTGATTAAAACGATAAAACACTTTATCATTCAAGTGATGATAATTAACAATAAAATAGCATAAGTGATTAGAACAAAGAAAAAGAAAGCATCAAAGTAGGATATTCAATAAGTTATGAACCATCTAAATTTTCAAGATATTCAATACATAATAAAAGTCCAATATTGCAGTAATAAAGGGAAAGAGCAAGAGTCTCAACTTTAGACGCAAATCCTCAAGATTACTTTATAATGAATTTTTAAACTGAATAACAGCTATAGGAATTTGAGAATTAGGATTTAGGACTCAAATATGATATGCTATACTATTAATCAATTCTTTACAATCACAAAAACCCAATCCTAGAATTTAAAGTAAGTAAATGCCATATTTTTGATTGAATATTTTTGTTTAAAAATGTTTTCTTCTCATTAAACATTTTAGAAGATAAATCAATCACTTTATTCAAAATTATCTATTATTTATAATTATAATATTTATGACATTTATATGGAATTTTAGATTATCAAATAAAAAATTCACATGAATCATATTTGATGATGAGATTTTGGGATTAATTTAAGATGATTCCCCGTTATAAGATATTAAAAGAAAGAATAGTTCAGCTCTTAAGTATTAAATTTGTGTTAAATTGTTAATTACGAAATTGATAATTTAGTTATTTCGCAAAACGCTTATCAGAAGTTTAATCTTAACTCAAATCTGACATTCGTTTATTTGCTAATGCCTAATTTATGTATACTGATAAAAAATAATGAATAATTATATTTTGTCAGATTTATAAGTCTCAATTTTATTAGTTTGAAATTAATATTTAAAATAAATAATGGGCTGCGTGAATACTAAAACTTCTCTAAAATCTTAACCTCAATCAACAACAAAGACTTAGATACAAATATAGTCAAATACTCAAGATGAAAGTCCTTACGTGATTAAGAAGAACCCAATATTCCAAAGAAGGGCTTCCTCAAAATCCATCGTTAGTCCTTTACAAACTGCCTCTTTCGTCCACAGAAATAAGTGAGCCATAAACTTAGAATGATCTTTCTTTATTTTACAAACCTAAATCTATAAATATAGAATTCTTTATATATTAACCATCCATAAAATATGCGAAAGTTCTAAATGTGCTTAACCATTCTCTAAAAGATAAATCGAATAATTTTAAAGTGAGCTTAAGAAGATCAGTTATAAAACGTGGAACCAAATACTAATTTTATATTTTGAGTGAGTTTAAATTACGGTTCACTATAAGTTGATAGATAATAAAATAATATTACGATGTATCTATATTCATCAAAAATAATTTATGTAAATCTCTAGCTTTTTCTTTTTTATTTCCTTAAGTCAATTACTTGCTTTTCAATCTATGTATCCACCTATTACAATTTGAATAGGAATTGCAATTCCTTTGAAGATGAACAGTGCTCCAATCACAGTCAAAAATAAAACAGCAAATTCAAAATTTAGTGCTTCTGCTGTAGTGAAAGTTCTATAATTTTATTACAGATTTAAAGTGTCATCTAAGTCTTAGGCTGTTTCTAATTTAGCATTATTGATAATTATGGTCAATTTCTTCATAAGATCTAAAATTATATATAGTGGGTCTATGTTTTTTGAAGAGAGAATATCGTTTCATTTTGAACATCCCCAAAAATACACCGTTTAAAAGTTGGGAATATTTATGAATTTGTGCTTTTTTCTGAAAATTCATTATTTATTGAAAAGAGTTTTCTTTCCAATCAGAAAAACTGGTTATTGCTTAATAAGTTCTTAAATAAATTAATGGAACATAAAATTATCTGTAGAATTTGCAATTTGCCAATAAAGATTGATTTTCTTAAATTACACAACGAAACTTGCAAGTCTCGTGCTGAATTTCGAAGAAAGGAAATCAGGTTGAATTTGTAAGTTGCCAAAGTTTGTGAAAATGCCTATAAAACAAAGCACTAAATTCATTCAAGGGGTTAAAAATAGTATTGAAGTTTTATCTAAAATAGCCTTAACAGTCTTAGATTGAAATGGGATTAGATTTCACCCGAATACACACAGGAAATTTATTAAGAATATAAAATACTCCAAGTCTTAATTTCCTACGGAGAAAGATCATTAAATTCAGAGGTAGATGCTAAATGTATTTTAATACCCATTTATATTAGATCATCTTATATCTCAAAATGAATTCATTTAAGCCCAATAATTTATAAGAAACCCTTAGATTTTGAATTTGATAGAGCAGATGAACAGTCTGATAAATTAGAGATTAGAATTATGTTATAAAAGTAAGAAATTTTGAAAACCTATAAGAAAAGTTTTAAGCAATTCCCAGCATTTCCTTTAGATTAAGCAAGTTCAGTAAAGACAGTCCTATATCTAATGGCGAAACTCATAATAGAATGAACTCATTTTCTGATTATTTGAATTCTTCTAAGTATAAAATTATGACATAAGTCAAGTTTTTCCGAAGATACACAATCAGATAGAAAAAGTATTTCTGGACAAGACACTCCAGTCAAATCGATATGTATAATTCAAAGTCTCAGAAAAAGGGGTAAGTTATCGGAATGGCCAAAGAGACACTCTACATTTTCATCAGAAGAGGATTAAATATCAGAAAAACCAAAACATAAACAAGAAATATAAAAGAAAAGTTATTTTGCCAAAACTGGCAGTTCAGATAGTGAACAAGACGATATTATTGATACTATAGTATAAGTAAATGAACCCAAGTAGAGGGAAGATGATTTAAATTTTGAGAGTGCTTGTTTTCTGGAATTATAAAGAGGTTACTTCTCTGATACTGAAATAATTAGATCAGACATTAAGAATAAGATAAAGGAAAGAAATATAGGCTTAAAAGATTTTAATTTCATAAGACAAATAGGACAAGGAGCATATGGTAGTGTGTTTTTGGTAAAAAGAATAATAACAGGAGACTTATATGCAATGAAAATAATCAATTGTTGCAATAAAAGATTCGAAAGATTGTTTGAATAACTTAAATAAGAGAGAAACATATTTGAAATTTTAACAGGGGATTATGTAGTCAAAGCTTATTATTCATTTTAACATGAGTCATCCTTATGTTTTGCTTAAGAATATATGATTGGAGGAGATTTCTCTAAAATTCTAATCAATGAAGGAGTAAATTACTTAGGTTATTTTAGGCTTTTGACGAGAACATCGCTAGACACTATTTTTCTGAGATATTAATAGCATTGGAATATTTGCATAATAATAATATTGTTCATAGAGACTTAAAACCAGAAAATATACTATTAGATTAATATGGACACATCAAATTGGCTGACTTTGGTCTTAGTGAATTGGGCATCAATAAGAAAATGATTAAGAAGTGTAGTCAATAGAGTTTTTCATAAAGTGATTCATCTCCTTCCCCAATTTATCAGATGAAGAAGGGGAGATCATTTAAGAAGTCTAATATCTCTCCAGAGAATGCTGATAGAAGAATTATTGGAACTCCAGATTATATTGCACCCGAAATTATTAGAGGTCAATCGTTTTCACATAAATCCTAAGATTTTTGGTCTCTTGGAATTATTTTATATGAATTTCTAGTCGGTATTCCTCCTTTTAATGATGAATCTGTTGAAAAGATCTATCAAAATATATTAAAAGGAGATATTGAATGGCCAGAAATTGGTAATGATCCAGAAGAATAAATATCACAATAGGCTTTTGATTTGTTAACAAAATTATTAAATCCTGATTACACTCAAAGATTAGGATATGGATCAATTGAGGAGATAAAAAATCATCCATTTTTAGCATCCATCAATTGGGAATAATTGAGAAATACTCCTGGTCCAATAATTCCTTAGATAAATTTGAATTTCTAGCCTTTTGAGAATGTAGCTGAGAAAGTTTAAAAGTTCTTAATAAAAGGGGAAAGAAAGTAAATTCAAATTATCAATAAACTATAAGATGAATTGGAGTATTTGGAAAGAATTGATTTACTAGTGGCAAAGAATGAAAATGAAGCTTAATTGATTTAATAATAATTATAATTATTTTCATGAAATAAAACTAAATTAAAATCGGTATTATTGGTGGATCATTTGATCCTCCTACAATTGGTCATTTATTAATGATAGCTGAATTAATAAACTAAAACATCTTATAGAAAATAATTTTGGTACCATGTGGTAATAGAAAAGATAAATAATTAACAGATGGATTACACAGATATAAAATGCTCTAATTGCTGGTAGAAAGTATTTGAATATTTAATGAGCTAAAGATTAATTAAAAAATATAGATTCAGTTTTCATTGATGATTATGAATTATAAAATGGATAATTGGTGCCAACATATTACTTGTTATAAAAACTGAGGGAGAAATATTAAAATGTTCATTTTGTAATTGGCAGTGATTTAGTAAATACCTTACCTAATTGGGTTGAGGGCTAAAAGTTGATTGCAGAAACTAATTTTATCATTCTCAATAGAAGTTCACATAAAATTGAGTAAATTACAAATCTACCTCCAAAATATGAATTGGTTTAAAATTTTGAATACGGAATTAGCTCCACTGAAATTAGGAAACGGATCAAGAATTCTAAAACTGAATATTTAGATTGTTTAGGTGTATTAACACCTGAAATCATCGAATACATTAAAGTAAATAATTTATATCGATCATGATGAAATATATTAATTTATATAATGATAATATGGTGCAATGAGATAATTAGATATATCAAATGTAATTTTTATAAACAATACTAACATCATCATTCAAACTATTATTATCTGTTCAAAAGTATTTTACATTTTATCCAAAGCTTGCCAGTTCTTTATAGTATCTATTAAATAAAGTATCAACATGCTTTGTCTTTTCCTCATATTGTTGGTTGATCTGAGATTTTTAGATACACCTTTTAACATGATTGATTGTAAATTATTCAATTTTTTGTAAAATTGGTTTTTGTATATTAGTTAGATTTTGCAATAACTTTCCTTTACCTACTAAATCATCAAGAAAAGCCTAAAATGTAAAATGAAATTGTTTATCATTTTTTATAAATTTGTTAATCAAAGTATTCGTAAGCTGTAATTCTTCAAACTAATCTCTTAAGTTCTTGCATTTGGTTAAAACTAAATTAAGTGCATTACTCAAATCAACAGGGTCACTTCCTTCTAATTATAATTATGTATTAGGTTTCAAAGGTTTGATTGAACCTTATCTTAATGAGGCCCTTCTGAAAACATTACTTTATTCAGTAGCTTCTTCAGTCGGTTTATTGATGGTCTATTTCATAGAAACTATGCGATTCTATGTTTAAGCATTGGATTTAAACGTCGGCTTTTTAATTATAGTAATTTTAGTATGCTAAGTTTTTGATGTTTCTCCACCAGGAGAGTTTTTTCCACTCAAAGTAGAATCATTAATTTTATTTTCCTCCGCTTCTAAATTAATCCTAGAATCACCCAATTTTTTTAGTTCTTTAATTGTTTTAACTGTTGTAGATTATATAATGTTCTAATCAATACTAGGTTAATACATTAATTAAAATTTAATTAATTCAATTATATGTGTAAATATGTAAAAAAATCGACATATATTTGATCAATTCTTTAAATAGTCTCTAAATTTAAAATGAATAAATGAAATTTTTTAGAATTCGTAATAATTTATTATTTAATTATATACTCAAAATAATATCAGAATTATTAATAAAATTATCATTGTTTTAATTGAAATTGTTTAAAATAAATATCATGATTTATTATCTATAAGATTTAATCCTGATAAAGTTTGAAATTTTATTTATTATTTTATGGAGAAAAAGTCTTAAAAATAATTATCCTTAGATACATCATATGATGATTATAATTTAAGAGAAGATGAAGAATACTCAGATGATGATAGAGGAAAATCAAAAAAGTTGGATTTCAGAAGCAAGCAAACGAAAAAACTAGAGAAACAATTAATAAAATTAGATAAAGTGTAGAACTCCTAGCAACCAGTGAGCATGGAAATATACTATTTACTTAAATTCTAATAGAACTTAATTTATTAAGTTACAAGTCTTCACACCAGAATTATGAGAATAATTGAGAACTAGTTTGATTATTCCACGTTATTATGATTAATAGATTAATATTATAATGCCATTTTCAATTTTATAATTCTCCAAAGTAATTGATTTTGTGTATTGTTATATTTAGTTGATAATTAACTTCAATTTAAAAGGCCTAACAACTCTTGGTATCTAAGTAACATAAACTTGATTCCAAATATTTTAATTTTAATCATCTAAATATTTTCATAATACAAGGTTCAATAAATTTTACTAAACAAATCATATTCGTAATCATCATTACTTTTGAATGGTTTTAGAGTTTCAATTATATCTATTTTTGATTAACAAATATTATAAACATAATCAACAAAATCATAAAACTCATCTATAAATAAAACCTAGCCAAACTTATTGAATTAAATACACTGCCGATAAAGATTTTACAAGCAATATACTGAAATGAATAAATTCTTAAACCTTAGATTATTAATTGAGTAATTTTAGTTTTTATCTTGTTACAAAGGAGTCTTCTTCAAAGATATTTGCTAAAGAACAACATAAGCCTATAAGCATTATCCTTGACTCCGTGATTTAATGGCAAAGCTGTTTTGGAAAGAGCTGATCCTAAAACTATTCAAAGAATAGCAATTTGTTTTTTTAAATCTACTATTGTTAGAATTCATTTAAATTTCTTAGTGCAGAATTGCCTTTGAAGAATCATCTAATTCTAGAATGTAAAATACATAGATCCATTAATTATATTAATTAAAATCAGTTTGAGTTACTACTATATTGGAATCTAAACTGATCAAGAACTTGACCAATTTTATCCTGATTCATCACCATGCCATGTTTGATCTTCATGTGTTACATCAATGAACCCTCAGATCCATAGGATTTATTACAATTAGAGATTGTGCATACATGACTTCTAGGAATTTCAACAGCACTTCTCCTATTCCTTTTCCGTTTATCCTCCAGTGATATATCACTCTCTTAGTCCTCTAAAACTTAGAATTTTTACAATTTAGACTTAATCTCATTTTTTTCCTAGTTCACCCTTTCTAACTAATTCTAAATACTAATTATTTACATAAGAATGTAAAACAATATTGTAGTAATATAGCCTAATTGATTCCTTATAATAGTCAATTGGTCCCTGATCCTATTCAAAATTCTCGCTTTAGTCCATTCTGAAATACTTTTTTTTTTTATTAATGAATCTAATTTATATGTTTTTTTAAAACCTTAGCAAATTTTCGAATAAATAATTAATTGTATTGTTTGCCACAAAGTAAACTGAAAAAAATATGGTTCTTATTTCTTTTTGAAACAGTTCCTTCCACTCATATATCAATTGCCCTGTAGCTGCAAACCCAAAATTTAGTATATCCACAACATTCCCACCTTTAGAATAGCATCATTATCAGACAAATAAAAAAATTCTCTAAACCTTCTATTTCTTATAAACAAGCAAAGTTAATCTGTTTCCTAGAAATATCAATCAACGTTAATGGAAAGCTAACATCATTCTCTTTTTCCTCTCAAATACTGCTATTTATGAATAATTGAGTAAGTCGAAATTTTATCTATATAATTGTGAATTCGTACATATTACAAATGATATTCAGAGTTCCTATCCCAATAGGATTCAAACATACTTTATTTGAATATTATTTCTTTTACTCATTTGTGGAAATTTTTACCTCAAATTTATAATTATAAAATGTAAACATATAAAGAATTTTAACTAATGATAAGCAAGCATTCATATATATCATGAAATATTTTAAAGAACATTTATTTAAGTTAAAAATAATTTAAACTCTCTAAAAGGGCTAAAAATATAGTATTTGGAAATATTGATCAAATAATCTATGAAATCATATTTATGGAGAAAACCCAACGTTGTTAAGCAATTCATAAAATTACTAATATCCGATCATAAAATGATTTTGCAAACAATATGGAATATTAGAATTATATTAAATAGTGAACAAATATAGTTTTTTTGTGTATTTCTTTGAATATGCCTCCAAATCCAATAACCTGTCTTAAGAATGAGTTATTTAATTTCTACTTTCAAATTTGATTGTTCATTCAAATAAATTAATGTATTATTCTTACACTATACATCTGTAAATAATATTAATTATATACGTAATTAAATTGATGTCTAACACCATCTATTCTTTATAAGAGTTTAGAAACTTAGATGTTAATAGCATGATCTAAGCATATGATTAAGGCCTATAACATATTAATGAACTCTAAATTTAAATTGAGCAATTAGAGAAAAGTGCAATCGATATCATAGTTGAAAAAGATTAGATGATAGAACAATTAGAATTACAATTGCAACACTCTTCCAGAAGACCCAGTCTAAACAATCAAGAAGAAGTGAGTCAATATAAGAAGTAACTAATTTTAGTTCATTCTAGTCATATTTAGGAATTGTAAACTAGATTGGAACATCTGCAAACCAAACATTATGAATAGTTGTAAGAATAAGAAAAAGTGTGGAACTAATATTTATTAGATTAAATTGCATAGAATGAATTTACAGTGGATCAAAAATTAAAGAGTCATTTAGAATAAATATTTATCTTAGAAGATAAAATAAACAAGCTAGAGAATGAAGTAAAACATTGATTTTAAGGTAGTTAGAAATTAAGGAAAACATGCACATCTCTTTAATAAATTAAAATAAACAATTTAAAGAAAGTAATTCTAAATTGGAAGAAATTCAAATTACCTAAAATAGATAAATACTTAGATTGCAAATAGAAATTGAGTAATTACAATCCAACAACTGCAAAGAAAAAGATCAATTTTTAGAGTAAATTAATGTAATAGATTTTTCATTAATATAGAATAATAATTAAGAACTTTAGGAATTGTTATCTCAGACTTCTTCATTCAAAATCTAAAATCAGAAATTAAATAATCAAAATAAGATCTACACTAGTACGATCAATGAGTTGATGGTAAAGAAAGCAGAGTTAGAATTACTTATTTAGACATAAAAATATGAGAAATAAGAGTCAATTGGAAATGGCAAAACAGGAGCATTCTCCTCAATTGATTAATAAGGAGACAATCATTATATTAGAGAAGACATCAACACAACAGCATTTGATATCAATGAAGATGAGATCAAATAAGAGTTGGCATCTTTCTAATTTGATGAGAACAATGTTAATTTTAATCATTTAAAAAAAAGCCATTCTAATTATTCTTTTCATTCAGAGAAAAAAGATCCTACTGAATTAGAAAACCATCTCAAAAATTCAATAAAAACAATTAGATAATTAAATGCTTAAGTGCAATTACTAACTTAACAAATAAAAATCTAGAAAAGATAAAGCTTGAATTAAAAAAACGCTAAAGAATACTTAAATATTATGGAGTAGAACTACAAAAATTCAGTCTAATTGAAATAAGAGTAAATGAAGACTTTAGAAGACAAGTTAACAATATAAAATTAAGAAATAGTGTATTTAAAACAAAAAGTAAAATAGTATACTCAAAAACTCATAAAATATAACAAAAGATTAATCAATAACAATAACTAAAGCAAATGAACTTTATTCATACTTAATCTATAAATTGGGTAGGATTATTGCTATCTATATTTTTTATATCTGGTAATATTAATATCTAAAATTCACAAAATCATCGATTCTATTGCCGTCATCATGGATTCTAAAGTACCTGCGAGATCTTATCTTGCCTCAGGATTCAATTCATCATAAATCTACTTAGTATCTTTAAATTTCTAAGAAAGATTTAATGAATTTTACTTGAATCTATGGAAGCAATGTTTATAGGGAAGAGTAATCATTATTGCTCACTTTAATGTTTATTATTTCTTACAACTTTTTACTGGCTGCTTAAAATCGATTTTCATCTATTTCTTTCAATACATTCTCTTCAACTGTTTCTTAAATTGTTTCTTAGAGAGCTTATTAGAGGGCTAATTAAATGGCTTTAAGTTAATCTTCTTTGTATTTATCAATATCCTTTCGATACTTCTTCTTTAATAATTACAAATGTTCCTTATTTTAACTGCATGTCCAAGAATTATTGTCATTCTTCAGGTATTTTTCAAAATTTCTGGTAACTTTTACTTATTTTGTATCTGAGTTTGAAAAGTAAATCACGGCTTAGTTAGGATTCTAATCCAATTTTCTGAATCCTTTTTTGATAGAATAGAATTCTGGATGCCTATTTTCATTTAAAGAAGGCGCAGTTAATTGGTTAATTTTATCAATATTTTCAAATGTAGTTGCTTATAGCGATTCTTACAAATTAACACCACCAATAACTACAAAGTAATTGAGTCCAATCTTTTATTTTTTATCTGTTTGAAGTTCATGAATTTCGACTTACTTGGTATCCCCCACAACTTCTCCTAAACAATATAATATGCCATACTACCTTGGTTTTTTGTAACCGGAAGAGGTGCATCATTTGATTATTACTTTTATGAACCTAGATTCTGACAATTTGTAACGTTGCCTGCTTATTACATTTATTATTAAGCGGGAACTTAAAATTATTATTATACTGGTCGCGGCGGTGGAGGAGGCATTATGTTTTGTTTAGCTGGAGGAGGAGGTGGAGGTGGTGGAGGAGGAGGTAGGTTCTACACAGGTGGAGGAGGTTAATAGGCTGGCTTTGTTGGAGTTGAGTTAGGTGGATTGGTTGTTGATTTAGCAGCAGGAGGACCAGGAGGTTTAGGAGGTGGAGGAAGTGGCTTTAATAATAATATGAGAATTTGTATACAGCTCCTTTGGGAGGAGGAGGAGGTGGTGGAGGTGGGGGAGGAGGAGGAGCAGCTTTATTCACTATGACTTGAGTATTAGGAGGGGCTGTTTGTTATGATTATGCAAGTCCTGGTTCTTATTAATTGAGCATGGCAAGTTTAGCTTAGAAATCTGCAGAATTAGTGGGTGGAGGAGGCGGCTTATTCTTAGCTTCAAAAGCTGCTCTCTCTTCTGGAGTCATTCTTTGCAAGGCCAATTTAGTCTATTTTGCTTACAATTCTGCCAACATAGATTTAAAAATAATAGAAAATATGCAAATTCTATAATTATGATAAATCATGATAATAGAGTCGATTTTCAGATTCTACTAGCATCTACTTTGATTTTTGTAAATATTTCTTGCTCTTTATCCAAATCAATTAGAGGAAGATTGTTAAGTTAAGCAAGTAATTTATTTTTTCTATCATTATTTTAGGGCATTTATTGTTTTTATTGCATTCCTTCTTCTTCTTTTTCGAGAATTTATAACCTAGCTTAAACTACTTCGAGCATTTATTAAATTTAATCTAGTTTCTATTAATCTAATAGTATTGATAAATAGATATACTTGGATTATCAAAAGAGATTTGCATAGCTTATTTTAATTCAAGTGAGTCTTGAAGTTATTCATATTCCAATTTGATTTTTAAAATGAGCATTTTTTAGGCCTATTCTGCTTGAGGATCTTCTTCTTATTCGTCTTCATCATCTTCTTCATCTTCAGCATCATCAACTAATTATTGATAGGCTGCTATTTCTCTTCGTTTATTTTAATAGGACATTTCTGCTTTGAAAACTTGAAAGTCTCCCAAGGCTAGCAATTATTAGACATCAATTTCTTCTTCTTCATCACTATTAAGTATTTCTTTGATAACCTGTATAATGAGGATTACGATAATTACTTTGATTTGCAATTCATCGGAATTGTCTAAGCCTAGAGAGCTGAAGAAGGAGTCATAGACAGCTGCCATTTCAGTTTGAAATTGCTTGAAGAAATTATTTTGTTGAATTGAGTTTTCTTCATCGTCGTCGAAATAGATGCAATATTCATCAACAAAGGAATTATATTGATTTTGCCATATGGGACTTGCCAACATTGAGAGAATGACTTCTTTTACAGTCGACTAATATGAGATTGGGAATATATACATAATCTGAAGACATGATTAATTATTTTATATATTAGAATACATTGATATCATTGATTAATGAGTTCTCTGATTTCCTCCTCTTCTTATTCGTACTTTTATTCGGGGAATCTGACTTTGTCTGGGACTTCAATGGGAATTCCTTTCTTGCCTAAGGAAGGGTTAATTATAATGAAATACCAGATGGGTCATATGGTCTGTAGATCTTTACTTTGACTCCGATGATACCTTGTTTGAAGAAGCAATGTCTGACAGCAACATCAATCAAGTCTTTCTTTGGTTGACCGGTGGAGATGATGTAACCAGCTCTGTATTTCATTGACTTGGCTCTTTGTTGTCCCAATTTACCAGAGATAATACATTCGGCACCAATAGCACCATCAGCCATGATTTATTTCAAGACTGCGTTGGCAGCTGTTCTGACTGGTACTTAAGCGAGCAATTTGGTTTTGAGTGATTCAGCTTGGGCTGGAGCACACAATCCCTTTGATTGGACTCTGGCAACAATCAATTGAAGAGCCTCTAAATTAAAGATATAAATTCACAATGTACCTTTGGCATATCCAAATCTCTTTTGGATTAAGCTTGTGAGTTCTCTCAATTTTCTTCCTTCTGGTCCTGTGACTCCTGCAGTGTTGGCAGCCTTGATTTCAATGTCAGTTTGGACTGGGGTTGTTCTGACAACAAATCCAGCATAGCCAGCGTCAGTCAAAGCTCTGCTCAAAAAGGAGTGCAATTCAGCTTAGAAGACACCATCGGCAACGAACTTCTTCTTTTTGTTCATTTATCTGGCTTTGCTCATGATTTTGTTTTGATTTTAAAAAAAAATTTAATTAAGATTTTAGTTTACAAACAATAATGTATTTCATTAGCAAATTAAACATTAAATAAATTTCAAAGCAATTAAATGGAAAAATAATTATGCCTCCAACATATGTAAATTATCTAATCAGTCTGTCTCGAAAGAGAATGCTACAAACAATATTACTGTTGTTGCGAATGTCTCTTGGAAACTCATTAAAATCATCAACTCATGAATGCAAACGACTTTCAAGACCTTGAAAAATCAATTAAAGATTCCTCACAGTAACTATTATAAGATATTGAATTCACTCAATAAATTGTTTTCGAATAATTTAATTCCTACAGAACTTTAGTCGATAATTATATATCCAAACAAAATCAAATCAATAAAAAGGAATTCTCAATTATCCAATAATCTATTAGTCAAAGACTTCTAAAGATAAGACACCTTATTCTAAAAAAAGTGATCAATGAATTTCAAATCAAATTGCTTTGGACAGAAGATGAAATTTAAGAAATCTCATAGTATTTGCAAGGTATTTGAATATCTAAATAAATACATAGACTTTGATAATAAGGATTTCATTCAAAAGTTAGCAGATTGGTAAGAGAAATTAAGAGAAGAACATAATTCTATTCTCAGCAGTATTCAAATTGACATTGAAACAGAATAATGTGAAATAACAACACTTGAATAATAGGATTAATCTATTTATTATGGCTAAAATGTGAATGGAACCTTACATGGAAGAGGAATCATAATTGGATAAACATTTATATAGGATGGACTATTTAAAAATGGATAATTTGTTTATGGATTATGGTTGGTTGAAAATTAAGCAAGAGAAATCATATCTAAAGAAGGAGTGGTTGATGAGTAGGTTCAGAGATAAATGAAATCAATTATAGTATAAACAAACTACTTAAAGACAATTAAGGATTATGACGAGTTGAAAACATCTAATATCAAAAGATTTTAGTGGGACGAGTAAGAACAAGAGAAAATCTCCTAAATTCTATAAAATGTGATGAATCCTAAAGTGGTGAATCAACACAGACAACTATTACTTTACTTTGAAATCCCAGAAGAATATCATTATTTACAATTCATCAAATATTAAGAAACTAAACAAATCAATAAGGATTAGTTATACTTTGGTAGCCTTATGGAAGATTAATAAACATTGCATGGGAGAGGTATTATAATTACATTAATTATAGGAATTCTTTTTGAAGGAAACTATTCTATAAAAGATGGAATATGGGAAGAGGGTGAATTTATATGGGGAATATGGATATCTCTGATGAATAACCAATTATTCCAATACTATGGTACTATAACGGAAGAGTAAATCAAGTAATATGAAGAATTTAAACTGTTATAGAAAGAATAGGAGAAGCAAGAGCAAAACGAGATGTAAACTATTTATTAATTTAGATAAAAATTAAATCATCTAAAGAAACTAAGATTTTTCAAGCGTATTTATTAATTTATGGATACTTTGATATCAGGTAGAACTGTATTTTAATTTAGGTTATGTACATAATATAAAATTAAAAGAAGTGTATAACAAGAATAAATTAGATAAAGAAATTGATGTTAATGAGAAATATTTGCAATTTGAAAATGAACCAGATATTATTAGAAATAATCGACAATTATATATAGGTTTCTAGAATGCAGATGGTAGCCCTAATAGCATTGGATTTTATTGTGATTAGAATCTAATTGCTGGAGGATACTGGGAGAATGGAATTTTGTTATGGGGAACTTACCACAAATACATAAGTGAAACAGATCAAATAAATGTATAGTAGAACATACCAAAGGATATCTAAGAAAAAATATAAATAATCAAATGAACATATTTCTTCATTAAAATTCAAGAATGATATTTTTGTAATCCACTATTGTATTTAATAACATTTTGTATTCTGAGGATCTTTTAATAGTCTTTAAATTAATAGAAACATAGATAATTGCAATAGTAGCTTTAAATAAACAATTTTTGTTTTAAATTTAGATTTAAGCTTATAGAAAGCAAAAGACCATAAAATTATTAATAGAGTGTCCCCCATTATAAGTACTCAGAAATAGATGTGTCGATAAATTTATTGAACTAGAGTGTTTTCATTAAATATTGATTTTTATTATATCATCATTTCTTTTATGCTCAGCAACAGGTTTTTTCTTGTTTTTAAATAATCTATCAATAATGAGTGTGTCTTATTAATCAAATCTAACACAGAGATATTCTCCCAAAAGTATTGTTAGAATACTTAGGATCGTATTGATTATTAACCACAGTTTATTGAATTCAGAAGAGCTTAAAATACAACAAATAAGGAAATGCCATAAATACAAGGAGAATACAAAATCTAGCACTTTGCTTCCTTTTACTACTATAAAGATCTAAAATTATATAATCTCATATTTACCAATCCACTCACAACCACTAAGATGTTGAATATATTACTCAATAGATTCACACTGAAGTAAGTATCATGGCTATAGATTCCGAAGTCCCAAACTTACCCTAAATGAAACTAATGATTATTGATTCATTTAATACTTTACTTATAATCCCACAGCAAAATCCAGAAATAGGCATACTACTATCAATCCACTATAATAGGTGCATAGTAGTGAAAATAATTGAGTAAGAATCATTTTACTATTGAAATTGTCTTTCTTTTTAAAACGTTCTTTCATTAAATAATTAAAATAACTATCATTAAACAAATTGAATTGATTTGTAATTCTATTCCAACTAATTTCTCATAGCAATTGGCATTGACGAACTTTAATTAGACAATATCTTACTTAGAGATTTTAAAAATCAGCATACTGGATTATTCTCCTTTCAATTATTGGATCTCTTCTAAGAATAAGTCAAAGCCATTGTTGATTCCTTTGCAATCCCTTAAGTCTAATGTTAATTTTTGTAGTTTTTGCTTGCTTATCAAAATGGCTACCCAAGTCAGAATGGTGGTAAGCAAAGCAGATATATCAGTTTGCTTTTCTTAACTATGCTAATATTAATTAATACTCATTGAAAATGATTTAGGTTTAAGTCAATGATTATAGATTCTTCAACTCAGTAACAAGTTTTTTCGTAGATATTTATTTGCTACTAATGTAAAATTTTTAGAGATATGCTGCTTTATAATTTTTTAAAAAGAGGTATAAATCGTCAAACTAAATACTATTGCAATTTTTTAGTTTTAAGATTTTCAAGTGTTATATTTTAGAGGAATATATTTACTTTAATACTTCCCCATTTATTTAGGTATTTGATAAGTTTATTGAAATGATATTAGTAATAAATTAGGATTACAGAAAATGTTTCATTCCATAATGAGTGATATCCTATTTCTTTAAATTCAAATATTCAATATTCTGTAAACCTTGCGAATGAGCTATTCTCTTAAGAGTTTCGTCTTTAATATAATTATTCTCCTGCATATCATGATAAGACATGTAACCATACTTCTCTAAATTTCTGACATTCGCAAATAGACTATTAGTTGTGTGTATTGAAATCTTAAAATCAATCATCTGCTATTCCTATTGCTTAGAAGTTAATGGCATCATATTAACCTTCTTCCCGAGTGGTGTCTCAGAAAACTTCTTGAGATCTTTATCTGTTAATGAAGTCTTATTCAAATTCAATTGGTTAAGATTAGGTAAGTACACAGGGGTGAATAATTTGAGGAGGTTGGAGTCAACCCACTTATTATGGGAGATATCCAATAGAATTAACTTCTAAGATTTGTCACACGCAATGAAATCTTCAAATTATTAACACCACAGACATCCAGCCATCCTTAATTTATGAAGTTTGTTTAAATTGTCTGAATTAATTAAGGCAGTGATTGTTTATACTGATAATTAAGTATATGATAAATCTAAATCCCTCACTTAAGTCACAGATTAACTCATCAAAATCAAATTAAGTTAGTTGTCTTTGATTTAGGAATTACTAAAGCTTAGTATTTCAATCTAAAATTAGATAAAAAAGTACCTAAGAAATGATGTCATCAGCAAATAGCCATTCTAATGCATGGGAAGATAAGGAAGCAGTTTAGAGAATCAATTCACTCACATTTGACTTTTATTAGTTGAGACATTCTAAAACAATTTAGGATTCTAATACATCAGACTGTATTTCAATTTCTATCTATTATTTTTGATTAATCTTTTTATTTTGCTTTACACAACAAGCAGTAGTTGACTTATTTTAAACCATTGGAGGTTAGATAGGTTTTCTAATTGATTATTCTTTTTGCTGCTTTTAATGTGACTCCTTGTAATGTTGTCCATCAAATCGGATATAAATATAATTATTATTGCTGTCTTTAAGATAAATCTATTTTTCAATCACATATCTTCGAATTTCGAAATGAGAGATTTTGCTTCTAAGATTTTTTATAAATCTGCTTACAATTAGACAAATTATTTCTTTATCATTCAAACCTAGGACATCAATAACAGTAAAATCATAAGGTTATTAATATCCATAATATTTTTGGGTTGTGGCATCAAATTCAAACTTGTAATAATACTTTCCAACAATGAAATCATCCTCAGCCAACCTTTCACTTATATTTAAGAAATACTAAACCTAAAGTCTATTGATAGTAGTTTTCTAATCTAATAATCCAAAATAAAATTATGAATTTATTTATAATTGATGCTCTTCGTGATGATCATCTATTTTATTAATCAGTTTTCCATAATCAATATTAACCTCTTTGTAATTGAGATCACTCACTGTATTATATATATGCAACTCTCCTTTTCCATGAGGTAAATTCTTTAACCATACTCCAGAATAAAGAATTTAGAGTTGATTTTAAACTAAACTTTACTTTGTGCTAAGTGCTTATTTAGACTCATATAGTTGAGTTACTTAGCTTATCTCGAAGTCTTAATCGTCTTCACATATAGATTTCTTATCTTTCTTATGTCTTTGAATCTTAAAAATTAAATCATTTTTAGCCGCCTTATACATTATGCCTTGTCCTTCCCTCTCTTATTTTTCTATATTGTATGCACCTTGATATATTTGGGATTTTAAACTATATGCCAATTAAGAGCTGCCTTATTCAGATTTCCAGACTGTAGGGACAAATTGTTAAGTAAAAGATGTTTAAATAGAGGTGCAAATTTAAGAATTGAACAGTGTAGCTAATTCTATGGTAGATATTCTGGTATCTTCATTTTCATCTAGTAGCAACTTTAATAAAGGCTTTATTCTTTTTAACTTTTAGTCGAAGAGGAAAAACTTTTCAGGATAAAGGTATATTTCATATTTTTCAATTAAGCCTGGCAAGTTTTATTGTCTTTATTCATAAAAGAGACATTCAATTTGTTTTCTCAAATTAATTTTGTCATTGTGTAGTAATAATTGCAAAAGGACTAATCCTAAGGAATAGATATCTGATTTAAATGGATTATGTTTAAAATTGTTGGAGATTGAATCAATCGTATGCGTTATGTGAATATCAAGTTATTATTTTTGATTGGTTGAGAGATAGTGTTCAAATTTTAATGGAGACATATATAATATTGTGCCAAATATTTAATTAATTTCAACTGAGTTTTGATCTTTTGGAACTTGTCTGATTGCTCCAAAGTCATGCAATATAAATTTATGATCTTGAATCAAAATGTTTTCAGGTTTAATGTCATTGTGAGCCGATTCTATTAATTATTAATGGATATTGTTTACATCTCCCAATATGCAGATTGTATAATTGATCAACAATATCTTTGATGATTTGCAGAATCTCATCATTTGTGAAATTCTCTTTCTGATTTTATTTTTTGTCAATTAAATCTTCCAAAGTGTTTTGTGCTAATTCTTCTTCTATGATTAAAATGTCCTCCACTTCTAAGATTTGATACTAAAACAAGTAGTTTCCTACGAAGTTTTCTGCCACGTCCTAATTTATCTGTCTTTACATTAATGCTGCATATAGATTTTCTTAAGTGTTTTGAGAAATTTTCACAGCCACCAAATGCTCATGTTAATTAAGGGCTTTGAATGCTTAGGATTATGCTCCAGATCCAACTTTTTTAATATCTCTATAATGTAACAAGGTTAATAAATCAATAAAATCTCGAGTTGTTTTCAAATCACAAAATCTAGATGAATTTTCCAGTATTATTTAAGTGTATTGTTTTTACTTAGTTGATACAGTGTTTCTACTATGAGTTCTAGTCTCTTCAATACATGACATTTTTAACAAATGACTAAAAGTTGAAAGACTTCTTTTTTTTGATTGCTTTCTTTTCATCTCAATTGGTTTTGATTTAAAGAATTCAAGTATGCATTGTTCATTATTTTAAACCTTATTAACCTTATTGCATAAATCCATTAGCCATTGAAATCTTTCATTGCTTTCCTCAGGCATTTAAGAATTAAAAACATCTAATCCAAATCTTTGTATTTCTTCACATTTATGTTCAACCATCCAAAAAGTTTACAGATTTTTATTATATACCTTAAAACATATCTAATTCGATGAATCGTCACTTTAATCTAAGTCTATCTCTACCTCAATATTATTTAATAAATAATCCATTAATTTATATAATCCATTTGTTATAAACTAAAGATTATTTAACAGATAATTATTTACAGATTATAATATAATAGAGGATAAAATATCCAATAAGTACTTATTACTATTTATATGGTCATGCATATAAATTGAAGTCTGAAAACTTGAAGTTTTCTGTTGGCTTCCATTTAAAAAGGGATTTCTTAAGAATTATATAAGCTAAAAAGATAAGGTTTGAGCCTTATAAAAAATCTTCATCATAGAAAGTTTTTGAATTGGATAATACTTTTCTCCAATGAAATTCTATTAAATATTAAAATCATTAATAAATTTCAGACTTCAGATTTCACTTCTTCCTAATAATTAGGTGTTCTAGGTAAATTTTGAATTGATTAATAAAATTTTAAACTACTTACAATTATGAATCCACTTAAATATAAATAAATTAGAGTTATTAATTTTGTTAATGAGCTAATCTCATATTCATACGTTAGATATTTACTAATTTAATTGATTATTCATTAGTAGATTTAAAAGAAGAAATAAGAAAGGCTTATTTACTTAACAGATTTTTAAATAAATTCTATAGAATTAAATACCTTATAGTAAATGTAATAATTTTAAGGATCCAGTTTTTAGAGAATGAATTATTATTCAAAATTTGGAGTTTCGTTTCAGATAATAAACGGAGATTGATTAATAATATACATAATATCAGTATTATCCTAAATAATTTGATGGTCTTCATAATAATAAATAGATGTATGTATCATTATATATTAAAGCAATTTTATATTATGAATTTAATGACATTTGTTACATCATCTCCTAAATTAATGATAAAAATATTTAATCAATAAAATATAATATTCACATTATTCTCTTAATTTTATAATTGAAATTTATAATAATTAAACGTACATTGATAAAATTTCGGGAATTTTTATTTAAATTTAAAATAACTAAGATGAATGATATGACAAGTCTCTTAAATCTGAAAAGAGAACAGTTTCATGTACATATTAGGAAATAGAGAAATGAGAAACAATTCAAAGAATCAAGAAAACTTTACTTTTTATCACTGTTTCCTTAGTAAACATAGATGCAAGAGATAAGCGCCAAAATAAGAGACATAATGGAAAGAGGTGAATAATTGTGTGGAGAACCATTAATAATGATAGTTGAGAAGATTGAAGAAGTTTTGGAGAAAGAAAGCAATCTTAAATTATTGGATGTAGTTCGATGTCATTATTTAGACCATTGATGCAGCTATTTGGATGCTAAAGTCTGTAGACGCATAAATATATGAGGATGAACTGAGTGATAACTATAAGATGCAAAGAATTATCGATAAGATGATACCACTTTCTCAAGGGTATTCTATCCATCAGGGACATATGAACTAATAAATTATCATATATGCTGCAAAAGTAATGTGTATTTATGATATAGTTCCTCAAATATTGGACATTGATAGACGATAAATAGATTTACCACTACTATGGTGAAGTGGCTGAAACAGTCTATTTCCTATTAAATAAATAAGAAGTCATTTTTATTAAAAGAGGAGTTGAAATAATGCTCAATCTATTCGAATGTGATGACGGGAGATTGTTGTCTAAGCTACACGAACTACTTATTTGTGGTCAAAATTTAGTTAAACCTATTTGCATTTTATTATAAAATCACTAAAACTGTGATATTCAAACAACCATTTGCAAAATAGTACTTCAAACATTTTTGATGCAAGATAAAAATGGAATGAACCAATACTTAAATTATACCAATTAGGAAAATCAACTAACATTCTTTGATATTTTAATTGAACTAGTTTAAGAATCGGAAGAGAATAGCAGAAAACTCTTTCGTTATCAATTACACATAATTCACCTGATTCTTGAGTATTCTTCAAGTGAAAGAGAATTACTATATGAGTACTACAAATAGAAAATGAATTCATCAGAATTTAGAATAAGGATGAAAGATTAATGGGTATTTCATGAATGGAATTCCATCCAGAATGTTGTTAATTAAATTCAAACGCATTTAGAAGAATGATTGAAATGAAATCAATAATCAGTTTTGTTTTTAGTATTTTATTTTATTTTCATTCTAAACTTATTGAATAGATTTTATCGTTCCTCTAATTTTAATGGTTAAATATTATAACCAATAAGGTTATAATTCACAACTTATTGATTATGATTTCTTTAAATAAGTTTGTAATAGTCTGACCAAGTTAATAAATTTGATTGGACTTGTTTTTTGAACATCAATTTCAAACAGCTTTATTTATACTGATGGGTAGAGTTTTTTCTAGGAGATAAGCTAGTCATCTAAAACGATTGAGTCGGAGTCTTCATCTCGATTTTTGGACAGCTTTCTTAATGAGATGGTTAAATGGTCTCTATAGAACGTCTGCGTTATTGAGTAGTTGTTCTAGATGGAGTCTTAATTTTAAAGTTAATATGTTTTGGTAATTTTAGTTGTTTCTTTGCTAAAAATGCTTTATCAGAATTCCCATTCCAAGGTTCAATATTCAAACCATTTGTTTATTCTTTATTCAATAGTTCATAATCATCATCAATATTCAATAATGTAAATTATGGATCATCATAATTCATTAGTAAAAAATATTCTGTAAATTTTATTATATTTCTTAATCCTTATTATAATACAAGTAACCTTATAATAAATAATTCAAACAAATACTAAACCTAAGGAATACTCTTAAAAAATCTATGAACACAAAACTAATCTCATTTTATTTAGTAAAATTCTTAGATCAAATAAAATTTGCTTAAAAAGGATGATTATTATTAAATTTAGATGAAGATACTAAAATAATAAAATAGAATGCAAAATAAAATTGAATAAAGTTTTACTATAATATAAGTAGTATTGAATTTCCAATATATTGATGATTATTCAATATTATTTATTACTTATAATATTATATAAAGTATGGAGGATATTTAATTGATTGTCAGGAGAATTAAACGATCAGGGGAACCTCGTTTAAATCTATCTGCCAAATAAATGATAAGCATCCCACCTGAGATTTACTAATTGAAACTTGTTCATTTAGATCTGAGCTACAATAAGATTACATCTATTGAACCTAGAATATTTTAATTGACAACTTTATAAGAATTAGATTTAAGCAATAATTGTATCGAATAAATACCTGAAGAACTTTTAAACATGCCAAACTTGTAGAGCTTAAACTTAAGCAATAATCCTCTAATTTCTAAATTTTAAACATTAAATGGGCATTTTCATTAACCCTAATTAAACTAGATTTTACAAAAGCTGTTTCAAATAAGTCCAGGATCTAATCAGCAATAAAAATAGGAACAGCAAATCGTTCCAGAAAGACCAAAAACATAAAGCAGAGCAATTCGATAAATTTAAGAATTGTAACATACCAACCATGTTTTGGAAGTGGATTCAAATGAATTTGAAGTTCAAGAAATCATTTCTTAAGGTGGTTTTTCAATTGTGCATCGTGGATATTTTAGAGGTACTGAAGTAAGAGCATAAATGTAAATTAGATTGCAATAAAAAAGATCTTTAATCCAAATATTACTTAACAATTATTAGATGAAATCAATAACGAAATCGAAATGCTCTCTTTATTAAGGCATCCAAATATAGTTTTATTAATGGCATGTTGTACAAAACCACCTAATTTGGTGATAGCAACTGAATTTATTCAAGGAGGAAGTTTGTATCATCTATTGCATAAGACCAAGTAAGACAAAACTGATCAATTAGTCATTAAATTTCAGATCAATTCAAATATACTATCGCCATCTAAATTGCCAGAACTTTGCAATATATGCATTAAGCTGGTGTTGTACACAGAGACATCAAATCACACAACATTTTACTTTAAGGATAGACAGTGAAATTGTGTGATTTTGGTTTAACAAAGAGATGTGTAAATATTGGATTTGATTAGTTTAGTCTGAGTTAAATTAGGGTTATTAATAATTTAGTGGGACTCCAACATACATGGCTCCAGAGTTATTTGCTAAACGAGTAAGTATATTATATGGAGTATTAAAGGCTTATGACAAAGGAGTAGATCTGTTTGCTTATGGAACATTGTTATGGGAAATATTCGCAAGAGAGGTGCCTTGGGATTGTTTGGAGATGCAAGAGATTGTTTAGAAGACGATGAAGAATGAGTAATTACCTGCTAGGAATGTGCCAAAGAATATTATGCAATTAGTGAATGAATTGAGGAGCAAGGAGGAAACGAAGAGACCTTCAATGGATGTTGTTGTTAAATAATTATTAAGTAGATGATTTAATTTAAAATAATATTAAAATAGAATTGCCATACTTTGTTTTTGATTAATAAATTTTTTAACATAATTATAGTTAATTAATTCAAAAATGAAATCGCTTAAAGAGAGAATGTAAAAAATAGACAAAGTATTATGCATACCTATACGAATAGATATGTTAAAAGCTCAACATTCCTGATTAAAATAAGGGTCTTTTCAAACGAAAGAAGAACAATTCATGCATAATGAAGGAACAAGACAAGAACATTAACAATGTTAGCATGATTAGTTCAAATGCGGGGTGTATCATTAGTAGAACCTAATTGAAAAAGCAATAGTCAATTTAGATGTTGTAATGTGATACAGTTAGAAGTTAAACATTATCCTTGAAATAATTAAAGATGATTCACGAACAAGACTAGATTCAGTGCATGTAATCGTAAAAGGAGGAGTTACAAAATTAGATTAACTAATTAGTGTAAATGAAAAAATAAATATAAGAACAAGAGGAGAAAAAGAAAAAACAATTTATCACTTAAGACGCTTCACTATTGCCACAAATGCTCAAGTTGTAATAGGAGAAAGTGTCAATTGAAAATGAGATCAATTAGATTGATTCTAAAATTGAACAAGTCAGATATTGCAACATTAATAAATTACAAGTACTTCAAAAAAGAAACTGGAAGGAGGAGAAAAAGGTAACTTTGAGTAAGATTCATATTTATAGTCATTCGAATAAAAATGGTTGGACCTTGAATAAAACGAATCTAAAATTCAAATAGATGACAAGTTATACAATCTTTTCATCCATGATTCTCCACCTTAAGAACAAGTTGATTAAAAGACTATTGATACCTTAACAAAGGAAGTGGAAGATCTATTATGTCTTAAATTACCAGATGAGTAGGAAGATTAATAAGTAGAGCAAAGTCAAAGAAGCAAATTAAATTAGAATTATTAATCTCCATTATACATTATTGAAGAAGAGCAATCTGTGGAATTGTCTTTTTAAAAATTATGAATATAATTTATTAATATAACTATAAATGTCAATTAATAAAAACTTAGATGATGATAAAGCAATTGAGATTGATGAAAATATTCTATCAAATTCAGATGGCACTCTCAATGTAATTGAAGAATATCATTAATAAAATGAAACAATTGAAGATGTAGCATATAATTACATTCACTTCGCAATTTACTTGTTCTACTTTTCAATTTTACAAGTATTTTTAAAGTAATAATCGACGATAATGATAATACTTATAATCCATGCATTATTAAGTGCAATATCATTAATAATCAATATAATAAATTCTAAAAATATTATTAATAAAGTAAAAATAGTTTCATGATTTAGTTAAAAATAGTTCTTCGTCTCGATATAGAAATTAGTTTATTTTGGTTTGTAACATTCCTAAACATTGCTAGCAATCTTGCTATCTATTACTTCTCCTATTAAGCATATAACCTTAAATAATATCGATTGTATGAATGCCTATCAAAATTGATATTTTTTAGTTTCTTCATCTAAGTACTTTTAATATATATTTTTAGTAATTTTAGTAATTTGACTTCCAAATTAATGTAATGCTTATATTCATCAAAATATTGACACAATTTTATGTGAAAAATACAGCCCATTTGATCAAAAGCATCATTTCCCTACCTTAATTTAATTCAATTTGATTAAAATTTATATATTTTAATCTACAATAAATTAAAGATATATCAATCAGACCTGAGTAAACTTGATAAGTATTATCAATTTATTACTTCTTTCATCTTTTTGGATATTCTTAAATCAGTGAAAAACAATTATAATTTTTCAATTCTCAGAATCGTTCTTTATTGCATAAAAATATAACATTGTTTATGTGGAATCAAAAGAAGGCTAAGAAACCAGTTAATAAATATTTTTATATGAATCTACTAATGTTGTTAAATATAATAAAGAGAAGTAATTTATTCATTCTTAAATAATTTTAATTATTTATTCTGTGCAACTAATACACACTAACAAACTTCTTATCTAATTTAATAGACTTGTAAAAGTATCAGTTTAAACAATATTGCATTTTAGTATAACCAACTCAATAAAGTATAAAGATATAAAATAGATATGATAGACTAGAGAATTAAAATTTATTATAAAGTTGATAGATAGAATTAACCAAAGATATTATAGTTTAACAATGTGATTGGAGTTCAATTGTAAGTATTGTTTTTTAAGCAATAATTGTATGGATTTTTAAATATTATAATTAAAAAAATCGAGTAGTACTACTAAATCATTTCAAATATTTTTATGGTTTTGGTAAATAATGCTAGATGTTCTCCTTTTGTCTTTCTACCATTTATTATAAAAATTCTAATCCTTTTGATATGACTTATTTATTAAGTGGACCAGGAATTTCATTATGTTTTAAAATTTTGGGCATTATGTCTTTGATACTCTAAATTCTGTTTATCGAGTTGGATTTTTTAATTTCAATTTGCTAATCTGTTTTAAAATGAGTTTTTTTCAGCTAATTTTTTGTCTTACTATAATTTCGTCTATCAGCCGATATGTTAGTAGAATTGATTTCTGAGAGTAGTTGTAACTATCTTTTATTTTATTATTGACTATTTTTGAGATAACAAATACTTTAATCTGATTTTAAACTATTCCTTCTTCTGTTCAATAATTGATAAGGTCTCCTTTTAAAACTTAGGATCATTTAAGTTGAATGTTCTGTGAGTATCATATTTATATTGTTAGTTGTGTTATAGAAATTCCATGACTTTTTTTAATTCTAAAATCTTGTTTTGAGTGGTTGGAACTCTTGGGGGTCTAAAAATTTGACTTTTGTTCCTGCTCTAATCAATAAGATCTGGAATAATAAAGTGAAATACTTGATTTATTTGGTTCTTAATCGTATCTTCTTTAACACAAACTCACACTTCTCTTCTATGCATGTTGCTTCCTGTTAACAATCTCTATGATATGATATTAATTGAAATGGAATTACAATTCACTACTTAATAGATTTAAGGAGAATTCTATTGATCTTATTCATGCAGCCATCTAGTGAGGGATAATGATTGATGTGATATTTACATTTATTTATAAAGATAGTTGTTAAATAATAATAGTTATATTCAAAAAAGTCTATCAGTTTATGAAAAGTAATCAATGGTGTTAGAGATATTCATTTTGATAGGAGGAGTATTATATTTAAAGTGGTCAGACATATTTTGAACTGTCTTTTAACAATTGTTCTGAAGACTCTGAGCAAACAACTTTTATGCCAATTACAATCTGTATATCTCTTTGTCCTCCACTGTTGAAGATTAATCTAATTATTCTATCTTTCTGCTTGGTGACTTAATGTTATTTTTGATTAATTGCATAATAAAATCCTATGGGGACTAATGTCTAATGATTATAAAATGTAAATATTCTACATGTTTCTAGGAGAAGGCAATTATCTACTCGATTGAGTTGACTCGTTTGAACTCTTAGTATTTTGAAGTTTCTCCAATTTTTTGCTATATTGAATCAACTATTTCTTGAACCCTGGATTGGGATTAATTGTTAATCGTTTTTCTTTTACGTAGTAATATGTTTTTTCGTATGGCCATCCTTGAGACTACATCAAATAGGCTATCACACATGCACTCGATCTGGAAATCCCTGCCATGCAATGTACCAAAACTGAACCATTTCTTAATCCCTCGTCTATAACTTCATTAATTTGTTAGAAATAATCAATTATGCGAAATGAAGTACTATCTTCAATACTAAAAATCTATCATACTATTATTAAATACATGATGCTTGAAATTCTCTATTTTAAGAGTGATATTATTGGCTACTGTGATCACAGTCTTGATGTTATTTTATCGTAAAAGACAAGAATTCTTGGCAGCCTTCAAACTTCCTAACCAAAGACTTGTCCCTTAGACAGAATGCACCTTGTCCATATCATTCGATAAAATAGAGAATCTACTCATTGATTAATTAATACAAATTGAGTACATAATTTTGTATTTGAGTTTGTTATGTATTAACACAAAATAGTAATCACTTGATTCCCTTTACAATAAAAAGATGGATAATTTCGATTAAATAGGATGGTTATTTTGAATTTCGCTTTATCTAATATTAAATTTTTGAATTCAAAGAATGGAGGAATTGAAATAAAATTATTTAGACAGGTATCATTATTTTGAATAACTAGATTGAATAATCTCCATTAGTTTCTCTATTGTGAATTGCCATTAAAGTTAATGAATCACAATGAAGATGAAGTAAAATGGGAAATATATTTTAGACTTGTATTGATCTCTAAAACCGGCTATATACATTGATAGAAACTGGATATATCAAGGAGACAGAACAATAATTGCAGCATCTAATAGAGGAGAACTATAAATTGCATAATAAGGAGAATGATAAATAATTGATCAATGGTCTTTCTACTTCTGAGGCTCGATATGTTAAGTAAATAGCTGAGTTGTAGCATCAAAGGGATCTCTTGCAGGATGAATTGGAAGAGAAGAATTTCATATTGAATGAGATTCAATCCAAAATGGAGAAGTTTGAATTATTATCTGATAACTTAGTTAAGGCAGAACAAGCTATTAAAGAGCTTTCGGATGAGAATGTGGAAATAAGCTAATAACTGCAATATGAATAAGAAATGAATTTGTAATACAAAAATCAAATAGAAGAACTACAACAAGTAGTTATGAATAAAGAGACATCCTAACGTAGGAATATCTCTCCTTCTCAGCTTTATCAATTGCATGAGCAAGTTGGATCATTAAGAATTGAACTCTCTGGATTATAAGCTGAGGTTAAGATAAGAATGTAAATATTGGAATAATTCAAAACTTAATTAATGAGTGATCTAGTGAAGGGATTTCATACAATGCTCTCGAAAACCAAATAGGAATTGTAGGCTGAAACTATTGAGGTTAAAAAGTAGCATCAGTAATTAAATGAAGTGACTAGTCAATAAATCAATAAATTAAGAAAGGATGTGCAATTTTATAAAGTTTTGGAAGAAGAATACGAAAATAAAATTAAAGAAGTTCTAAATTAGAAATCTGAGTAGGAATCTATTATTAAGTTAAAAGATGAATAATTGTAAGATATAGCAAGCAAATTAGACCTGATCTAATAAAATATTGAATAAACAGAATAGAACTTTTAAAATCAAGTGTTTTAGGCTATTAATTCAAAAGAAAAATATAAAATCTAATTAAAAAATGCTAAATAGGGATTGAGCACATTAACTGATAAAGTGTAGTCTTTATTGTCCTTCAATCAAAAATAAATGAAGTTTATTGAAGATAAAGTCTTATTGCTAGAACAAAGGATTCGAGAGGAAAATCAAGAACTCATTGATGGGTTGAGTCAAGAATTGAGTTAGAGCATAGAAACTATTAAAAGAACAACATTCCAGCATCAGATAACTTGAATTGCAATGCTTAAAGTCTAATTTCTAAAAGGTAGACCATATAAATAGAGGAGTTGAATAAAGTAGATATTCAGAAACGATGAACAAACATTAAGATATTGAGTATGTTAAAAATGATAGTTCATTTATTGGAGAAAGATCTTTATGTTAGAGAACAGGCAGATTGGATGAATAAAGGAAATATTTAGATGACTTAAAGAAACTGCATAGAACAACTAAATCCTAATTAAAATTTAATCGAAAGTATTGAAATTAAGTAATATTTATGATCTAAATTAATTCTAACAATTTATGTAAAAATATTAAATAATTTATATTCTACAATTCAAAAATCTTAAGCAACATTTCGATATTTAAATTTATATTTAGAACACATTTCTGCATTTGGTAATTCCTCCAAATATCTTTGGACATTAGCCTCTAACAATCCAAACCTATCTGTACCACTGATTGTAACCTTAGATTTTTTATGTTCCTACAATTCATTGATTCTATTGTAAATATGAACCTAATGTGTAATACTATATTTATACCCAGCAACCAGTGCAGCTATTCTTAATTATTGGATTTTCTAAATCTTCTTCACTAGTTACTTTAAATAAAGGTTTGCCATCACTCCCCTCTTAGATTTCACAGGTGTACTGACATCTCTTACCTTTTGTAAACATGCTAGCATGGGTTCTAATACTTTTATATCCTACTGGAAATAGATTGTGTTCACTATGATAGGCAGGACTTGGTATGATTCTACCAAGACTTACCAATTTAAGACTAGTACTGACTTAATAAGGTAATTAGATTTCATTCACTCCACCTGTAGAATTAGGTTTAATTTTTTTTTATTAATCATCCTTTAATTCTGGTTTCCTCTTAATATTAGTCTGATCTCTAATTTTCTTAAAAAATGAGCATAGCTATTCAATTCTATTGAGTATTTATTCAGTAGCCATAATGGTATTAATATTGCTTAGAGTGATGGGCTAAAGTCCATTAAATCCTGTCTAAGAGAGTGTAATAATAATTTGAATATCATGAGTCTTTGGATCGTATTCAGGAATATCAATCAACAATTCCTTTTCCACTTATTGGATATGCTATTAGAACAGTGCCTGATTTTAGGGGAGTATATTCTTTCTAATGAAATGCAACATATTTGTTTATTTACTAAACTTTTAACTGTCTGAATATGAAATCTAGAATTCATCTCCTTGATCTTCTCTAATTTCTCCAATTGATGATGGTGGCTATTCTATTTCTAGATCACTTGAATCACTTTCCAAAAATTCTCTCTCTTTATGTTTCATTAACATCTATTCGCATCTAGTTCGTATAGTTTAAACCATTTTCTCTAATTGATTCAGATTTTTATCGAATTTATTGATCTTTAGTATCAACTTATCTTTGAGTTCTTACCAATTTTATCTGCCATCAACACCAATAGGTACTCCATAATCACACAATAAATTAAACAAAGCCTACTTTTCAGCAATCGACCATGATTTCTCCTCTTCATCATCACTCTAGGCCAAATTATCAAAATCATAAAACCCATCAAATTTTTATATTATCTATACCAATTTCTTTACTCTCTTATTCAAAGTTTCTGGAAATGGAAACTCTTAATAATTTTGAGCTAAAAGTAATAATACAATCTAGTCTACATGTAGATAAATCTTTAAAGCATAGATCATTAGCTTCCTTAATCGTTAAATGATTGGTGTATCCATATTGATACACTCCTCTAATCAGATCACTATCATGTTTCCTAGTCCACCAAATAGATGGTCTCTATGAATAAAAAGAGCTACTTGGAATGAATCCCAATAGATAATCCCATTTCACTATTTATCTACATAAATTCTTACGTTGCGATTTGTCTTTAATACCCAAATTTTTTAGTTGATGTTCCTTAAACTTTTTAATAAACTCTCGAATTTTTGCCAACATCAGAATTCTCTTACTGATAGATATTAGCTTTTATTTTAGATTCTGCAACTCCCAGTCCTCTATAATATTGTAATGAATTATGCATACTTTGATTTGTTTCAATATAAGGATCCTCTGGGTTTTCCTCTATTAAATTTACTATTCCTGCGCCTAAATCGTAATTTACCAATAGTTCGACTATTGATCTTAAAAGAGAATTTGCAAATGCCTTTATCTCCTATCTGGTCCTGTTTGCAAACTTTAGTTATTACAGTTTATTCCATCTCCCATACCCAAATTAAAGGATCAATTTCTTTAGCATCTCTTTATCTTCTTAAGTCCATTTTGCATATAACACTTTATCATGAACTCTATTAAATTATGTTTGGGCTGCTCTTTATGCTTCATATTTTAAGGGCTCTCTCAATGGAAGAATGAAAGTATAATAATGTTTGGTTCTACATTCTTTACATGGGATGTAGATTCTGCTAAAATTAGTCAAAATAGTTTCCTTTGTGACAACCTAATTTTCAATTTATAGCTCTGTATGAGGAATTATTGAGAATTAATAAAGCTCTTCTGATAGTTTCAACTCTCCAATTATCAATGGATTATTTGGACATTTCATCACTCGAATTCCTCTTGCGGATGGGAAGTTGGAGAGCTAAGTAGGAAGTGTCTTAATTAGGAATTCCTCTCCTACATAGGATTATAATTTAGCATACAACATTCAATTAATTTTTAATATTGCATTTGATCAAATAGGATTTTGATAATTATACTATTACTAAAATAAATATACATATGCCCATATTGAGCTATATGCAATTAAATTAATTAATTCTATGGTTTTCTTTATTTAATAATTATAAATATAATGTCGAATGCAAATACTATGAGCTGCCTATGGAAAGAATCTAAAGATGCTAAGCCATATGTCAACAGAGTCCCCATCCCAACTGTTGAAGAAGGTCAACTATTAATCAGAATGGATTATGCACCAATCAATCCATCAGACATTAAATTTCTTTTAGGACAGTCTTCATCCAACAAACAATTTCCTTGTGTCGCAGGATTCGAGGGTTCTGGTACAGTAGTACTGACAGGTGGAGGAATTGCCAGTTGGGGTATGTCTGGAAAAAGAGTGGCATTTTACACAAATCATGAATATGGAACATACGGAGAATATTGCATAGCAGACACAAATTTGTGTATAGAGTTAGACAATGACATTGAATCAAGTTAAGCTGCTTGTTCATTTGTGAATCCATTATCTGCCATAGGGATGCTGGATATTTGCAAGAAAAACAATGCAAAGGCTGTCATTAATAATCCAGGTGCTTCATAATTAGGAAAAATGATGAATAGACTATTTAATGAAAGAAACATAAAGGTGATCAACATTGTCAGGAGAGAAGAATAAGTTTATGAATTAAGATATGAATGTGGGGCCGAATTAATTATCAATCAAAATGATCCAGATTTCCTTAAGCAATTAAAAATTATGTGTGAAACTACTTAAGCATCCATATACTTTGATGCTGTTGGAGGAGAATAGAGTGGATAGATTTTAAACATTATGCCTAAAGGATCCACACTGATGATGTATGGAACTCTTGATAGCTGGTAAATTGGAGGAATTTAAGCTAATGATTTATTAAGTGATAAAAAATCAATCTAGGGGTATTGTATTTTCATTTATTCTAGATTCTTTTTAAATGTCTGGTTAAAAGAATAAAACAAATTAGAATTAATTATGACATTAAAAAAGTTGAAGAATTTTATAAAGACTTCATTGAAAACTAAAATTGCAAAAGAAGTAATCTATATTAGTATTATTTAGTTTCCTTTGGATTAATTTTAATAGGCAATTGATTATTATAAAACACATATGACAGAGGGAAAAACATTAATTTGTTTGAAAAAAACAATTTAATCAAATTAAGATAACTCAAATTAAAAATAGGCATAGTCATAAAATGAAGAATAATTAAGTTAACAGAAGGAATAGAATAAAGTATAATAATAATAACAATAATAATAATAATAATAATAATAATAATAATAATAATAATAATAACAATTAATAATAATAATAATAACAATAATAATAATAATAAGAAGAATAACATTAATAATTAGAATAACATTAATAAGAATAAGAATAGCTTTAATAATAATAAAAACCTAATGAAGAATAGGAATTTTAAGAAGATGAGGATGATTCAAATTCAGGATTTGGAGAAGGATTAAATGATGTATTGTCAAACTCAGAGTAAAAGTGAAATAATAAATCAGTCTAAAAATTTAGACTTATTACGTTCTCCTTCTCTAAATGATTTAAACGATAAACCAATTTTAAGCTTAGGAGCACTGTGTTTCTTTACAGAATACAATTTACTCTGTGAAATATCAGCATTTGATTCGCTTGTTAAGTTGTCTCTGCTCTTAATGACCTTGTTTTTAAGTTGTCTAATAATGACATCCATCGAAGGTGCTTCATAGTTTTATTAAGTCTTAAACAAATTTCCTTACAAGTTTAAAAACTTTCTTATGGTTTTATTGCTTTTGCTTTATGAATGCAATTACGTTGGAGACAACAACTATAAATCCTTAGAATCCTTCTTACTATCTAGGTCTAATTCTTCAAAATAATTATTTGATAAAGAGACTTTATATGGTTACCTTCCATCTTCTTTACTTTTGATGTATTATTTATTGCTTTATGGGATCGGACTCTTGCTGTCTTATTATCTTTAGATTTCTGGTTTATTTAACCATTTCTTGCTAAACTTCTATTCAAAATAGTCTTTGATCCAAGCATCTCGTTCATTCAACCTCATATTATCAATATATTATGATATTGATAATGCTAATACAGTAGTTTTCACTCTAGCTTTGGCTTATGTTACTCTTGTGAGATACCTGCATTTCATATTAGTTTAGTAGACTTCATAATCTCCAAATACCTATCCAGTGGAGTATAACCCAAGAACTATGATATTCCTCTTTGAATAAATATCCCCTTCTTATGTTACTGATTATTATTTCTCCCATCTCTCTATAAGTACTTCTCCCTCCTTAATTATATAAACTGTATCTCCTTTCTATCCTCTTTTATAAATGAATGATCCAGCCTCGAAACTGACTTCCTAGCAACTATGCAACAGAACTGATTAACCTGATTGACTCCAATTTTTGAAAGGTGGTGTTCTTTTAATGAATTATAATTTTTCCTCTAAGATTTTTTCTTAATACTATCCTAGTACTTTCTAATATGAATCATAACTCAATGTAGCAAAAATACAATCAGTTTTGGCTACAACTGAAGCTGTTCTAGGAATTCTCTATTCAATTGCAATTTCTCCAAAATACTCATTTTTGCTTTTAATAGCAATTAATGTATAATGTGCATACTTATGTTTCAATAAATCATCAAATTTTTTTATTGTCAATGATTCTACAACTAGAATGAAAATTACTTCTCTGGTGATGATGATTATTATGATGTTATTATTCTTACTATGGAATTAGAATGGCTACTTCTCCATCCATGATAAAGTACATTTTTCGTCCAATATCACCCATATTAAATACAACTTCTGCTGCATCACACTTTTCAATTGATAAATCTTTGAAAATTCTAATGTAAAGATCATCAGGCAAATGTCCTCTTATTTTCCTAGAATTATTTGTAATATTACGAAAAATAAGCAAAATCTCTCTCAAAATATTTTTGGACATATTTAGCTTAGATTATGGATCTTTTGTCTGGTTCTATAGTTAAAATTTGTAAGCATCTCTGTCTAATCATATCAGCATCCTCATTAATCGTTTTTTAGAAAGTGTTTGTAATTTTAAATAAAAGCTATTCTAGTTTGTCAGTTTTACATTGGTTTCCTTTATTTCGCGTAAATTTCCTATTACAGATGCAAGACGATTATTAGCTCTCATTAATTTTAGAAAGTATGTGTTTATATATTATTGATATTAATAAGTCAAACTCATCTATTATTGAATTGTTTACTTAGATAATTTTAAAATCTCTCAATAACCTTATTAAAATTATGATTTGGAAAGTACCATTCAAAAATTTACATATTCTCGAATTCTTTTATCAAAATCAATTATCTCGCAGAACCAACCAGTTCAGATAACTATCTATATATCTAAATAAAATACAATTGGTTGTGAGTCTGATCTCCTTAAATTCAAACTGACATCATTTTAATTCATCCTTACTGATGTGGTATACATATGTGGACTTCCAATATTACTCTGCAATTATTGTATGACTTCTTTACTTTGCAATATACTAGTTGATTGTGGAAGTTGCTTTTAAGAATGTATTGATGATTTTTTATCTAAAGCTCTTTCGATTGTAAAGCTACTACCCATATTTGATTATCTTTTAAGTTATTCTTTTGTAAATAACATTAAAGTAGTTTTATTCTATTATTAGATTGGTGAAGGGGAATTACTTATTACAATTGAGTCATTATTATTATTCTGTTTTAATCTAGAAGTATTGTTTTCAGATGCTTTTAATGTTCTAATAGTTAAAGTCCTATTGATATTTGAATCAGTATAAACTCTTTCTCTCTCTCTCCCAGTAATCCCTGTTTTATTTGTTTTGGGTGACCTTACACTTTATTAATGAGTATAGGTTTGTGTTTGATGTTTGGAAGTGTGATCATCATCATTTGCGAATAGTTGAAATTCATCATCCCCCTCTTATTTACCCAAGAACTAGTCAATAAGTTCTGTATTTTTAGATATCAAATTGAATTGTTACGCCCAATTCAAAGCTGTTATACTTACCAAGTTTTGCTAAACTAATGATGATGTTCGTTTCCTTTCGAATCTTCTAAATTTAATTCTAGAACTTGGTTATGCATATGTACTATTTGAGATTATTTTCATATAATTAGGCTGGTATGATACGCCAGTACACATAGATGTCACATGATTATCCATGCAGATGTAACAGATCTAATGTATAATTGAACTTTTACTTTGTAAACACAACGGCTTTGTTACACTTACATTTTGTCTAACCACATTTTATATTTTTAAAAATCTTCCTCATGCATGGATATCAAATCATAAAATGATTCATAATCTATTATTAATATCTTACATTTTTATTAGGTAGTTATTTCACAAGGAGAAGACAAACAAGCAAAAAATTCATATTAATTCACTATGTTTAATTTTTTCAATACTTATACTCTCTTTTGATTAATTTGTAAGGCTACTTCTCCTTCCATTAAGAATATTAATTTATTTACTCTTTAGTTTTGTTATTGTATGATTTCCCCTTCTTCTATTGTTTATTCCTTTACAAATTCAGATAGATTCTTTTAAAATGATTCAGTGAATTTTTGTTTGATAAATTTAGACTTTTGAATGATATCCAAATAACTATGTAGATTAAGAGATTTTCTCAATTCTTTCGGCAAATTAAAGTCAATCTAACTTAAATAGGTCTCTTAATATTTCTGATTTTCCACTTCAGACCACAATAACTACCTAACTTAATGTTAATTTCTAAAAGGCTGTTTATTCATAGTGTTTTTGCTAAGTAATAATTCAAAAAACTCTTCTTTTTTTATCATTTCATCCGATATCTTCATGTATGTAAAGAATTGCTATGTAAAGTATAACAAAATCAAGAGACTCATAATTCTATTTAAAGAAATATAGTATATATTTTAATCATCACTCGTTTCTAGATCTAAATTAAAAAACAATTATATCTATTATCCTAACAAAATATCGTAAGTTTATTCATTATCTAATTAGAATTACCAAAAATGTACACTATTATTCAAATGAATCACCACTATTAATATTGAATTAATGAATCTTAAAAGCTTTTTTGAAGTCAATACATTTAAACTTTACATAATCTAATACACTTTTATCATATTTATAATATTCATAAATAGAAATACTTAGTTGAATAAACTACCTATATTTATTCCAATAATCAAAATATCTAGAATGTTCCATTATTTATAATCAACCACTTTGTAGGTTGAATAAATAAAGACTAATTTTAATAAAATCTCTTACTAAATATCAGAATAGGTTCAAATCTCATATTGAAAATAGGTGCAACGACACAATATGCCAATAGAATCATAATTAATATCAAATTTACTAACATTTTTTCATAGGAGTCTTTCTTAAGTAGGCTGCAATTATATGATTTCTTAATCTCTTACTCTTCAATCTGTGTGCCACTACCTTTATCCTCTATAATCCTTTCAAAGCATTTCATCTTGCTTTATTGTTGCTTTTAGACTCTCAAATAATACAACAGTTTTTGAATAAATATTCTAATCACTTAATGAGCATGAAATCTAAGGGCAGTCCCAGAAACTTTAAAAGTGATTTTTAAAGGTTAATTCAAAGATTAATCCAAAGGAGAATCAAATCTATCAGGCTCTTTAAACGAGTCTTATGGGCAAATCTCTTTATAAGTTTATGATTTGTATAATCCTCTAGTTACTTCTAGTGGGCTTTTGCTTTTACGCTTTTTTAAGGAAACCTCAGAATCTACATAAATTGATTCACTTTTTTGATCAATTATTTTAGTTCCTATTTATGTTAAGTTAGCCTATCTAAAGTGTTAACCCCTTAGAGGACCTTAAGAACGTTGATTAATCATTTTTATTATTATTAAAATAAAATGATCAGTAGCATTATAACATCATCTAGTATAGTGGATTCCTGAAAATTCTTAAAATTACTATCTCCAAATTACTTGGCAATCCTCAATTATCTATTTTCAAATTAAAATTTAAGGTAATTTTTTCAAAATTTAAGCTACAGTCTTATATGATTTTGGAATTAGATGTCACTAATTAAATTAGATCTCTTATTTATACTATGAACATTAGCTATATAAAAGATTATTGGATAATATACTCTTTTGGAGAACAAGCAACTTTCCAAAAATAATATTTCTAGAAATAATTTTGTTGAAGTAATGAATAAGAATATTTATCTATAATATCCTCTTAATATATGGATAATAAAATTAATGGGTTAGTTTTAAAGGTTCCATCATTTCTGATAGTTAATTGATATTTTTATATAAGTAATTAATAGAAGAAGGATTGGGCTATCAAAAAAAGATGAATTAGAATTATGGCACAATTAGTGATCTCAGTAGACAATTAATATTCTTATTTTTAAGATTAAAATTAATCGATGTAATAATAATTTAATTTACAAAATAAGATCATGATAGTTTATAGGAAATTTCATTAGTTAAATAAGGTTGTAGGATTTCTTTTAAGTCCTCTAGTTATAAAATATTTAGTATCTTAAGAGAAAGACACTTTCTTTTGTTTGAAATTTGTATAGGTGGATTTTAAAGACAAATTTCTTTCAAGACTTAAGAACCTTTAACTATTTTTTAAAATGCTCCTTGAACTCCTTTCTTTACTAGTATTACTTGAAAACAGTTCAGGTTAATTATCACTACATTGCATTTCTTAAGAGACAGTATATTCTTTGCTCTCATTAAGACTCCCGACACTTGCTTGAGAACTTTTTTCATTTTCTTAAAGAATAGTGATGAATTTATTTTTATTTGATGCAGTTTTAGTTTTTAAAGAATTCATTGTTAAACTCATCTATGAATTTAGAGTATTAGTTTCGGTGTCTTTTTTTGGGGCAAATTAAGAGAATTATTTAGGTAAGTAAGTTTTACCAGGAATATTACGGAGGGCTTGAAAGTTTTATGAGTTTTAAAATGAAATAGTTTGATGGTGGTTTTCATTGTTGAAATCAGATGAATCCTTTTATTAATTTTTGACTGGCTTTGACCGTAATTAATTTTATTACTCAATTTCTATTTAACGCTACTCTTCTTGTTATCTAGGTAATCATGTATATAATCTACATCTACTTTATTCGATATTTTACTTCCTCTTCAATATCTTTCATGAATCTGTTCATTCTTTCTTAAACTAGATTGTCTCTGATCTCCTTTTATTTTATAAAAATTGGTAGTTAAGAGCTATTCTCTAGACAACTTTCATCAGCAACAGGAAAGTCCTCATAATCATTCTTCAAAGTTTTATCTCTCAATTATTCTATTTTCTTAACTTAATGTGTCGAATTTGTTCCTTCTTATAATTCTTAATTTGAGAGAGCCTATTCATATTTATTGCAAGAATTACAAGAACCCATTAATAAAATGAAAATTTATTTTATAATTGCAACACTTTCCATATTAATCAACGGCAAAGACACACATGATGAAGTGAGAACTTGTATAATGTAATCATTGTCTTCAACTGCAAAATGTAAAAATCAATACACCAAGTGTTTTGATGATATTGATTGCAATAATTAATTTGATGACCTTTTTAGAAATTGCGTAATCCAAGGGGGAAGTTAAATTTATGAAAGTTATTGTGTTAATATGGGCTTCATTTAAATTAGTAACGCATTATTGTCAGGTACATATGAAATGTGTATAATTAAGATTTGTTTGATTGTTTAGTTAGACAATGTAACATTATGTAAGGGAAACTAAATCATATTTAACTTTTCTCAAATGTTTCTGGGTGTTTCTCAGAAGCCCTCTTAGACTCTTCTAAGTGTTGGATTTAATCTAAGAATTGCACATAATAATGTGAAGAATAATTGAATATGATTGCTGATTGTGAAACTCATATTAGTAAGGATGATGTCGCCAACACAAGGAAATGTTTGGATTCAAAGTCCTTCACTGATACTAAGGCAAAGGAAATCAAATAATGCCTTATGATATCATGTTTGTGATTTTAGATTTATGCAAATAATCATTATATGGAATTATTATAAAAACAATATTGTTTATTAAGTAAATATTTTTAACCAATCATATGAAAATTTGTTATCCTTTCCGATTACAAATAGTGATTATTTAATTATTTTGACTAAGAATCAATTATCCTAAAATATAAATAAATTCTCAAATTTACCTTAAATAAAAACATAATCAACTGATCCTAAAAATAATTTATTCTTGAAAATATGTTCATCGATTGAAAATGCAAATTGATGGTTAATTCTATCGAAGTTGAATTTCCATGCTTTCAAGGGATCGAAAATCACCAAATCAGCAACCTTACCAATATCTATACTGCCTCGATTTTATAAATTTAAATATTAGGCTGGTCCAGATGACACCAATTGCTATAATTAAACTAGTTTCTCAACCATTCTTTTGTATCTTATATTATTCAAATCTTTCTTTTGGAAAACCTGTTTAATGAAATTTGGATCTTGGTTCTTCTTGCAAAACAATAAGGTCCACAATGCTTAATAAGTGCAACCCAAACTACATAAGCCTCCAACTGCTCTTCGAAAATCTCCTGCCTCCACAAACTTGAATGTCTCATTAACATACAAATGGGAACTAGAAATACTACTAATCCAATTATTCTGCAGTACTGCTTTCTATAATAGTTATTTATCATATTTCTATCTAATTGGAGGATCCGACTTGTATTTAGTAACACCATCCTAAATGTCTTCACTATCCAACAATAAATAAGGATATGATATGTCACTATAAATTTGATTATTGATCATTTCCTTAATTTCAACCAAAGCAAAGGAGGATGAATATCCATTCAATATGATATTGCATTTAGATTAGTATCTGAGTGCCTTCTTTACTTTATTGATAGCTAGTTTCTCCCAAGTTGCTGGTCTAAATGCTAGAAAACATAAGTAATCCCGATTGAACCTATTATTATTATTATTTTATTTTGGTCTCGATTCTGAAAAATTAAAATGCATTTATTAGCTCTCTTTGTTTTCAACTTAATGCAAAACTAATGAAAATCCATTCTTTGATTATCTTCTATACAATAAACCCTAAGTAGTTTGAGCTCTTGATCTGATCCTATGTAAGGATTTCAAAGAAGAACTATCAGGGGAAGATAGATCAGATGATTAAATAGACATTTAAGGAGTGTTCTTTCTTGTGGATTCTTGCTGATCCTTTATTAAACTTAAAGGAGATTCTTACTCCTATATTACTTACACATTTTCAATAACTGTATTATTATCAGATTTATTCTATTCCAATTAATTATCTAATTCTTCTTCATTTGGAAACTTATAGTTCTATTCCATTTTTGGAGTTCTTTAATAGGTAATTAATTCAGCTCTACTTATTAATGATAATTATGATTATTCAGTTACTTATTTAGACTTATACTTAAAAATATTGCTTTGTAATTTTGGAGAGGTAGGAATGTCATTCTGTTCATCAAAATATGATACTCTGTTTTCATCTGAATTTTTATATTTTTTAACTAAATGTAAAATAACATCATTACCTATTTCTTTTATTGGAGAGTTACTCTCATTTAAATAATCAATCTATGATCGGAATCCAAGATCATTATTCTATATACTTTCGTCATCACTTGTGCATGACCCAGATATTCCATCTGTATCAACCAATTCTAATTACGAAGTCACCAATCTCTCATTAAAAGGCTTGCTTCTGAATGGAGATGTTATTCCCAAATCTTTATCTAAAGCACTTTAAGTGTGGATAAACAAGCATGATTTACTTGGTAGATTTTAAATTATTTAAATAATTTGCTCATTGTCTTTGCAATATGTTCCTGAATATGATGGTACTAAATGACAGTCAAAACAAAATGCTCCCAATTTCAACAAACCATTTATCTTTAAGTCATAATTCATATTTAAGTACATCCTAATAATTCTGCAACTTGGCCATTTGAATAAAGTCCGTCTAAGACTTTAAGTTCAATTATTCAATCTGACTTGTGTACGTCTCCTAGGAACTCAACTCCATATCAAAAACAAAGGGTTTGTTAATAATAAGGGAAACTCCACCTATGATAGCCATTCTATTCAAAGTAACTCTTACTTAGTGAAGTCTTCAATATGATCCCATATACTAAGAGACACATTAGTATCAATAGCTGCTGCCATGATAATCTGATTCTCGTAGACATATTTTATAGGGTATTATTATATTATCATTTCGTCATAAGACTCTAAAATGTGTTTGATTAATCCATCCTCAATGCATATATATCCATTAATTAATTGATCCTTGTATAGAATATACCTTCCTTGTATTGAGTACTTCATAAATTAATTTATATATTATGATTTCTACTGAAATCAATTCAAACGATGCTATTGTTAGATTTGATTAAATTGAAACCTAATGGAGTGATTAATTAAATAAAGTAACTAATATCTTCACCTACTGTCTTTAAGATGCATTAATACCTCAAAATTAGATACAATCAAAATAAACCTAATTTTTCATGGATTGAATGCTCATTCTTTGGAAGATGAGTATATATATTTATGAGAGAAATAAAAAATAGAAAGAACAATTAAAGATTATGATAGATTAATATCTAAAAGTATTCTAAACTCATAAAAAATGATTTTTGGAGACACAATACAGAATAATTATATCTTTTTGGTATGATTATATATCCAAATTATCCTCAACCTTAAACCTAATTTATGTTACTTTCTCTCTAACAATATCATTCCTTTATCTGTAATTGTTATTGACAATATTTGAGTATTTTCTTTATTTATTCAATATATAATTCAAATAGGAAGTTCAATTTTAAAAAATAAATTTATATTCACACATGAATTACTTTATAATGAACAGACTTACATGATATAAAGTGAAAAGTTAATACCTTAAAAAATTTCAATTATGTACTTGTTCAATTTATAATCATTAATAATTGAAATAAAAATAAAAAGGGTTGTCAACACGAGGACTTCCCAAGCGGTCCCCCACCTTAGTACTAACCTCGCCTTAAGCCGCTTAACTTCGGAGTTCGAATGGGATCCGGTGCTTTAGGCTTAGTATGGCCGACAACGATATTTACATTACTCTCTCGCTTTTATAGCATAGGTTCTATATTAATATAATGAATTTATATAATATATAAAATGTAACAGTTAAGGAAAAATGGAATTAATTAATATTCAAATCAAAGCTAATTTTTATCTTAATTTTTCAATATACTTTTCATTTTCTTCCTCTTCTAATTATTGCTATTTATTGAGCATAAATCGTATTTCTCTTTCCTTACATTTTTTTTCTAATTCCATTATGGATTTCAAGACAGTTTAATACTTTTCTTCAAAGTGTATTGGCTTATTATCATTCAAGGATGAAGGAAAGTTAGCAGAGTTGAGTCCTGATTTTAACAATTTTCTCTTGGATATTAAATTTTTATGATCTGTTGTATATGGTTTTTCTACATGTTCAATTTTATCACTTTTTTTCATTTCAATCAAAGAGTTTTATCCTCTTTACCTAATATCATTCACACTTCTTCTCTCAGGGAGTATCAAGATTTTATCCACTTTCCTTTCTCCCAATAAACTTTATAATTTCTTTATATTTTATTTTGCAATGTCCAATTGATTCTTCTAAATGCTATTCTGTTCTTATGTTGGTTTAATTGGTGATATGGAATGTCGAGCAATATCTTTAAGGAAACTATCCTTTACAGATTCTCCATATCTTTATTGTTTTTATTTCAATATTTTTTTTTGTTCTCCTGCTTATTATTGAGAAAGCTTTAATTTGGCTTATTCCTCTTCAAGACGAACAAGAGTTGAACTTTTTGGGAACTTAATTAATTTCATTTTGAACTCTTCTTCTTGTTCTTGCTTTTATTGTTGTCTTTATTTCAATTTTTAGAATTTCTCTTCTTCATATCGTTTTTAATGCTCTGCCAACATATCTAATCTTATTGGTTAACTTAGTTCTCTCTTCTATGCTAAGATTACCTTGAAGTTATTAATATGTATTTACTTTCTTTTTCTCTAGTTCTGAAAGATTTAGAGCCTCATCTTTCAATTTAATAACTTATTCCCTCAACTTTATTCTTTTCTATATTTACTTAATCAACTTATTCCCATCATGGTTTAATTTCTGTTGTTCTTCTCGATACAATTTATCCTCCATCATTTTTTATATTATTTACTCCCGTTTATTTTATTAAATTTGAGTTTAATCGTTGGGTGAAGAAAAATCTGAGTAAGACTTCTTTTGTGAACTTAATAAATTTAATGAATGAATTCTTTCTCTACCTAACCTAAAGGACTATTAATCATTAACTGTTTTAGATTTGATTTATTAATTTATTGTAGAGACTTCTGACACGTTCAATTCTAATCCATCATATAAATCAAATACAATTTTATTCATTTTGTCTCTCAGTTCAAAGTCAAATGGTAACTTTAGTTTATGGGTTTAATTACTTTTAAATTATCTTAGACGAGTTTGTAGAGCAACTATAAAGTAGGTTAAGATAAAACAATCTTGATCTTTTTGTTGTTGTAGTAAACAAAAATAATCATTTCTTAATTTATTAAATAAAACAAATAAAATTTTAGAATTGAATTTTAATCAAATACAAAAATCAAACAATTAACCAAAATTATATATAATCAAATCTAATTATTAAGCAATCTTAAAATCTTTTCATGAAGTTAGTTCAATTAATAAACTGTATTTTATTCTAATAAAATTAAATTGAGAATTTCTTATCCATGTATGTCACTAGTATCATCTGTCTACACAAAAGCATCCACTATCATCACCGGCATTTTTTTATGCTATTTAGGAGTTATATTCTATTAAATCTAAATTTTTGGATGCTTTTATTATTTAATTTTCTAAAGTTCACTTTAATATTGAGCTAGCAATCTTTAATTTCTCAATACCTAGTCAGTTTTCTCATTCTATTTTTCCTTCTACTCCTTTGATACTTGAATAGTATAATTCTGTTATCCATTTATTTTAGGAGGAATCACAGAATTTGTATTTTCGGTAAATTTTTCCTCAGAATCATCCTAAATAATCATAACTTTAGAGGTCTTTTATAAATTGGATAAATCCTAATAATCCGTTTTCCTTTTCCAATAATCAGGCTTGATTTGATTTTCTTTTTCCTATTTTTATTCCTCTTTATTTACATCTTCATCACATTGTTGTTATTATTCTTAAAATTAAAATTAATGTTGATGTTATTATTATTTCCCAGCTTCTCTAAGTAAGTCTAAAAAAAAGATCTCTTTGTTTTTCTCTTGTAATTTGGACTGACTCTTTTTGTTGATTTTGCTAATTGAATCTTTAGGGACCTGCCTTTCTTACTTTTAATCAAATACATCGAGCTCTATCATAAAATCTTCTCCATTTATTAATGTTTTCTTTTCAATTTCTTTAGCATATTTCTTATTCTCAGTTATTTTATTCATTTTCTATTAAGATGCATTTTTCATCCATTTTGAAAACTTAGTCTAACCAATTTATTCCTGCATTAATCTTTATTTTCTATTGATATTTAATTGGTGCTCTTTCAATTATAAATTAGTATAAATCCTTTTAATTTTAAGGAAGATATAATTCTACTTATTTAAATAGTTTTTATTAATAATAATGTAAGATATTATTTTGTATGTTAGAATCTCATAATATAATCAGATAAGGATATATCTTAAAGAAATATTGTAATTCTATTAAATAATTTTGTTAATTTTCTCTTACTTTATTAATATAAAAATCAAAGTAATTTATATTTAATTGATTTTATAAATGAATTAATAGATACCAGAGATATTAGACACATAGGTAAAATATTTTGAAAATATGATAAGAACGCTCAAAATAACCAATAAGGTGTGCCCTGTAATCCTTTCGGCTAGTAAGCATCAAGTAATTTCTTGGGCTAGAGCAACTAATAGTTTTCATAAATGTAATACCCTCCTATTCAATTTTCGAATAATATACTTGTAAATATTTTTCTCATATTAGCCTTAATTGCCTCCATAATTTCCTTAATCACCGAATTAATTCTAATTCTAACCAAATTAGGGCTTCCCTCAAGCAGTACCACCAATGATGCCGAGAATGAATACTCCAAACGCCAACTCTATGATGTTTCAATTTCCTTAAAATAATGGATTCTTTCCTCAGCCGCCAATGTTGTAAAAAAATCAAGTTAAAAATAATGATGATGAGGTATAAAAATTAAAAGAAAAAGTAAGAGATTAAGAAGCTGAAATTTAAAGATTAAAAAATAAATTAAGTACTATAACCGAGGAAAGTAATAGCCTTTAATAAAATTACAAAAATAAGGACAAAGAGAACGATGAGTTAAAAGGATCTTTATAAAAATCCAAAATATCATTTAATGATGAAATTGAAAATAGAAAACAATAATTATACATTTACCAACTAAGGTGTGAGGAGCTTGAGGAAAAAGAAAGAAAATCTGCACAAGCAAACAAAAAATTATAAAATGAAATTAATATTTTAAATGATGAATATCAATAATACAAAGAAAAAATAAACTAATTACATTAAGTGAACAATGAAAGTTCGATAAAAACCCTTTAGTAAAGTAAAAATTTGGAAGATTTAAGAAATGAAATTGATAAACTCAATGATAAAGTCAATTCTTAAAATAATGAAATTTAATAAAAAGATTAATTGATTGAGACGCTAAAAAAAATCTAAAGTGACTACATTCAAAATAAATCTTATAACTAAGATGTTTCTTCTACCACTGATAAGGCTACTTTAATTTAATTAAATAAGGATTTAGAAAATAACATCAATATTCTAGAACATAATTATAAAGAACTTGAGACAAAATTCTAAATGCTTGAAATAGAAAATAAAATGCATTAAGATAAAGCAAAATTCTTTGAGGAATGTACAGAAGAGATGAGAAGTAAATTAGAATAGAATCAAAAAAAGAATTAAAATTTTGAGAACGATGAAACCTAATAATTTATAAAAGAATTTCAATAAAGGCAACAAGATACAAAAAATAGTTAATAAGATGAAATGAAAAAAGCGAAAGAGAAATTATTATAAAAAAAATAAAAGGAATAATAAGAATAAGAGCAAAGAAACCGTGAGGGAAAATAGAAAATGTTACAACAGATAGAAAAAGCTGGTAAAATACAATGCTGTTTTGTTATGGATTTATTTAAGTAAATTAATAAATAAATATAGATCAAATGATAAACAAGCCAAAGCAATCATAAAAGCTGCTCAATCGTGCTAAAAGTTGATTAAAATAAATACCAATAGACATTCTGTTTGGGGGGCTGTATGTTACGGCTATTCAAAGACAGGATTGCAAATAAAAACTTAAGAATTTAGTTAGTCATCTGATGATGTATCAAATTTTTTAACAAACTAAAAATTAAATCAAGATCAAAAAGATTAACCAGAAGACCTGAAAAGTGCACTTTTAGCTATGCTCAATTTAAAATGGACTGAAAAATATAAACTTGCTATTTTAATTCCAAATTCACCCTGCCATGGAAAGATATATCATCATCCTAAAAAATATTCTACATGGTTCGGTTTATTTTCCGTTAATTACGATACAAAACCCAATGATAATTTAGAAGATATTATTAAGGAATTAATTAAAAGAGAAATTGTACTCTTAGTGATAAGATAAAATGACGAGACAACTATAATGTGTAATTAATTGTAAATACTCTATACAAAATCTAATGCTGCTCCTCTGTTTTATACACTTTCAGTCAAAGATCTTGGTTCAAAAAATTCTGATTAAAACCTTAATCAAAAGATACAACATATGGTTGGCCATATGATAGGAACTAGCAATGAAAGAACCAAAACAAAAATCAATTATTAAATGAGAGATCAAAATTTTAAGGAAGGATTAATTGACAAGAGAAATTTAAAAGAGGAAGTAATCATAATAAATAAAGATCTATAATAAGAATTTCAGAAATAAGGAGAACAATAAAAAGGAAATTTTCCAGAAGCTTCTGTTTAAGATGCAATTGAAGATAAAAATACATTTGAAAAAGAAATAGAAAAAAATAAAGATTGTTAGGATGGGGCATTGCAAGCAATATGTAAAAAAAAGGGAGATATTGCTAATTTTTAAACTTAGGTTAAATGTGAGGATTTTAATTGCAAGGTTTATTCTGTTGAACTTAAATAAGCATCATTTGATTCGAAAATATAAAATATTGACAAAATTCGATATGAAGAAAACGATTTTGATTTAAAAGAATAAGCACAATGGCAGTGTGTAAGGACCAAAAATCCATTTGCATTAGGAATGATGAAGAAAGTATATTTAATGAAAAAAAAAAATAATACTGAAGAAATTTATGTCGTTAAAATTCCTATTGATAAAGGGACTTATAACAAATTGTCGGATGCAGTAAATGATTGTAGATCCCACTTAATTGCTAAAAATATGATGAAACTCTTTATTGAAAAACTCACAAGCGTGAATGCGAAAACACCTTAAGTTTAGTACACACAGTTCTTAATATTGGAAGAAAATTAGAGTAAAATTTATTATAATTTAGGTAAATATTGGATAGCAGAAAGATTCTTCGAAGGAGAGTTTAAAAAATACAACAATAATGATGGTTATATAAATGATGAAAATAATGATTTGAATGCTATCTCTTAAGGCTTCTCCTTCTTTACTTATTAGATGAGCTCATTTAACTACATTATCAATGATATATAAGGAATTAAAAATTACTTTACTGATCCAGCTATTAATACTGTTAAAGGTACTAATAAATAAAAAACTAAATTTAGGTAATTTTGACGAAACAGATGTTGGAGAAGAAGGCATTTCAAATTATTTGACAATTTTTTAAGCAAAAAAAGATATATGTGAATAGTTATTAAACTCAATAGGTATTGATATCGATTGATTATATTCCATATCAAATATTCTTACGATTATAATATATGAATTATAACCCAAATATTAGTAATGATATATAAATCAATTCATTTTTCTGTGAGTTCTCTAAAGCCCTTCCAATCATAAGGCGCTCTACCTCCAGCTGAATTTATAACTTCCAATAATGTGTTTGATGGACCATCTTTGTGTTCAGGTATCATATTCTTAATTATTTCGTTAATTTTACTAATGTTTTCATGAAAATCTTTTAAGCCTCATCCCATTCTCCCCTGATATAAGAATTAAAACCTGAAATCCATGTATCATAGAATTCCTATTCAAAATGATTTTTATACTTAAGTATATAGTTCTCTGGCTGCAATCAAATCTTCATCTTTTTCAAAAAGTGTTGCAAGTTGAATTTTATCATCCTCAACGCTCCTTATTAAGAGATTTCTCTTGTATCTATTAACAACTCTGAATTATTTTTATTCTCTTGGTTTCATCCGACTAATATCAAAAATATCTCTTGGCTCCTTAAATTTATTTAATAGATTCTTTATTGACAAATCCACTGTGTATAATTCCACAGGCTCAATACTTCCCTTGACTGTTACAACATCAATTAATCTTATATGATTTTGGCACGCTTATGTTAAATTTCTCTTTAAAACTCCACTAATCAGTATATATGTGCCAAATTATTTAGTTGCAGCTTCTAATCTGGATGCCATATTGACATTTGGACTCAAATATGAAACATCAATTTTAAAGGATGATCCTATTGCACCTTCAATACCCCAGCCCAAATGCAAACCAAACCCCATTCGAACACAATAATCTTTAATTCTGGAATTGAGTCCTTCATGTCTTTTATATTTTTCTAATTTTTTTGAAAGAGATACAGAGATTATGATTTTCAAAAATGATAACACTGCCATATCTCCTCTTTGTTTAACATTATGATCATTATGCAATATTAACTTATTTGTTTATGGATCTACGTGATATTTCATGTCAGGATACTTCCACACTAGGAGAAATGCATCTCCAATATTTTTATTAACAGAACCACCATACGTATCAACTGTAAAATGGACAATTTCTGCAATTTCATTAACAAAAACCATAACATCTTCTTATAATACTTCAGTGGCATCAGTAAAATTACGAATATCACAAAAACCAAAAATTGCAAGCACTCTTTTTCCAGGTATCATAGGATCTACACTTCCACCCTTTTTAATATTTTCTGCTATAATCTCTGAACCTGCTTCTCCAAAACCAACAGCCAATAATGCTCCTATTTTCATTATAAGTTCTTGTAACAAATATGTCTCTGTAGTCTACTCAATTTGTCTTTATCTAATTTTTTAAATATCTTTGTTTTTTTCTAACTCCTAGGTAATAAGATCTTCCTATTCTTCAATATTTACAGCCTCAAGTGGATTGTTAGCTATTAATTCTATCTTTTGTATCATTGTTTCAATAGGTTCAATTATTAATTCTGTGACATCTTTATTAAACAAAATGGCACTTAATGCCAACACAATACAAACAAATACAGTTTAAAAAATAGATAATATAGCATTAATTTTATTATAATCGACCAAATCTGAAACAGAGTATGTGATCAATTAATTGTTAGCATCGGTTGTTACAAAGTATTATTGATCTGAAAATCGATATTGGCTTTTGACCATTTCTGTTGATTAAAACCACTCAGGATTTTTAGTATAATTATACTCAGTATATATTTGATTTAAATCATCTTGGAGTACTAAAACTGATTGAATAGGGTAGATTTCGTGATTATGGAATTATACATACTGTTAGATAAGCATATCTGTAATTGGTAAATTCTTTCTAAATTAACTAATTCTCAATATTCCAGAGTCATAGCTATTAATAATTTCAGAATATGTATCCAAAGTAAGAATTGGAATGCTTATTAATATGGAAATAATAATAGTAATGGCTCTTCTCATTACTAAGTCTTACAATTGAGATCCTACATGAGATTCTTAGATTTAATCACTTTATGAATGAGTTGATTATTTTAATTGTTCATTATTACTACTGTTTTGATCATGTTCTGATTAAGATCTAGAATTTTTACTTTTATTGATATAAGGGAGTTAAGAATTCAGATCTCCTGCCTTATGCTTCTTTTTATTTTACTATAATACTGAAATTCTAATTAAATAATTTTATTTTTATTTGTTCTATTATTATTGATGCTATTATTATGATGAATTGAGTTTCTGTTCATCTTTCAATAGCAATTCTTACAGAATACTTTTTTGTTTTTCTTTTTCTATTTGTTATCTCGCATGTTTATATAATTTGATCAATCTAACTAATCTTATAATTCTTATCACCCTGGCCGCTTTCCTTGCTGTTCTTGAAGCCTTGCCTAAAGCTTTGAGAGTGGCAGCATTTTAAACATCCCCCTCATCACCGTACCAATGATCTGTAAGCCAACCGATGTCTAATATCATTGTTGCAGTAGATATCAAATCAAGCCAAAAGTAAAACTATTGCGATCAAAATCTAAATACATTAAATAGATAGGCTGGATTGACTATGCAAGTTAATACAATTTCTATTGTGAAACACGCAATACAAACTGATGTCAAAATAAAGAAAATGTCATCTCCATCCTTGTTGACAGATAAGATTCTTATATCATCTCCAAATAATGCATAGATTGTCACAAGAGCCATCAATAATGAAAAACCCCATCCATCTATAAATCTTTACAACTGCTTTTGACGAATTTAGTTCTTACTGAGTATTTAAGGCTTTGATAATCGTGCTCTAATTTTTTCAGCAGCTTTAGTTTTATGGGGTTGTTGACTTCTCATACTTTTAGGTGTTTGTAATGAGATGGCTTCATGACTTGAAGGGGTGCCCATTTTTCTGGGCTCCTCTTCCTCAAATTCAATGATTACTTTCTTGACAAGAGGCGTACATTTTGGTTTTTCGGTAAACTGAATAATAGAATAAATGGTTATTTGTTACAAGTGGAGCATGAGTATAATAATTTTCAGTGTCAGAGGATCTACTCTAATTTTCAACTGAACAGTCTGGTTTTTTAGCATAGTATAAATATAATTAGATACTGGTTGTGGCTCATTGTGATGTGAATTGTAATTTTTAATAACCTAACCTGGCATACGATATTCATCACTTTCTAAATCCCAATGGTTATAATTGTCATCCAATTCTGCCATATGAGTATATAAATATTTTTATAAAATTTATGAAAATCATATTTCTATGTTTGATGATGACACTTGTATTGTGTCATATTTAACCAGATATTAGATCAGGGAAAGTGAAGAGCAAAGGAGTCAATTTAGGTGGGTGGTTTGTAGTAGAGCATTGGATGACATCTAGCTCCGTGATTTGGGAAGGAGTCCCAGAGTATTATCATGGATATGGTGAATATGGATTAATGTCCTATTTAGGTCATAGTGTTGGAGATGCTAGATTTGAAAAGCACAGATAAGAATGGATCACAGAATAAGACATAGCAGAATTGGCATCATATGGAATTAACACTGTTAGAGTCTCTGTTGGCTTTTGGATAGCTGGATTTGATAAAACTGGTGGATCAGATTGGAAGATATTTGCCCCAAATGGTCTCAAGTATTTAGACTAATTAATCAAAAATTGGGCCGTAAAATATAATGTGGCAGTCCTTGTCCAAATACATGCTGCCAAGGGATCATAAAATGGTTTGGATCATAGTGCTCCACCTGTTCCTGGTTAATCTTATTGGGCCTAATATCCTGAAAATGTGAGAAATACTGTTGATCTTGCAGTATTTTTGGCTGAAAGATACAAATAAGAAATAGCATTTTTAGGAGTGGGATTACTAAATGAACCTGCAGGAACAACTGATGAAGCCACACTTAAACAATATTACCTTACTGCCATTTCAGAAATCAGAGCCACAGGAAACGATTGTATTCTTACTGTTGCTCCATTACTTTATGAGTAAGATCCAGATCATTTCAACGATTTTGCTTTGAAAGAACCTCATATATGGTAAGAATGGCATAAATATTTGATTTGGGGTTATGAGGATATGAATGAAGAATAAATTCTGAGTATTGGAATCCCAGGAGTCTAAAAATAACTCGATATTTGGAAAGGAAATCCAATATTTATTGGAGAATGGAGTATTGCAACTACTGACAATGCACCTTTTGCTAGTGTAGAAAGTTTCAAGTCTTTTGGAAACAAATACAGAGACACTATCACATCTGCTAAGGGAGGTTGGACCTATTGGACATGGAAGACTTCCTATGATGAAACTCAAGACATTAGTCAAAGGAATGCATGGTCGCTAAGATAACTTCTTAGAAATGGTTGGTTTACCGTCTGATATAGATTTAATAAATTATCTAATCATTTTTCTTCTTCAATTCCGTTTAATGTTTTCTCAACCTATTCCTTCACTCTTCTATAATATTCAGCTCTGTCAGACATATATAACTATATTACAGAATTTATCTTACTTTAGCGGCCTCTGGGTTTGCAGGCGAATTCGGATTTGGGTCACACAAGAGCGATCTAATAGATGTTAAAATTGCCCACACATCCAAGATTGGAGTCCATTGTTCCTTTAAAATATCTAAGCAAATTCTTCCATCTGGATAGACATTTGGATGATATATGGGAGGAGCAAATCTAACTTCAGGTGGTTTTGTAGGATAATCATTTGTAAAAGCTAATTTTAATTCAAAGCATCCTCCTTCCCAGGGTGTTTATTCTGGTCTAATTATCACATTTAATCAGATACCCAAAAATCACAGCTTCCCAATGAAAAATATCATTTTCTTAAGGGGAAGCCATAAAGTCTTCTTAATTTTCTTACTATATTTTCTTAAAATCCATCAATAATCTCTTTTAAGCTAGTCCTTATTACATTATTTTTTAATAAATATTAATATATATATTTCAATCTCTTTAATTTTGCTTCTTCTTTTTATTTTTTTATTTAACAAATACAGGAAAATCTAAATCACTTAGTTTGACTACTTCTTGATTTGTGGTCTCTTTCTTAATCGGTTACTCGATTTCAACTTTTTGTTCAGTTTTTTGTTATTATAAACCCCATGTTTTTGAAAATGGATTAATTTTAATTTGCGAACATTCTTCATTTAAACTTGGAAATTAAGATTCTAAATCTAGATTAATCTCTTATTTTTATTATTATTATTGTTATTATTATTATTATTATTATTGTTATTATTATTACTATTATTATTATTATTATTAATCGATTTCTGTTTTATCATCTTGTACATCATTTTATTATTAACTTATATTTTTAACACCTGGCAACTCTGGAAAATTTTATTCATCAAATTCTAATTCATCCTCTTATAAATTTTAATAATTGTAATCACCTCCATTTTCAATTATATATTATTTTTAAATCTATTAAGCTTGAATTTGATTAAATCTTTCCTCTTGTCTTAATTTTTCTTTTCTCTATCTCTCTCTTAGATCTGAAATCTAAATTTATATTTAAGACATACTTCTCGTGAATATTCCTTAAAATTATCTTGATTTAAAATCTATTTTAAATCAATTTCATAAAAATAGAATTCTGTATTCAGTGGAATATGAGAAAGAAATCTTAGATATTAAATATGAAATTACTTATATTTAGTTTAAGTTTTTCCATTCTAAGTAAATTGATCTTTTTAGATTAAGAATGATTCAATTTGATGAGGAATATTATCATTTCCAAATTAAAGAGCAATATATTTATGACATAAAGGATGCAAAAATCCTAAAAGCCCATTTGAATCTTAAAAAAATCTATAAATAACTTCATTTTATTTTTGAGAGAATGACTTAAGTGCAATTTCAGGTTTATTATCAAGGTTCCTTTTTGGTAATTTATCTTATCTTTCTAAAAGAAATTATATAGATTATTGGATTGGCTCCTAAATTTCAGTCTCACAAAACTCGATATAGCTGAAATAGTGATGATAATTTACTGTTATAGTTATTAAATTTCTTCTTCAAAAATTTTCAATAAATAGGATTCATTGGCAATTAAAGTTCTTGCATAGACGATTGATTCTCTTCCATTAATATATAATTCTGTTTCATTTTTATATCTTTAAATTTGATTTAAAAGTACAGTGTCTCCAACATTTTTAATTTTGTGCTTGATAATTTTCACCGATTTCAATTCAGACAATATTGCCAGTTCTCCACACAGAGGGCACTTTTAATTAAATTTTGCTAAATTATTAAAGAATAATGACTTTACATTGAAGTTTGTGTCTTTAATAACATGGAAGACAATATATGTGTCCGCATGGTGTGATGTAAGGAGTTATGATGTCATGATCGCTTATACAAATAGGACAAGTAATATCTTGAGTTGTCGAGTAAATTACTTAATACACATCATCCCACCTAACTTCTTCTTTGATAATATAGAATGTCTCTATTTACTGATGGGTTGTTAAAGTAAGACCAATTAAAATTTGGATTTCATGTATGATTGTTGCCGAATTTGCGCTTGATATGAAGTCAATTACTAAGGTTTTCTTCTTTGAGGTTCTGAATCTGATGGTTGAATGTCTTTGGCAACCTAGAACCCAGCAAATTCATGCAATTGATGAAATTAAATCTTCTAGACCTATTGCTTCTTTAACTTTTTAGTTAATTATTAATCCATTGATAATAAATTAATGTTATCAAAACAATTATCAATTCAACTAATTATTAATAAATAAATCTTCAAATACACATATGAACCATCAAGGGTTTTTTGGAACTGCTTTAAAACGTAATTCTAAAAAATTAAATTCAAAAAGAGGTGAAGAATGTCTTAATAATAAATTATTCGCGAATGATAATCTAAGAAAAATCTAATTACCAAAATAACTTACTTAACAATATTGCTTCTCTTTTGAGCAAGGGGTAAATGGTATAAGGATAGAAACCAAATCGCCATCAAAATAATTGAGAGTATCCAACAATTCGAAATAAAATATTGAAAATACATCATTTTAACCTGAAACTTTAAAGTTTTCCTATAATCAACAGTTCTTAGCACATGATATATCCCCCTTGATTAGAATAAGAAAGCTCTAACTTGATAGAGTTAGTTAGAATCAAAAATAACTAACAGTAGGTTAGTAGTGTTTTGATTTTTTAACTAATAAAAGAATACGGGCCTAATCTTTTGTAGAGGAAAGATGCTTATCTCCAGATTAAAAGAAGACTAGACCTCGACTAAATTTACTAATTTAAAGAAATCTCCATAGTGAATCATTTAGATAATCAGATAACTAACTTGAAAATTACTGATTGATATTAATTGAATTTTATTTACAATTGCTTTTATTTATTAAGTGATTATTGTTATTAATATTTATTTTTTATTCTTATTTAATAAAGTTAAGAATAAAATGAGAGTCAAACAAGGGAAAGTTAAAGATATCAAACATAAATTTATGTTTTGAATAATAATAGAAAGTAGAATGAATAAATCTATAAAATCAACTTGAAGTTTCAGGACTTCTAACTTTTTTTAAAAAACTTATTTCTAGTCTCTCATCTATTTCTTCCGATAAAATATTTCTTTCTATTTCTTAGATGAAAAAATTATCTTTGTATTGTTCTTGAAATTTTAATCTATTAGTCAAATATATTTTTAATCGAATTGCATACAAACCCTAATTTAAAAGCAATTTAATCCCCGAATGTGGATCTGCCTAATTATTGATTAAACAATCAAATAGTTAAATTAAATATATTATTAATTAATGTTTATATGTTATTAACTAATAAATTGATCGGTCTGAATAAACAATATGTATTTTTGATCTAGAAATGATGAAGTACCTACTACTAAATTTTTGGAGAATGTCAACTAAGTTTATAGAAGTAATTTCTTTGTTATTGTAGAGAAACATCGAAAAGACACCCAATAAAAAATGTTTTTAGTGTTGATACTTGATTTGGGGCTTTTTAATTTGAAATATCCTTTGACGAAGATTTGTTTATTTGGGAATGTAACTTGTTGTTAAGAGTTTGAGTTTCTCTAAAATAATGAGATAATTAATTTAATCCAATCCAATTGCACAAACCCTTATATTAAATTTATGAGTCTTATTTTAATATACCAAATCGAAATCTAACTTTTCATTTCTTTTATCAAATAAATAAATTTCTAAACTATTATTTTCTACTTTGCATTTTCTTAAAAAATGTCTAAAATTGCAACCACAACAATCATCCTGGTTATAATAGGGGAAGAAATCTTGATTGTAAGCTCTATTGACTTAAAAAGACATATTTTTGTCCTTGTAAGTAAATAAATTAAACGGTTTTTTTATTATAAATGGTAAAGACTCTTCCCATCTTACTTCTCTCAAATTTAGAAGGAATTATCTTCTTGAATTCCAATCACAAATATACAATGTTAATACTAAGAATACATTTGTTATCAGTCCCAAAATTATTCCCAGCATATCTATTCGATGACTCTTGATTGTTGTAAAGAAGATTTTCATACTCAAATGGATAAATACCTAGAAAACGCTGTATGGAAAATCAGTCATAAAATAAACAACCACTGAAAGCATAGCATAATAGCTACCATACGAATAATATTCTTAAGGAAAAGTGTTATTTTCATCGAAATTAATTTATAGTAATCCTGCTGAAAGGTTCGAAATGATTAATGCATACTTAATGTATTATTTTTTATAACAGGCTAAAAAGAGTTCGAATATTACTAGTATCACAAAACCTACATTCATCCAACTTTGATTATTGACTGTGTAATAGGTATAGTCTAGAATTACTTTCAATAGATTTAAGGCAAATGACATAACAAGAAGCCAATAGAAGATAGGTTTTTGCAGAGTATTTAATTTATTTTCCTAGTAGTCCTTTTCTATTTTACTGTCTTTGAATGTTAGGAGGAATTTATTCATTCACTTTTTAATTTATAATTTTATTTTGTATATTATAGCTTATAAAGAAGTTGTAATTTCTAATTTCTTTATTTTATAAATCACAACATCTAAATTATCAAACATTAAGGTCTAGAATTTGTAGAACCTCTTTACAAGTGTTTTTGACTAAATTGAAAGAAACTTGGAATTATGCAATTCCTTCTTAGCCTAAGTCTGTTGGTTCAAGTCTGTGATCTCAAAATTAAAATGAACAGTTTACTTTTCATAGTGCATATGGCTGGATCAGTAAAGCAACACTTTACACCTTAGATATCGCATATCAGATAATTAAAATTACTCTTAACAAAAGAATAAACAGAAAACGAATTTGCAATTTTGTTTAAATCGCTGTTCTCTTAATTTACATACCCATAGTTATTATTATATTTAACAAACTCTCCTTCAAAATATCTCTCAGCAATCCAATGATTACCTATTTTCAAAAATTAATTTACCCCTAGCATCCAAAAATATTAGAAGATCTGAATATAATACTTATGGATATCGCTTTTTGATATTCTTTTTGGCTATGGCATCATCTAAATCACGATTGAATTTCTTCATCCATTTCTAAGTAATTAAATGTGTTAAACACTCCTGGACAGCACTTTAAAATGTTTTAAAAGGCTTCAAATCATTAGGAGTCTTGCAAACATAAAGTTCCTTTTATTTCGTAGCATTTTAATGTGTTCTAATCATCAAATAAGCTGATTTCATGGCACCTTGAGCAAATGGATCTTTTGACCTTAGACATGACCATTAACCTTCTTCAATTTACTTGAAATCATCAACTCCTATGGTCTAGATTTCTAAATATTTCTAATTGAATATTTAATCGCTAAATTCTATTCTATAGACTCTAAATGTTTCAAGAACGAAATCATTTTAATTTGGTTGCTGTCTTATTAACAAAATGCAAAGAACTTCAACAGGATTCTACTGTTCCTTAGCTCCCTTGGTTCCAGGATTTTCGATGGGTACTTTTCCACGATTTTTTACTTTGGTGGTTCTTACGTTAGTTTAAGTGGCAGTTTAGGACACTTTTGTCAATACTCCCACAAGTTCTTCGAAAATCTTATCAGGTTATGCATTTCTTAAATCGTAATGGAAATAGTATTCTTCCTTATCATGTTTTCGATAGATATTTCTAATTTATGTAAACATTTTATTGGTGTGATTAGTAAAAAGGATTCCAATAAAGAAGATATCATTCTAAATCATTAATTCAATAGCCCCAGTCAAATCATCATCAGGGTAATTATCTTAGCTTCTATCAAACTCATGGAAATTTGTTCCATGACAAGGAGCATCACAAATTAACATAGCAATTCTGAACTAAGTTTTCCACTTAAGATTATTGATCATCTGCCTTATGGCTCCATCTATATCTTCAGGAGCATCACCTCCTCCTCCACATTTAACGGCTGACAAATAGTTTGCTACTTCTTCAGCTTGATCAGTAAATTACAATTATTAATAAGCCCCTAATTTTTTTAGTTCAGCTTTATCTTAATAACAAATTAGGGACCATAAAGTGTCTCTTTGAGTTTATTTTTTAACTGAGAGCATACTTAGTAAAACGCATAACTCTGCCTACTTTTTGTAAGGATTCATGGAACTATACATTATGAATATATGATTACTCAGTGCAATCCATCAAAAAACATATTTCAAGTAATCCATGAGTTTATTAAAACTTCTATTGCAATTCCTAAAGTTATTTAGCCCTTGCTTATTTATTAAGTTCTTCTAACTAAGCCTACTCTTACTTTTTTTGGTTCATCATTATTTTAGAATTTGTTTTCTCCTATTATTTCGCCTAAAAAGAATTATCCTTTATCTATCTCACAAGCATTTGATCATTTTGTTGTAACTTTTAGTACTCATTTGGTAATTCAAATTTACCTTGATTAAGTAGTTCTTCTTCTTATTAAATTATTCTATCTTTTCCTTACAGACTATTTTCTTATCTACTAATTTCTAATTTTTATTGCTCAATATCTTCTTAACTATTTTTAATCTTTTTATCAATTTTCTTTTTTTGATCTCTCATCATTGTAATGGTTTGATCTTTCGAAAACATATTTTGTTTAAGTGTTCTCCTTTTTTCTTCCTGTTCCTTTATTTCATCTTGCTTCTTTATAATTTCCTGATCTAAAGTTTATTATTATTTTTGTAGAGATTCATATTTATCTAGTACATCCGAATTCTTCTACTAAAGTGATAACTTACTTAACTACTATTCTATTGCTTTATTTTCATTTTCCAATTTGACTATTTCGCTTTATTACATTTGTAGATTTTTCTCCTAGATTTCATTTTGTTTATTATTATTTTGAATCATCTATTCTTATAACTAATAATATTCCTATTTTTATTTAATTTCAATCATAAGTTACGATTTTTCTTTATGGGATTATTTTATATTTTTTAAAAGATGAGCTATTTCATTATCTTTTTGAAATTTTTATTAAAATATTTCATCCTCAAGATTTCTATTACTTTATCTAAGTTCTTTTAATTCTTATTCCAATGTCTCCAGTTTCGTGTTTAAATCATTTACTTCAATTCGATCATTATAAAGGGTTTAATTTACCTAAGAAGCCTTCTAATTTTATTATTCAAGCAAACTTTCTTTCTATTCAATTTTGATATCTTGAATAAAGGTATAAAATACTTAGATCTGACTCGTTAATTTATACAAACTAAACTGGATTAGTGGAAGGTGCTATTAGAAATAAAAGGAACTCTTACGAGGATTATATGTTGGGTGTTAAACATTCTACACAATAAAATTAGGTTATCCAATTCCTTGTTACGCTTAAGTTGCTTTATTTGATCCAGGTATAGGTAATCCAGAAGGTTATTACTATGTTATTTAAATCCTTTTACATTATTATTTCCTCCCTATAATGGTGTGAAGATAGGTTATTAGTTCTAATTACCTTAATTCGGAAACTAGACTTAGGATGGCTTAAATTATTGGCTTGCCTTATCCATTTAAATTAGATATTTGCAGAATAATTGTTACTTTTATTATTTATGTGAGGTTTTGCACTGATAGAATTAATAAAAAAACCAAATGATTATAATTAACGCTTCGATGAAATAATGGATATACTTCATAAAAAGAAAACACAGAACTAGCAATTCATTTAAACTAATAAATTATGGGAAAATTCCTCATGCTCCCCATTAAATTTAAGTCAATGATTGCAAGCACTAATTGAGATCTAGAGCGAAATGCAATATTTTAAGTTCTCAAAACACACTTTGTTTAAGTATTAAAGAAGACACTGTGAAAAGTAAGTGATGGCAAAAGGGGCTTGAAAGGTAGAGTTCTTGTATGAAAAATGAAGATTAAATATAAATAAATATTATTTTTTATGGAAGCTATTACACAACTCAAAAAATTTATGTATGTCATTTCATATTATAAATGCAAGTGGTCATCATTTTAATGTGAAGAGTTTTCATAGGTATATGATCAACAATGACATCTCAGACATTGAAACCCTGATTAAATTTTGTTAATTGGACAATACTGGATAGAGATTCAATTTATGGAGATTGTTTTTTAAGTATTTTGTAGATTCAATTTAGCGTCTACACATTAGAAGACACTGTCTATGATAAGATAGCCAAGTTAACCAAAACAAGAGAGACCTATAAATAATTAGAGCAAAAGCATTCAAGATCTTAAGATGTGTCATCAACAACTAAAATTGAAGATTAACCTAAAAAAGGTCCATTGGGTGGACCATTAGGAGGTCCTTTAGGTGGTCCATTAGGTGGCGGATCTAAAATAAAGGCATCAACTTAAAATCCAATGGAAGATGCTGAATTAAGAAATGAGATAAGAAAGGATGTCGAAAGAACATATCAAGAGATTCAATTTTTTGCTAATAAAAAAGTATTGCAAATCTTGACAAGTGTATTGTTTATATGGAGCAAAGAAAATAGTGAAATTTCATATAGATAAGGGATGAATGAGGTTGCAGCTTCTTTGATTCACGTGTATTTCCAAGAAGCTCTTTACTCAGATGAAATTGATAAGATTCAAGGAGTATGAATTTATATATCATGAAGGCAACAGAGGAAGACAAGCAAATCTTGCTAGAATTTAATTCATGGGAATATGCAGAAGCTGACATCTACACTCTATTTTAGAAATTGATGAATGATGCACAACATATGGAAATGTTCAGACCCAATTATACTGAAGCTTAAAAAATAAAATTGCAAAGCAAAAAGCCAAGTGCCATTTTGACAAGAGTCTCTAAAATATAAGACATTCTATTGAAATAAGTTGAAATGCCTATGTTTAGACATCTCAAATTGTTGCAAGTGGAATTCCAAATATTCTTATTAAAATGGATAAGGTATTAAAATATAAGAAATTATATAGATGTATGTTTACAAGAGAATTACATTTATTAGAATCATTTAAAGCTTGGGATGCAATTTTCTATGACTTTTATGAATAAAAAACAGAAACATTGTTCTTTGTTGACTGCATAGCAATTGCAATGATATTGTATGTTAAATAACCAAGTAACTTGTTAGTATTTAATATTAGTAATGGAAATGGAAGATTCCAGTTAATGTTATCAAAGGTTTCTCAAATATCCACCAGTTTCTAATTTGCCAGCTCTACTTGAGTCAGCAATAAATGTGAGAGCTATCTTATTGAATTAAAAGTCTGCAACTAATTTAGACGATTAAAATGAATCAAATCAGCCCTCTATATATTCAGATAGACAATTCAACCCTGTTTTTTTTGCTTAAATCACAGACAAAGTGGATGGAGTGGATGCTAAGGTTGTTAAGATTACTTCTGAAAAACCACAATTTAGAATGAAGGGGGATGTAGATTTAGTCTACAAAGATGAAACCTCTCCAGATAAATCAAATTAAAATCAGTAATAATTTATTAATCCCTTATAACCAAAGTAAGTACCTCAACAATAAAAACCACAGCAATTCTATCAATAGTAATAACCTTAATAACAAATACAGTAGTAGTAATCTTAACCATCAAATTAAACAACCTAAAGTAGCAATTAATCTTCAATTACTACCAATTTCTTCGATTCTAGTTTATCTAGTACAAATACTAAAACTATTAAAACATAATTCTAAGTAGAAGAGCAATCTCAATAAGTTAAAAAAGATAAAGCATCAGCTCCAGTGAAGAATGCTATTTCGATCCCAATTTCATAGGCTGAAGAGATGTTTAACACCTTAGAAGAGACTCTAAAGTTCATGAAATCATTTAAAGATAAGTATAATAGCATCGTTATTGTAGTTCAAACTATTAGGATTTGATAAGGAACTTGACAGAAATGAAAGATTATTTTGAAACTTCGCTTAAGTACTTTAGCAAATTAATATTTTTAGTGATAATTCATCGAGTTAATAATAAAATTAATAGGATGATAGTAGTTTATCTAATAAAGTAATAGGATTCCTAAAGAAAAAAAAGTGAATTAAATGGTCTATTATTTAATATTTTTAAATATAATATATTGGCAGAGTAATTTATAAACTCCGAATTTAAATATTTAACTTTTTAAGTTTATGAATGTATTGGTAGGAATATTGAAAATAAATGAGAATTTTAATACAAAAATTTAAATCTCTTCATTGCTTTCATTATTTGAACTGAAATGGTTGAAATTTCATGGGGAGATGAATCTGAGCATCATCTTCAGGGGCATTTGAAATAGAGTTTACATCTTATAAGATTTCGTTTTTTTTAAATTTATACTATCCGAAACTGATCTCATTGGAAGAAGAATTTAATAATAAGGGATTAAGTTATTTTTAGTTTTAAGTGTAGAGTTAGGAAGTTTTGAATAGATTTGGCACAGTTCTACTACTTTATCTTTGGCTTTCCTGTGGTTCAGATTATTGAGGAGTACATATGGATTGTCTTGAATTATTTTCTCTAGTTTTTGGTGCTTACTCGTAGTTTCTTTTAATTTTCCTTTCAGACAATTGTTTTTGTAATTATTATCGATAAGAATAGAATTGGCTATCCTCTTTTTGAGTATTTGAGGTGATTTAGGACTAATTGTTGGAATCTTGTCCAGAAACAGTAAGCATACTAAGCATCATATTGTTAGAGACATATAGATCATGAATTGAATTATTATTAGTTTCTGGAGGTTTTGAGTTGATGGTGCTTAGAGATGAGTTTTTGTGATGTAAAGTATCGTTGGTTTTAGAATATGTCCTAGAAACGCAATAAATCATGGTATATTAATTTATTAAGAAGAAATTAAATAATCATGAATATAAAAAATGTTATCTCACGATTAGTCGGTTCTATAATATTGTTTTTTAAAGGAGAAAGGTTCCAATGATTTTGGTTTTATATTTGGTCTATCATCAGGAACTTAATCATAGTCCTAATTGCTCGAAGATTCATCTGACAATCTAGTTGTATCATCGTCTTCTTGTTGTTCTTCGAGTTATTCTTCAACCTATGATAACTAATGACTGGAAGATGATTAATCCTCATCTTCGCTCAATCGAATAATGTAATATCTGGGAGGAGCACTCTACATTCTTTTTTTAAATTATTCCAACTCCTAATCATCTTCATTGTCTTGCACTTCCTCCTCCTCTGAAAGGTCTTCTTTTTTGACAGTTTCTTGTTATTGGGAAGACCACAGATTTGTCCGTTTCATATTATTAGTATTCCACCTGGATCTTTGTGATTGCATTCTGCAGCAATAAAATATCATTGTAAATTAAAAATATTATACACATTTGAAATAAAAGTTGGTGATGGTTTGATTAATAGTTTAATAATATTTCAATAGTATCAATACATATCTCATTTATAGACAATCAAGATGTTGGATTCAATGTTTTTTAAATGAAAATGCTCCAATGTTGTGAATCTAGATATGGATTTCATCATTTGCAATTAGATCTAGATTATCAAAAGACCCATAAAATTGATTGACTTCCTCAATCTGTTATTCTTTCATAGTTTTGCCAGCTTGTTTGCAAAATGTAGTGAATTTCAATACTTGATTTTGAGACATGACTGAAAGGCTTTTGAGATCCTTTCTCTGTTTCTTCACATTCAGAAAAGGAGTATGGTTCTGATTGTCTCCATCATTTTCATCCTCCTCAATCTAACTAAGATCATAATTCATCAATCTAGTAGTTCCTGCACTCCCTCTGCTTAAGTACTGAATGATTAATGATATAATACCCCTCTGCTTTTTCTTTCGAGTCCTGATTGCTTATCTGGAGATTAACTGTCTAGATCAGGCACATTAAGAAAGGAAACCTGACTTTTCTGTTGAGTCTGTTAGACTAATTGTAAGGGTGGCAGTTATTATTATTTAGATTCGTGAACAATTGAATGTTCTTTGGTAATAGAAATCCTTGGTTTTTTGTCGGTTGTTCTTTTTTGTGAATTAGATCTTCTTGATTTCTTAGATTTCATTTCAGGTAACTTCTCCCAATCAAAAGAGATGTTGTCCATGTACTCTAAATCACCTAATGCTTTTGAAAATTACTCTTTTATGTATGCATAATTAGGTTATTCAGTATATTCCCTAGATTTAGCATGTTGTAATAATAAATAATAGCATTTAGGTAGATTATCACACAACTTCTCATGAGAAATAGATTGTTTTTATTCAAGTATTTTGCTATATTTTATTGATTTATCTTGGATAGGCAAGTTCATCCATGGTAATTTCCCTTTATTCAGATAAATGAGTACATATGCCAAGGATTCCAAGTCGTCTCTTCTCGATTACTCTCTACCTAAAATTACACTTAATATATCTCACCTAAATGTGCTCCAATACTCGCATATCTGGCAGTCCCTATTATACCCTTCTTCTCAATCATAGGAATATGATTTCCATGATTATCTTTGTAATATTTCGACAATCCAAAATCAATCAGATACACCACATCAATGTCTTACCATCCTATCACTATATTCTCCGGTTTCAAATCTCTATGAATCAAATTCTTCAAATGCAATTGCTCCAATCTCTCCAATAATTGTAATCCTATCCTCAGACAATTTATTTATGAGAACTTCTTGGTTTTTCTTATCAAGTTCTCCAAATTCTAACCCAAGTATGTAATCATGAAGAAATTGTAATTCTCATCCCTTCCGTAATGCAGAATCTATGGAAACCCTTCCATAATGCAATTTAATACCTGCGATCCCTTTCAGTTCCAACAAAATCTTTATTTCCCTCACCAACAAACTCATACTATTTTTCTGCGATTCTCGCTTTTCAAATTTAGATGCACAGATTTCCCCTGTCTCTATATTTTCAGTCTTAAAAATCGATCCAAAACTACCTTGTCCTACTTTCTCAATCAACTTGAATCTTCCTGCTATAATCTATCCTGGGTATAGTAATTTCTACTGGAATTACTCTTATTAAGAAGTAGGATTATGAGTTTGATGTTTCTTTTCCTTTCTTATAGGTGATTTCATTATATATAAATTTATATTGATTTCTTTATAATTAAATTTATTCAGCTTTCCATCCTTCTCCAGTCCTTCGAATATCTACCTTTACTTCTATGATAACTCTCAACATATCACCAAATTCTTAGTCTTTGTTGATTAATCAATACTAAATATATTAATATTTAAAACAATTAAATATTAGATTATCATCCATTTTACTTACAAATAACAAACCTAGTTAAATGTAGTCTAATAAATTATCCAAATACCATGTCAATCAAATTACATCAAATTCAATTATCATCAAAACCATATTCTAATCCTTCAATTTATAATACCGAATAAACACCTTCAAGAATCTCATAATAGTAAGTTATCAATTAACTAGTTATCATTTAATTAAAATCAAAAGGAATTAATTGAAATGTAGAGATATGTCTATTGACCTTCTTCTATATCAATTGTAGTTATTGTATATTGATTTCTATCTTGTCTAATTTTAAGATTACCTTATCTTAAATATCAAAAAATACTTTATTTTAAATCCATTGATCAAATGATATAAATAAAACTGTTCCTGAAATACATAAAAAATTAGGTTAGACCAAGGAACAACTAAATTTATCATTTAAAAACCTTATACAGTTTTAGTAAATAAGGGATATAATTTATCACTCAATATTTGATAGCACTCTATTTTTATTCAATTTATAGTAAAGTATCTTTACTGTCGCTTAGCCATCAAGACTCAAGAAAATAAAAATATTTTAAAATCAACCCTGTTCTATAATTCATTATTTTTGAGTTAGCAATATAGAAATAACATATCTGAAAGATAACACTTTTCAAAGATCCTTGAGATATTTTTAAGATTTTTTAAAATTCAAGAATTGCATAAATACCAGCAATCAGGTTAAAATTATGACTTTAATTTAAACAAGAATTGACTTATCGAATACTCTTTAGACTCCATATATAAGAATAAAGGTCTCATTATTTGGGTATTAGAGTTCTGTATTATTTTGAGCTCAAATTTTATCAACTTAATTTTTGACGTCACAAAAGAAATGAATGACCTTCTAGAATCAGATGCGCTACAATAATGGAAGCATGCTATCACTAAACTTATTACATCCACTTATCATACCATTCCGATCTTTTATTGAAGAACACAGGATATTAGATTACAAAGTCTTCCATAATGTTTTGATTAATTATATATTATGTATATTATCTCTGAAATGATGACTACTTGTATGGTTATGGATATTGAAGAATGATAGTGGATAATGAATAAAATACGCACCTAAGTTCTTGTTTCCAATCATATAAGATTTGATATTGCTATAATTTAAACATTTGATTGCAAAAGCAGATTAATTATTTAACAATTTTCCTATATGAATTCTCATATTTATCTGACAAAACACTAAATACATGAAATGTTTGTAGATTCCAGCCAAGCGTTGGCTTCGCCTTCGTTTGTCGAACCAAATTCTCCTCAAGCAAAAGAGGTATTTGATTTTAAATACAATAAAATAGAAAAGATATTTCTTCCATGAAGAAGTTGTAAGTCCATCAAAGAAGGATGATAAGTCAACTGAAAACTATTCAAACAGGAAAATAAGTCAGGATTCCATTTTCGATTCTAAGGTAGAAATGAAATTAAGTAATTCTTATATCTTGACAGATTAGCTAATAATTAAATATGTCTTGTGAATTTGTTTGAACAATAGAATAAGGATAAGGATAGAGATACAATCACCAAATTACAATAGCAACTATCGCAATAATCTTAATTGATTCTAAGTTTACAAAGTAAGTTTTGACATTAATTAGATCAAATATAAATTCTGAAGGACTTGAACAAGAAAAACCAGACCAACATCTCGGAACTGCTGGGATAGATCAGGAAGTTGGAATAGGAGAATCAATTCTTTTAGGATCAGCTATTGAAAAACAGGCTGAGTTTGTAAGATTAAATCAAATAACAATAATAAATAAAAATTGATATGGAAAATACAAAAATCTAACTATTAAATAAGGATTAAATGATTGAATCTCTCCATTAACAATTATCATCCTTTCGCCAAGATTAAAGCAGATGCAGAGTAGGCAGAAGTCCCAATAGAATAATAGAGCAAATAGTGAACTGCCATCACCCATCAATCTCGTATATCAATTATAGGATTGCTCCTCAAAGATCGCATTCTAGCAATATCAAGAATTTTTGAATTAATCATTCATATGACTATTTTATATCAAATTTCACAATTTATAAAATTAAAGGGCTTTGGTGCTAGTCTTTTCTTCCACTTCATCGAAAATCTTCCTCTTCTGATGCCCAGAACTAGTATACATGCTTTTAGTATTTTGATTTTGATCATCGTGGAGACTCTTGCTTAAGTAATGATGATTCTGATGTCTCACACTGACACATTACAATTTACAAAACGATAATTTTTTGGGTATTTGAAAGTTTTGAGGTTTTTGGTTCTTTGACTATTTCTCTTTTAATATTTACTTATGTTTACATCATTTTATTTAACTCAGAGATTTCCTATTCCAATTAATAAACATATTTTTATAGTTATACGCATTATTAGCATTATTCCATCTGATTTTCATAAGGTACACTATCTTCTGAATTAATGAAGGACTAATAAATAGTATCTTCTTTCTCATTCATCTTAAATAATTAAAATAATATTAAAGTTTAACATAAAATATAATAATTCCCTTAATTACCTTCTCATCTTATATAGAAAAGACTACATTTGAAGGTATATGCACATTTTTATAGAACCTGAAGATTAAATGATAATGCGACTATTCTAGATCTAAATAGGGATAAGAAGGAATTTGGAATAGAGTAAAGGAACAATTAAGCTATCTCAATTAATTATAATATTTTTGGTCACATAATAGTAATTATTCTATGGCTAAATCAAGCTTTGTATTTTAGATGTTGTTAGTTTTCTCTTCGTTGCTTAGCTAATATGTCTCTTATTTGTTTATTAGTTTATTCTTTCAGATTTTCCTCAGACTTAAACTTTTCTATGCCATTGTCAATGCTCTTTTAGACTATTATTTCGTTTTTGTAGTTATCTTATACGAGGTTCTTCTGAGCCAACGTGGCGAATTTATTAGATTAAGGTTGATTGACTTACGGATTGTGGGCTTGTGGTGGTTCTTTATTGATATTTTTGTAAGTGATAACAGTGTAGTCTGGAATGACAAATCCTGTTTCAATTCCTACTTTATTAGATACTCTTTAGACTGTCCCTAAGGATGGGACATCCCAGCCTATACTGAATTGATGATTGTTTTTGCAGTTATCTAGAGTGAAAATAATAATAAGGATACTGCCGAAAACTTTGATCACGTTCTTTTTCTGACCATCAAAAAAGATCATTGGTACTTGGTGATATGGGTCTCGCGAAGACTACATATTGTGGTTGTACTTACCATTTAATGATATAAATGAAATAAAAAATATTTGAAATACTTTTATCAGAACTCTTGTTGCTTGCAGTTGTAACTGGTTTGGTAAATTGCTTCTTATATTTAAGAGATTAAATAGTAATCAAACAATACTAGTACTAACCTGTTTGAATGTATTCTTAACCATAGTTATTGGGTTTGTAAGAATCTACAATCTCTTTTTGAACAGAGAATTAACTAGATGCTTTACTTTATTACTCTGTTTACGTTTGACCCTAATCGTTATTCAAGATTCTGTCTCTAACAAACAGTTGTTCTTGGTTCTCATTAACCATTTGGAAATGCAATATGAAATTAAGGTTGCTCTTCTTGTGAATTATGGGCTATCAAGTATTTTGAATGATGTTTAGAATTTAATCCAAACTCCACAGAATGTGATCTACTATGTATACTGGTTCCTTGTGTTGTTGCAATTGAAAATTAAGTTTTTCAATGTCAAGGAACCAAAACCTTAAACTATCTCTAAATCCTTGAAGCAAATACCAGATGCCCCTCCCACTTTTTAAGCCAAGTCTCAAGAGATGATTAAGCAATTGGATGAACAATCCAAAGTATTGTCCTCATCGGAAATCAAGCCCTTATAATTGAACAGTAATAATCTCAATGAGGATGACATTATCATGACAAATATGTACTAATGAGTACAAAAAAAATAAAAGGTCGTGGCTCTCAAATCAATCAGTGTTGATCTACAACGGCGACTTAAGTATCATCTATCAAACGTTTTATTTGGGCAAGTTGTAAAAGAACGTCGGAGATAAACTAGACTGTGAATTGCTGTTTTTAGATTCCATTATTATTATTGGATGCAAGGAAATTAATGAATTGCTAGGCCAGTCTGGATACAGTGATTCCATCTTTAGCGAGTATAAATAATCTCTTACCTAAAATTAGTGGCTCATTTCTTTGCAACAATATTAATGAAGTCCACAAATGTAAAATCAAAGGCTAATTCACCATTAGAGAATTGATTACATGTTTGTTCAAAGACTTTGAAAAGTAACTCTATTTCATTGACTTAGATGGCGATTCTTCACTTTAACAATCTTTAAAGTGAAGAATGACTTCTTAGACTTAGATGGTATTCAAATCAAACTCTTCATAACTAACATCGATGGACACAAATTCATACTCTTCAATCTTGAATAAGCTCCTGTCTTACCCAAAACCAATAATTCAGACTCCAACTCATTCCTATAGAACATTTACACCACCTATTCCCATGAATCCATCAATTATGTCAATTGCATAATGACCTTCATTCTACTGCTCACTCATCATAATGATTCTCAAATGAGTGAAGGTAGCAATAAAACAACCATGGTAAAACACTCATCTAAATCCTTAGTCTTAAAGCAAAAAAGAAAAAGAAGAATATGTTGCCAACTCTTTATTGACTATGAGGTACCACACACAGAGATACACATTATTTCTTTATTCAATGAGGGATCACATCTTCTATTTCTAAAATGAATTATTTTTTAAGATGAATGCAATTAGAATTGAAGACTTGTTAGATGATTTACTCTAAACTTTTGATCCCTTATTAAAATTGAAGCAAATCAAATTAACTACAAGTATAGAATTATAAGAAGGAAATACAATCATTTTTAGTGATCAAGATAGAGTAAATATTCCTTTAATTTATAGATTAAACAAATCATCTCATGTTTATTACATTATTGCTTATAATCATCAACCAAGAGTTCAATCAAATTTGATATTAAGAGTTACACACTCTAAGGAATTATGATCACAATTAAAGATACCAAAGCTGATTTTGATGAAACTGCCAAACAAAAGATTATAAATTTAACAAAATTAGTTAATTAGTAATTAAAGAGTCAAAAATCTGCAAATGAATTAGACCTATCAAACCCATTAGAATTGTAAATGTGCATAATACTCTGCTGGCAATTATCTGGATCCTTTAAAAGAGGACTAGAATTTCTAATTGACAGCCAAGGGTTTTGTACATTCACTTTTGTGATTGAGTCTCAAAATACCTAAATGAGATATCAAAACTCTGACACTGGACCTATAAAAGTATTAGGCAAGAAGAAATATTTTGAAACTTCATTGTCCCTTCTTCTGTAAGACAATATTAATCAAGGAGGTGCAGGAGGAGAATCAAGACTCTTATCATTTACCTAATTGTCCAAATAGTTCTCAATAAAACCTACAGACCCCATAGATCTACAAAGTGCCTACTTTTCACAACTCTCAAAAATAAGACAAGAGACTTCGAATTCCAGGGTATTTCCCAACAGTGGCACCATACACAAATAATCCAGAGAACAAAGTGGGAGTTTTTCTGGAACTTACAAATAAGGAATCCAATAGGATAGCATCCAATAGATTACAAAACTTTTGAATAGGAATAACTTAAGTGTTGCAGGCAAGATAGATTCTCCAGATGAATCACAAAGAACTTTCACTGCAATTGATTTTGGTGCAGCTGAATAAACCATCAATTAAATATCTTTACCCGAATTTAACCCTAAATTACTCACTTAAGTCATTAAATATCGACTTAGGAATAATTGTTGTTCCAAAGTTTTGATACTGGATAATGACAGTTTTTAGATTATAGTTTTGGAAAAGGTACTGTAGAAATACGATATCAAATGTGATTATGGATTTACAGGTTCAGAGGGATTAGACAGCATCGAAATGAAGCGAGGTCGCCCATGTCATTGTGGAAATCGCTACTACTTACTGTACTTCATTGACATTAACCTTCCTGTAAATATTTTGTGATAGATTTAGGGATTGAGTGGTATTGAATTTGTCTAACGTATTAAGAAAAATATGCAGCAAGGGAATTTGGATAAGGGATTTGCCATAGCTACAGCTACAGTTGCAGGCTTAAATTCTAAATTGGATTGTTTTCGAAATGGAATGGATTACTTTATATCAAAACCTTTTGATTTGATAGAGATAAGTGCGGCTGTCTAATATCTTGATTTTTGAATAAGTTTGTATGATAGGGTAAAATTAATATAATTAATATTAAAATGAGAGGTCATCAGAAGAGTTTGCCAAATCTAAAATTTCTCCAACATTAATCGACTGCATAAATTACACCCTCTAATAGTTCTATTCGATAAAAATTCTAAGAAAACCGAACGTATCGTAAATTCCAAAAAGAGAATTCTCTTAAAATTGACAAAAATTAGTCAGTCACTCCAGTGATGAATAATGCTGTCAAATTGTTTAGGCAGAATTATATTCAGAAAACAGAACCAAATCTAACATCTCAAAAACAGAATGGAATAGCTGAAAATCAAGAATAATCAAATTAGAAGCCTACCTCTTTCAAATTTCTTTATCGCCCAATGACAAAATAGAATTCTGAACTCATGCAAACTCTTCGAATAACATCAAATTACCCTGAAATCAATCATGTCTATTACGTTTCCGACTTAATTAGAGCCTATGAAAGTAAAGATTGCTATTTCAATCGACTTTTCCAAGATCATCTATAAGCAAGTTTTATGGCTTTTAAATAATGCGCCACTTCTAAAATTATATTCAGACCAAAACCTGTCGTTTTGCCAAAGGATCCCAAAGGTACACTATATAAATTTATAATAGATCAGAGAAAATATACCTTATTACTAGATTTGGATGAAACACTTGTTCATTGTTCCCTGGATGTGAGATTACCATGCGAGAAAAAACTCAATATCAGAATATCCCCATCAGAAATCCTGTAGGTTGGACTTACAATTCGTCCTGGGTTATAAAATATGTTAGAAAATTTGTAGCCTTATTTTGAGATAATCATTTTTACAGCTTCTCATGTCCAATATGCAAAAAAAGTGAAAATAACATATCTAAATATTAGATAGTAGAATTTATTGACCCAAAAAAAATTATATCCAGTGTTTTGTCCAGAGAACATTGCTGTTTCACAAGTCTAGGATAATACATCAAAGATTTATCTATCATAAAAAATCGATCTCTTTCCAAAATCATTCTGGTGGATAATTCTGCTTGCAGTTATTTTTATTAAATTGATAATGGCGTTCCCATTATTCCATTCTATGACAATAAGTAAGATAAGCAATTGGCTTTGCTTACCAAGTATTTAATTGGCGTCGTAGGACAAGAAGATATAAGAGAATACAATTAGTATTATTATTTTTAGTATTTCTTTAGGAAATACTTAAAGACATACCTCTTGGGTAAATTGGACTCTTTGGAATAAATAATTGATAATTATAAGGCCTAATTTAATTCCAAAAAAACCTGAAAAGTCTTATAATACTAAATTGAATTTAAATTTTAATTGTAACAGCTAAATGACACCGGGATGCTATAATAATCACTTTTTTTATTATAATTATCAGATTCGTGATTATTATAAGCCGAACTAAGTTTCTAAAATATCCTATTTTAAATTTATTTTAAATGGGCCCATACCTTAGTTAACCTAATAAAAACAAAACAACCACCAGTGGTGAAGGAAAGAGCATTATTTTTGCTGCTTCTGAAATGCAAGGTACAATTGTTAAATATTTTATAAGGCTGGAGAAATACAATGGAAGATGCTCACATTCATGTATGTGACTTGTAACAAGATCTTTCAATCTTCGGTGTCTTTGATGGCCATGGAGGCAAAGAAGTCGCCCAGTTTGTAGAGAAACACTTCATTGAAGAACTTTAAAAGAATAAAAATTTTAAAGATCAAAAGTTTGAAGACGCCCTTAGAGAGACTTTCTTGAAGATGGATGAGCTCTTGCTTACCCCAGAAGGTCAAAAGGAAATTATTTAAATCAAAGGTGGAGATGATGAGGGTAATTATTTATTAATAATTATTTAAACAGCTTCTTATGCAGGATGTACTGCAAATGTTGCTCTGTTCCATAAGAATGTGTTGTATGTTGCTAATGCAGGTGATTCTCGATCTGTATTATGCAGAAATAACACAAATTACGATATGAGTGTTGATCACAAACCAGACAACTATGAAGAGAAATCAAGAATTGAAAGAGCCGGTGGATTTGTTTCTGATGGAAGAGTCAATGGTAATTATCATTTCCATATTCTTAGGTAACTTAAATCTATCCCGTGCCTTAGGAGATTTAGAGTATAAGAGAGACAGCAAATTAAGATCAAATGAACAATTGATCATTGCTCTACCAGATATCAAAAAGGTGGAATTAAATCAGACTGACAAGTACTTATCTAATTTCTATTATAGATTCCTATTAATGGGATGTGATGGTGTATTTGAAACTCTTGATCATTAAGATTTACTCAAGTTTATTAACTAAAAACTTGGAAATCAATAAATTACTCCATAATTATTAGGAAGAGTAGCTGAAGACTTGTTAGATAATTTGATTGCACCAGATACCTCAGGTACCCTAATAATATTATTTTAGCCGGAACTGGATGTGACAATATGACAACCTTAATCATATATCTTAAAGGAAAATGAACAATATGATAATATATATTTAATATATATTAATTCCTTTAAAATATGAATATCATTTCCTTTCACTCTGAAGAAATAATATCATTATCTCATCATCTCAAATAAAATTCCTATAATCTTATTTTACTTCAAATTATATTAAATCTTTGAAAAACTAATAGTACAGTTGAGCAGAAAGGTATGATAGATTTAATCCCAGAAATATTAAATTCATACTAAAGATTTGTCAAGAACAAGCTTTGAGTATCAAAAACAGACATTTTTCAAATTAATTAAGAGCTATCAGTTTCAATTAGCTTTCAGGAAAATAATCTATCTGATCATACAATAATCATTTGTTAATTAAATTTGAAAAAAAAAATTAAGAAGTGAAAGGCATATAATTTCATAATGAACAAGGAGTAGATTTACCTATTGAATTTGAATTGCTCTTTTAGTGAGAATTTCCGAGAATTTATTTAGAAAATTCAAGAGAATCAAAAATGAGATTCTAACTCTATAGAAGAAAAAGGTAAGGTCTTGAATTAATAATGCATAGAACTTCTTAAGATCTTTAAACATCTTCTAATTAATTAATAGCAATATTAGAACTAAGTAAAATAAGATAACCCATAAACTAAAAAACAAGCTAGTTTAGTTAATCCAAATAAAAGGGATGATGAGTTCATGAATTATTACTTTGATAATTAGATAACTTAATCACATAAGAACAGGTAGTGTAAAATAATTATTAATTACATTAAGAGATAGTTAAGTACTTTTAAATTTCCAACCTCTCCCACTTCCAGAATTATAACCTATTCCTTTTAAACAGTTTTTATATATGAAATCAAGAATCATTTAAACATAGCATTAATGAATGTTTTAATTTCAGACACTAGGATCTCCAAAATTTGATCCTTCATTATTTTGAATGATGTTTGGAAAAATAGTGGAAAAGAATTAGTTAAAACTTTCGGGGAGCTCTTGATAATCCAATTAAATAAAAATTTTGGATATCCTATTCCACCGACTAGCGAATTTCGACCAATTATAATATTAAGACCCTTATTTAAATGGTTAGAATTGTGTTTTGAAAAATCTTTAAGTAGATACTATAAAAGCGAAATTATAAAACTAAAAGTTGGCTTAATTTCAGATATTGAAATTTAATAAAGGATATTTCAAGGTTATTATGATAATAATTTAGTAATATTCATTGATTTAAATTGGCATAAAAGACTGCTAATCTAGATATATCGGTAGATGAAGGAGAAGACAAAACTTGCAATTAACGAACTTCATTTTCTAAAAGCATAATTAGTAACCAATACTATGAAAATAATAGAGTTAAATATTCTTTAAGAAATAGAGTACCTTAAGAAAGTATTCTATCTCCTCATTTATTTGATATTTATACATATTTATTCACTGCAAATACAAAGAAAATAAATATTGATGAAAAAATTCGATAACTACTATTTCTAAGCTGATGACTTAGCAATAATATGCTACGAACAACATGCACCAAAAGTAACAAAAGGATTTGAATTATTAGCTAAATAACTGAGTTTTGATAATCAACAAGAAAAATGTGCTATTCTGAAACTAAATAAAGAAAAAAAATTTTTAGGAAAAGGTGATGAATGGAATTACATTTGTGAGAACTTGCAGATACCCTTGGAGTTGAAATAGATAATAAAGGAAGAAGTAGGGGAACATTTTGCAAAAATAGAGAAAAGAATGAACTATTATAAAATACAGTTCCTAGGAATACTGAAAAACTAGGATTTGGCTACAAATTCTTGTTATGGGTTAATTACATGAAACTCTATTTTTGATATATCTTAAGCATTATAGAAAGTACAGAATAAGTTGAAACAACTCTGTGAATGAAGTTTAAAGGAATGGCTACTACTACAAAAAATCACCAGTGATATATTCCTTGAAGGATTAACAGGCAAATTGCAAGATATTGCAGCTTCCAATATGATAAGATTGATCATCTTATTGATTTAAAGTATAATCAAGAGGTAACACAAGAAGGCCAATTATATTATAAAACTAATAGTAAAGGAAAATATGAAAGAGAATTAAAGATATACCAGAGAATATTAGAGAGCCATTCTTATTGCCAATAAGAATTTGCAGTATACATAAAGAGAGGATGACTTTTTCACACCAATAATAAATGCATAAAAGCAATTTAAAAAATGAGGGCCTCGTGTTAATAAAAAGTAATTATAAACTAAAGAAGAAGAAAATATTTGAAAAAAAATTAAAAATATACAAAAAGAAGCAGGAGGTTTTATAAAATTAAAAAGACATAAAGTTAGTAAATGAATATGTATGTATGTATGTATTATTATTATTATTATTATTATTATTATTATTATTATTATTATTATTATTATTATTATTATTATTGTTATTGTTATAATCTTTATTTAGTGAAGCTCACTAGAGAAGTTTATAAGGAATTTTAATAAGACTATATAAATAAATAAAACTTTATTAGTATTGTTTTAATAATAAGTTTGAACGAAGAACCCAATTTTTATCTATATATCCTACGAATACAAATGAAAATAATAGTACGAGGAAAGATCTTTAAGTAAAAAATCCAATCCCATGAAAAATGAGAATAATTTAAGAAATAGCTTCTCTATTCTTCTGAAATATTTATAATTATATTTTAATTATAACAAAATTCGTTTCATTTAAAATAAATTATTATAATTGTCATATTGTCACATCCAGTTCCGTTACCTATGAGATCTGAAGCAATCAAGTTATCTAACAAATCTTCAGCTACTCTTCCTAAAAATTATGGAGTAACTGCTTGATTACCAAGCCTTGAATTAATAAAATTGAGTAAATCTTAATGAATAAGTGTCTCAAAGATACCATCACATCCCATTAAAAGGAATCTATCATAGCATCATAGTTTAAAATAATACTTATCATTTTGAGTTAAAACCTCCTTTTTTATATCAGGTAGAGCAATGATCAATTATTCATTTAATCCTAAGGCGGTATTGTCCTTATACTCTAAATCTCCTAAGGCACGGGATAGATTTAAGTTACCTAAGAATATGGAAATGATAATTACCATTGACTCTTCCATCAGAAACAAATCCACCGGCTCTTTCAATTCTTGATTTCTCTTCATAGTTGTCTGGTTTGTGATCAACACTCATATCGTAATTTGTGTTATTTCTGCATAATACAGATCGAGAATCACCTGCATTAGCAACATACAACACATTCTTATGGAACAGAGCAACATTTGCAGTACATCCTGTGCAAATGACTAATATTAAATGATATAGGTAAAATATTACGATTTGGTTTTTCATCTATTATTTAATTTTTGTACATTTAAGTTTCTTAATTACGCAAGAGCTCATCCATTTTTAAGAATGTTTCTGTCAAAGCTTCTTCAAACTTTTGATCTTTAAAGTTTTTATTCTTTTAAATTTCTTCAATAAAGTGTTCCTCAACGAAGTGTGCAATATCCTTGCTTCCATGTCCATCGAATACACCAAAGATAGAGACATCAGGTACAATGTCACATACATTAATATGAGCGTCTTCCATGTCTTCCCACCAACCTGTATCATAAAATAAAAAGATTTACCTTTCATTTCTGAAGACGCATATATAAAATGTTTAGTTTCTTCCACTTTTGTATTTTTGCTTCGATCAGGGGGATTTTGAATTTTGTTGCCCATTTAAAAATTTTTAAATTAGGATTTATGAGATCTTAATTGTGATTATAATAATCACGAATTATATAATTATAATAAAAGACTTGATTATTATAACATACTGATGTCACTTAGCTGTTAAAATTAAATTTTAAATTCAATTTAATGACACCAATTTACAAAATTTATTTTGAATATTTGATAATTTAGCCGAAAACAAGAATTTTATAATAAAAGTATCACTGTTTGCAATAATATGATTAATTTACTAAAATTAAAGATAATATTTGTTGATTATTCAAAATGTGATCTGTAATCTGTAAATTTAGGAATTTGGTTGTCCTCTTTTTATAAAGTATAAAAATATTTCTATTAATGTTGAAATCAAACAGTAACCTTGTAATCGACAATCGAATGCAAATCTTTTCATCTAAAAGAAATGAATTTTAATTTACAGGTAAATTCAGATTTGGCATTATTAAGATATTATGTTGCTAAAAGCAGTATGATAGAAAAATTTAGCAAGTTTATTGAGAAACCTAAAAGAATAAAAATATTAAAAATATTAAAATTATGAAGTGAAAAAAAAGTTAGTAATATCTATTAATAATCAGTTATTGAGTAATTTTAGAACTGCACTGCATCGCGCGTTGCTCAATAATAATATGCTTCAGGATACTAATGTTATTTGATACTAAATCTGCAGGATAAGTAGATAATGCAAAATACTATGAATATTTATCATAATAAAAATACTTATTATTAGAAATAAAGAATTGAAAGAGCTGATCGATTTATCTGATAAAATATTAAATTTTCAGTTTAGATAATTGATTCATTTGCTGGTTAATCCTAAATAAATAATCTGGGATTTTTTTTGAGTTTTGATTTTATAAAAGAATATAAACTCACAACGATCTATTTAATTTAATGCTTATAGATCTCATTATTATTCGGTTTATTCTCTTGTTTATTTTGGTTGTGTTGAAAATAGGAGGATTTTCCAGTTAGGGAAATTAATTTATCAATACTTTAAAATCATAATTTAGTTTCTTAATTTTTATTGTTTCGTATATTTGCAAGCCTTTGGTGGAACAAAAAGAATGGTACGAGCATTCAACATTTACGCTTTACTTATGAAGAGTATAAATCTAATAGCAGAAGATTAATAATATTTAAATCAAGGAAAAGCATATAGAATTTTTGATGAAATAGTTTTATATAGAGTGAACAAAATTTAAGATGTCATTCTTTTTTTAACTCAATTTATTGAGTTTAGACGTTATTGTAAGTGTATGTTTATGGATTCGAGATTTTGATGGCATCCTACCATACGAGTTGACAAAAAGATTGTTACTAAGCGACGTTGGGGTCATTTTTTTCTCGTTCCTTGTTGTGTTTCTTCAATTTGTCAAAGTCTATTGGAATGAAATGAAATGCCCCGCTTCTTTTAAGCTTTGATTTAGATTAGCAAATTCCCATTTTAGATTGTTTATATTTTAATTGTTTATTAAATTGATTTTAGATTTTGCATTTTATAATGGCAACAAGGATAATCATTACTGATAGAAATTATGCTAAAAAAATAAAATTTATAATTCTTAATTTTTCATATTATACATATCATCTGGACAATATTCCTAACAAATCTGTGTCTCTAAATATGAGAAGTTCTTATCCGCTTACTTTGACTTTTTATCCACCAAAATCAGGTAGTAAAACGGTATCTCCTACTTTAACACAAATTTTAACAAATTCCCCTTTGTGGTCATAATAGCCTTCACCAGCCTTTCATTAAATTAATTGATATACTTCAATGACTACTCCAGCTGGGTTCTTTGTATCTCCACTATTTAGAAGAATACCACTTTAGGTTTTGGTTGGAACTTCCAGCTTCTTAATAAGAACTCTATTCATGAGAGGGACTAATCTTTTGAATTGCTACATCAATTAATTTTAATTAAATAAATAATATTATGGATCCTAACCAATTTGTATGCTAGTTTCTCACTATATGATAGGGTATTGAAATTGCTAAGAAATTCTAACAGTTCTTTGCTCATATGAACAAGTTTTGTTAACAATTTTTGAAAGACTAGAATGTACCTGAAATCCCAACCACAACAGAGAAGAAGAAGGAACGAGACCCAAATGCTCCAAAAAAGCCTTTGACAGCCTTCTTTCTATTTAATTAGAAGTACAGACAGAAGGTAGTTGAACGAAATCCAGGTATTTATATTTAGAGAAATATCCATAGAGATTAAGCTCACTTAAATATCTTAGATGGCTGGAAATAAATGGACATCTATGAGTGAATAGGAGAAGAAAGTATTGATTTTTACTATTGTCCATAGCCTTATCTCGACCAATACAATGCAGCTAAGGAAAAATATGATTAAGAGTTGAAAGATTACAATGAGAAAAATGGTATTGAAACCAACGATAAGAAACGCAAGAAGTCAGAGAAAGTAAGATGAATCATAACAAACAATAGTTTGATGAAAAATCAATGAAATCCGCTGTTGATCACAATGTTGATGATTTTGAATCCGAATCTGTTCAACCTGCCGCCAAACATTAACAATAAATCAAATAATAATAATAGAAACAAAGCAATAATGATGATTAAGTTAAATAATAACCAGGAAAATAGACTAAACAATAACCATAGCAAAAATAAAATCCAGCTTAGACAAAAAAAGGTAAAAATGTAGAAATAGATGATGACATCTAAAGAGATATTGATTAAGCAATGAGCAATCCGAAATAGCCATAAAAAAAATAGAAAAAATGAAAACAATAAAAACAACCATTAAAATTAAAATTATTATTTATATTCTTTTTGCTATGTATGAAAGTGTTCAATCTTATAATAGATTGGAAATATATCCATCCACATTAACTAACTAATTCAACATATAGCTACCTTAAGCTAATGTTAAAATTTGATACTCATGTAATTCTATAGGACCACAGATCAATTTATATTATTTTCTAGGATAAAATGTAATTAAAAAAATAATCTATTCTGAAGTAATTCCTTGAACAACTATACTTTAATGCACTCATCAGCAATCCTTGCCATTTATTTGTAAAGATACTTTCATCCCTTATAGTTTTATTGGTTGTCTATATATATATATCTTGCTCTTAGAGAGTTCACTATTATGAAAATATAGTCTAGCAGTTGTATTAGTCATATGTTACTTTAATAATCTTATCTTATAAGGAGAATCTTTTTTAATTTTGAGTATTCTTTCTCTAAACTCTACGAATATATCTTTTATAATACACACTTAATTGTTGGCTTCAAAAATATGCAAAAATCACACAAAGCTTGCTTATTCAATAAGGAGTTTCATTGTTGCAGAAATAATTTTTGAAAAGTAAAGTGTTTTATCATAATTTTACCTAGCCAAAATGATTCTTATATTTTCAATATGAATAATTTCAATACTTAAATCATTGTAGATTCTGAAGATAGGAAAGATCTATATATATTTTAGATCCTCAATAAAATAGATATTTAATACATAAATATTAATTATTAGTATTGGAATATATAAAATAGATAAATAATCATGAAGCTATAAGCATTGCAAAATTTAATGACCTTTAATATCTTTACATATTATTTCAACTCATCATAACACTCAATAAGAGAAAATATTTTGAAAAGCGATAAAACACGCTAGAATAAAGAACTAGATAATTATACTATAGCCTCTAGATTTTATCTTCATTAATTTCTTGTTATTTTAAAGTTAACATAACTTAATCCAAAACTTAGCAACCATCTTATTCCATGAATTCTATCCATTTAACATAATCAATAAATTATATGATTCAATAATATCTGATATGCTTAGCCTAGCTCTGATATTTTTCTCTTAATATGATTTAAATATGTAAAAATATGTCGTTGCAAATTATTCAAATACCACTGGAATCCCTGAAATGTTTTTCTTTTAAAAATCATAAAATTATATCTTAATAAATTAATTATAAAAATAGCCAATAAATATATAATATCAATCAATTTAAATGATCAGAGCCACTCCTCTTTTAGACCAATGTTTCTTTTCATTCTTAATTGGTATTTTAATATTGCAGATAAAGTTGATTGATAAACCATTTGAGGTCAGAACTCCTTTTCTTTGAGAAGTATTATATAAAGGACAGGAGTAATGATTATATTTTTTTGGCTAATTAGTTGGTATAAACTTAATAATTGGGCATTTAAAAAATAATATGTTGAGATCTGGTTCTAGTAGAGTTTATTCTTCCAAATCAAATTGAGCTCCATCAATTGATAATCCTTCAATAAAAATTCCATGTTGAGAACCTTGATTTGGAATTTGTTTCATAAACTCAAAATCAAATTTTAATTAATCAATTGGAATCTTGGATTTTCTTGAATAATTCTGTAATACTGCAGTTAAGAATCCTTGAATAAAGAAAAAGCTTCCAAGCCAAAAGATTGTAGGTTCTCCATTATTAATCCAACTGTCTAAAAATTGAATTCTTTTAAGCAAATCGCTGAACCATGATCCTAAAGGCTTAGTAGTCAAATAAGAGAGCTTGCTCCAATCTGAGGGTATTTTATTATCGAAAATGGAATTGTAAATGTCATTTAGTTAATCTGTCATATTAATGTAGCCTTCCAGTGCTTGCATCAGTTATTCTAATGAATTGAATATTTGAGAAATTAATTTATTATACTTATTAACTTCTTATTAGATGAGTGTATGCATAGAATTGTCTTAGAGTAATGGATACTTTGATTCAACTAATGAAATATTAAATTAAGCTGGTAGTTCATTTAAAATAGATCTTCCTTTCTTCTAAACTAATTTGTCTGGATGAATGCTTTAGTCTCCTAAAGTTCTTGGAAGCAATTACAAGATCGTCGAACTTAAGTTTTCAGTATCTAAAATGGCAGAGTAGATTTCAGCATTTGGATGCAATCCGAATAACTGAGGAGGATCAGCAATTGGAAAGGTTGCTATATATTCTATATATCCCTTTAATGGCATTTCTGAAGGCACTTTATAAACATCGTTGAATGAAAAGCCTTCCACAATGTCTTTGTTAATAAGATCGGAAACATAAATATTTAACAACTTCCTATCAACAGGATCAGTGACTCTACCTCCATAATTATTTTCTGCTATTAGGTAATGAAGAGCATCCCAAGGAATATCATTATTTTAATCCAGAAAATACAGAATCTATTCTTTAGACATTTCTAAATCATGTTATGAGAAATTATATCCTATGTTCCATCCTAATGGTCCATACTTTTTACGTTCAAGCAAACAAGCATGAAGAAGAGCCAAAGAAAAAAATAAATTCTTCCATTCCTTTAATCTTTTACATAATTCAAACTTCTCCGGGTCTTGAGACAAATATGACCTCAACATATTATTCTTAATTCCCCTTGGCAATTCGTATGTCATTTTGAGAGCTAAAAATATGAGATGAATTAATTTACCTCTTATAATTACATTTTATGGTAATAGATTAGTAGGCAAAGTAGTTAACCAGAGTCTAAAATTTGTATGTATATTTTGCTTCAATTAATTTTCGTAAAGTTTTTCTAATTCAGGCATAAATGAGGCTGCCAGATGACAATTTTATAAGAGCACCCAATTTCCATTTTAGATAGCCTTCAAGATTAACTTAATTGCTAATTAACTCTATCCTTATCCCAATGAGATAACATTAAGCTTATCTTAAAATCCGTATTTATGAGCTAAACCAATGATTTCAGATCTTGGATCAGCTCCTGGAGTTGTGACACAGAGCAATGGAGTATTTTGATCAGATTCCAGATAAAATTATTCAAATGTGATGGGAATGCTTTCTAAGAAAATTTAGCCCATAAATGTTCTAATCATTTCATTTGTGGCTTGAATGAATTATTCTGGTTTGATGATTTTAACTATCATGTTAATTTAGAATTAATCTAAATTTAGGATTTAATTCTTGAAACTATGAGAAGTAGTATAGAAATGATCCCAAAATGGTTTATTATTACTAAATGAATCACAAATCCCTTTAAAGATGTGTGGATATTATTATTAGAGGTCAACCAATGCTAACCACATTTTGTATGTCAACCATGAATAATCTTTAGGCATAGGTATTTCAGTAGAAGTCAAAGAACATCCCATAACTGATGTTCTAACCAGGTTGATGGGAACATTCATTAATCGTTGACATAAGAGAAATCTAAAAATCAATTTATCTTTTTCTAGCAAAGATCGATTGACAGCATTGTAAAGCATTAATATGAATTTGTCAATGATATTTTGATTTCTCTTAAGTTTACCTTGCTATGCTTCTTTAATAGCCTTAGAATAAAGAGCAACATAGAAATCTAAGGACCACAAATAAGTGGGTTCAACTGTTGCTAAATAATAGACTACAAAGTATAAATTGGCAACAGTTTCAGCCACTTATTAATAGGATTACCTGGTGACATTGAATGCCTGACTATCAGTCTCTAACTTACGAATTCTTTCTTCAATGTTATTGCCTTCATCTTTTGTATTCTGGAGAGCGATAATGATAGTCTCATTTTATAATAAATCTCCTCCTGCTTAAGAGAGTAGTTCCAACATTTAATCTTCTGTTTTGATTAGTTTATCCTGATTGGAGATAAAGTAAAAGATATTCTTAATTCTCAATTCTTCCTTTACTGGTTCATCAATTTTGACAACCACATTCAACATTTGATCAGTTAATCCTTGAAGTGTTGCTTAGAAGTTCAATAGAGTAACCATAACGCAAATTTAAGGTTGGTAATGTGGATTGTCTAATTTAGTGGTAAGGTAGAATCTAAAATCATTAGATTGTTCAATGACTTTATCAAAGAATTTAATTTGAGCAGTTGATCCAAAGTCCTTCTAAGATAAGATTTAAATAAAGAGAGGATCAATGTCTTCTGTGACATTTTCAACTAAAACAGCATATCCAATTTAAATAGCATGTTCTAATTGCAATTAGACTTATTGGATTGGTGATCTTGCATTAAATATCAATAAACTTTTGCTGTCTTCCATATTTCTAATCCATTGATTTGCTTACAATTAAGGATCGATAATCAAAGGCCATTTAGATGACTATTTCAAGATGATGGCATTATCAATAGAAAATTGATCATTCGGCAATTTCTGTTGTAACCATTTGTTAATCTACAAAGGATCACTCAACTGTTTTTACAATTGGAATGGTGAGGAAGATTAAATACCCTCTTATAACAATTTCATCTACCATAATTGTATAGCATTTTCTCTATATTGTATGGGAAATACTCCCATATAAGATATCAAGGCTGAACATAGAATGCTATCTCCTTCAAGAGTGTTTTATTCTGCTTTAATCTTCTGGGTTTTCTTTTTCCACCTGACTTTTTCATCTGAAAGATTATTGGTCAATTTTTCTGCTCTTTACAATTGTATAGTGATACTTTCAACTTTTTATTCAATCTACTCTTTTTCAATCCTAGCCTTTTGATACTCATTCGACAATCTCTTCAATTCAATCATGACTTCATCCAAAGCAGATCTTTTGACGCCTAATTTCTCTTCTGCATCTTTCAATCTAACTTCAGCTTCTGCTAATTGCTACTTCTTAGGTTCAATAATTTCGACTGCTTAATAACTATTCAAAACAGCTCTGATCCAATCAGAAAGGTTGCCTGCAGCCGTAGAGGCATTAAATACTTTGTCTCTTTCGAATAATGGATTTTATGAGAACACTTCTAGTTTTTCAATATTCACAATATTGATTGATCTGATCTCTTCTAATTTCATCTTCTTGATTCTTTTGATTAGTTTGTCATTCAATAGATTCTTTTTTGCAAAATCCCAGAAGTCTTGAATAGTTGGAGGATCTTTGTTCTTTGATTAAACTTGATCGTCGATTTCGAATGCATAACAGAGTCCCTCCATTACAATAGCTGCCGAAGGAGGAGGGTAAATGAATGACTTCAATAAAATCATATCTTCCCTTGAAATCTTCTCTAACGCATCTGTAGCCTATTTAAGCAAAGGAATAACGTTATTTAATTAGGTCTAACATAGATTTCTCAAAGAATTAGCTTCTTCTCTTTAAACACTACATTCTTTTTCGTCCTGTTCACATACCATTCTCTTTTAATCTGCATCCTGCTATCTTTTCTTAATCTTCTTCAAGAGAATCTGATTATCATTCGTTGCCTTCTCCAATTGAGGTTGCAATTCAAAGAGCATATTCCTTATCTTATCTACTTCCTATTCAGTGTGTAGAATCTTTTCAATTCCTGTTTCCATTCTATCAATAGCCTTCCTTGATCGCAATACTCTTTCCTCATAAATCTTCTGATAGATCTTCAACATCTATAGATACTAGGTGGGAGTCACATAGAAGTATCTTCTCATCTCCTCTTTGTACTTATCAGTGAGATCGAGTACTTTGTGATGAATATCCACAGCCACCTTCACTAAAGCATTCTGTTTGAGAAATCCAAAGGCAGTAGATTCTAAAGCTTCATCTGACCAACTCATAAACCAATCGATGGTTGTACTATTAATAATGGCTGGAAAGGATCGTAAACGTTTACGTATAGTCTCACCTATTGGTTACATACACAATATGATATGCATGTTGTGTTTACAATTTTTGATGAATTAGGAGTATGGCAATTCTTCTTAAACTTTGATTCTTTCCTCAGGAGGGAATAGATGAGACACCTCGCCATGAGTCATGATATTACAGATGTCTTCCAACATGTAATCCTAATGAAATTGAGATTCCTAGAAGATTAATGTTATTATTCTATTTTCCATTCCTGAGTCTTTGAGTACTGTCAACAGATTTTCATCCCATTATTTAGAATCAATGGTTTCTGCTGATTGCTAAAACAAGATGAAATTAGCCAACTTTGATAATGAGGCTAAAATATAGTAATGTTTTTCATACTTCTGCCACTTCCACCCATACCAATTAGCAATGCATGTCCACTTAACAAAATCCTTGAGATTCTGGCCACGTGTAAAATAGCATTAGTAAACAGTATCAATTCCATTTTGTATTGTTATTATTGATAGTTATATTATTCTAAATACCATTTAACTTTGTCCAATACTCGATGCATCAAAGGAGCCTCCTCATATTAGTTGTTGAATAACGGCAGGAATAGATTGTGTTGAAGATGATCAGGGTACAACTACTGAAGTGATTCCTTCATGATATCATTGTAAATCTTGAGGTCATTCATGTCTACCAATCTATCACTAAATATCCTAGCACATTCATGGCACCATAATTTAACCAAATATTATTAATTAATGATCTTGTGTACTTTGCTCATTCCCTAAAATATCTTGAAGATGTCTCTAACTGTATATATGTAATGTGATTTCGAGGGAGTGGGTAACAACTTGGTTTGCACCTTCTCGAATAAGAACAGCGTTGTAACTATAATCTAATCCTTGATATTCAAGAACTCCACCCCATTCTCTATCTTGATCGACAACCAATAGATAAACACCTCCAACATATTCGTCATGCTCTCGTTGTCAAATCCTCCGATATACAAAATATTGAAGAATCTCAGAAATCTCTTTGTCACCTAATTCCTTCCACTTACATTTGGTTGCATGGCTCCAAGGAATGTGATATCACACATGTATTTGAATTCCTTATTGTCCAAGTCATACCACCCTCCCATCTCCATCCATTGTCTTAGTAGTTCTATAGCAGGCTAAGCACCTTCAGGTTCTCTGTAAGGCATGTTTAGATCATCAATAAATATAAAGATGTGACCTTCCTCTGATGCATAATAACCCTTCCTCCTTCTCTTATTGATTTTGGTCTCGATCAATCGCTAGATAGAATTGCCTGTAGTTGAACCAGAACAAACAATTTGGAATCCTGATTTTGCTGCCATGGATAGAGTTTTTCCAGTGCCTGTTGGTCCACAATAAAGCATATGGAGACCTATAGTAGCCAGATAGTCATTGCGAATGGAGGATTGTGTTTGGACAACTATTTGATGGAATTGCATTTCAGGATTGATCTGCTTTTTGTTGCTAAGCTATTTAATAAATGAAATGAGATTACATTGATCCATTTGACCCACTTTCCATTTGAAAAACAATATAAGAAATAATCAATGCCATCATTATTGGGAAATTAGAAAGTTGCTTCATCTTAATAGATAGTCTACAAATCAGATTTATTAGTTTTGATTAATTGATTGATAAATTTACTGAATTGAGGCCTATAGATCTCATCCATGGCTGCCCCCACAGACCAAACCAAAGCAAAGATCATCATGTTGTCCATATTATTTGGAGTTTTCTCCTCATCACTAAGGAAGGTCAAACATTTCTTGGTGAGATTAATAAAGTTGGAAACAAGGATAGTCTCAATGTACATAACAGGGAATTTGACATGCAACTTGGTCCATGCCAAGGTATGATCAATCAAACTAAATATTGAATAATATGTTACAATCTCATTCGTCTTATAAAATAATCTAGATCGAAGCCATTTGGCAATTATAGTGAGGCAATCAAGGATGGCCATTTGAATGGAATATAATATATCATACCACATCTAGATACAGTGGCAGGAGAGGCTGCAGAGAGATCTTCAACTTCGAAGACCATGCACATCGTAGTTGGGATTTTCAATATTTCACCAGATGTTAAACATAATTTCTGATTATCATCTAAGACGGTGTTTAAGTTCTCGATCCAAAGTGAATCTACAGGACCATCAAAATGAATCCAAATCCTCTGGGGTTTCTCAATGTTTTCTCTAATTAAAATGGGAGCTACTCCATCAGACCATTGTCTTGTATCAGGATCCAAGAACCCATATAACTAATCAGTGTTAATAGATTTTGGGTTGAGTTTAAAGATCTGACAATTCAGAGCTTTGGCCAGAACTTAAATGGTCGTTGTTTTACCTGAGAATGTCTCACCAATACACATAACTCCATTTCTGACATTGATGTTGTTTTGCAATTCTTCGATTTTCGATAAGAACAACTTATCCATTTAACAATTCAACTCTGAACATGCTTCTTCTAATTCCAATTGATTGGATTCAACTGGTTTTATATCAGGGAACAAATCCTTTGTAATTGCCATGAAGAGATCGACATCATTGGGTATAAATTTTGGTTTATTTACGTTGATGATTGCTGTCAAACATATTTCCTCTTCATATCCTTCGTACATATTCTTGGCTGCACTCAGTATAGCCTTGAGAGCTCTCATACCGAAATCATAATGTTCCTAAGAGGATAATTATTCGTTGCACAATCTCAAACATGTAACTATCTTTTGACTCAATTCTCTGGCCTTCTCAAATCCAGTACTGTACAAATAAATTTCAGCGATCATCGCATAATCTGGCACCACCATAGCACAAGGTCGAAACAAGATCTACAGATTATCTGGTAACTCAGATCTCCCTGCATAACCTGGATTCATTGTTATATTGATAGACACAGTCAAAGTTAAGTTAATGTGCACTCCTTCAAAGTTGAATTGCTTCCTCTTTTCCTTTACTGCCTAGAATATTGTGTAGATCTATTGAGCAACCACTGACAACACCTCTGGATCCAATCTATTGAATTCATCGAAACAACACCACGATCCTGAAGAAGCCAATCCCTTGAAAAACTTACCCATGGCTATATAATTTAATCCTTCAGAACAATTAAATACAATACAAGGCATACCAATTGCTTTTGCCAAATCCTTCACCGTTTCTGTTTTCCCTGTTCCAGCTGGTCCTTCAGGAGCTCCTCCATAATTCATGTTTAATGCACTTAACAGAGTTCTTTGACATCGATCAGTTAATTTAGTTATCACCAATCTAGTTAGATTCCCCAAATATTCAAAACCATATTGCAATACTGAATTGACCATCTTGACATTAACCACAAACTCTTATTCCACAATTTCATTATAAAATCTCATCTGCGAAATCCAAACAAACTCATTTGCATCTTGAACATTCTTCTTATACAAAGTATCCACGATGTCTTTCTGATGTACTTCAATTACAACCATAGCCTCCAAGGTAGCTGTTTGTAATTTGTTTTGATCTGATCTTACTAATAACACGGTGTCTTAAAGTTCTTTGTGTAATATACTTAAATATAATTTTAGATTCATTTTTTGTTGCTGTCTAATAGCAGTTTCTGTGCTTCTAGTCCATTTAATTTAATTGGCCAATAGAATAGATTATGTTGGCCATTTTGTAATGAATTCTTACTTTGTGCAATTCAAATCTTTCAATGTTCTGTTTGATATCCTCGAAATGGACTTTTTCATTTGTGTCTCTAATTCCTATAACCACAATTCCACATTGCCAGATTTATCATCCTATGCTACATTAATTGCCTACTCCAGAGGAACACATTCCTTCAATGATGAATAGAACCCTGTAATCAGGGAATACTTCTCGAACTTTAATTCCTATATGGATTCAAAACATTTATAGATATGTCTTTGCACCTACACAGGCTCTTTCGTTTGTGCCAGTATCTCGACTAATTCTTCATCAGAAACAAAATAGAATCTTGGAAAGAGCACTCTCTTTGATTCTAAATAAATGGTTAAACTTTTTTGAATCTGATCGAGCATCAAAACATTATTGCTGAACTCTACTTTCATCTTCTCAGAATCTATGCATTCCCATATCTTCCTATTCTGATTAAAGTTTTCCATGCACATCTTAAATGATTGATCAACATTCCTAAAGAATTAAGCCTCCTTTGCCAATTTCTTCTTGATGTCCTCACTAGTAAAGATGGGATCCAAATAAATCCAGTGTTTCTAACATTTCATACCATATTCCAAAGTATCCTATATCAGAACTGTCTTATACTCCAATTAATTGGCCTTACTCAACACCATCTTCACATGTGGTTGGGCTTTTAATATGCCCAAAACATTTAATTATTCATCTAATAGCATCTAAACCTCCTCGTAATTTTTAAATATGTATGTATCTTTATAAGGTACAATCTCAATCACAATTACTGATAACTTATCCTACATTTCATTTAGTCTCTTCTCTATGTTCCACCCCTTCTCTGCTCTCTAAGAAACTGCCAGCACTTACTCCTTTACATTCAGGATTCCTCTTGTGATCAGAATTTACAACGGAAAATCCTCCTTTGGATCAAAGTTTGCTATATGACATTCTCTAAACAGGTCTCTCCAAAAGGACGGCTTTTTCTGAAATGCTTCAATAACTAGAGCTTCAATAATCCAAATGAATTCTTTTGATCTCTCCATGGCTGCTCTGAGTCCTCTAAGAAATTATTGAGCATATTCATTATTGACATCTTTGAAATATTGAGTCATCTTAATGGTTTAGTTCACATAATCATTTATTTTTATTTGAATGTCTTATGAATTCAACTTCTTAAATGATCCATATAACCATTGATCTTTTTACTACTCAAAATTACTAGCCAATTCCCATAACTTCTGATATGGTTAAAACTCACTAATTAATAAATCTAATTGAGGGTAGGTGGAATTAGGTAAACCGAACAATCCTTCTCTCTAATGAAATGAATGTGTCATCTCCTTTGCATCATCAAAATATAAATTAAGCTACCTAACAGCAGGTAATTTATGCTTAACCTCCTCATAAGAATGAAACGTTTTAATCTCAGTGAATAATTCTGAAATCTTGTAGATATGTTCTTCAAACTCATACTTCTCAGCTTAAAGTTTCTGCAAGAATTGTTTCTCTTGTTTTTCAATCATATTTTTATTCATTTGCACCAATTCAGTGATATCTTATGGCCAATATTTCAAATAAAAGAAGTCCACCATTAAATTGAAATCAAAAGGAACATAAAACATGTTTAATACTTCTAACATTTATCCTCTAAACTATAAATGAAATTATATACATCTACAATATCTCTACTTTCTTTCTTGAAAACTCCATTTTCAACTCTCCTAACAGCAATTTCAATTCCACCAACTTCTCCTCAGTGTTGGGTAATGTTGAGCTCTTTGATTGTATCTCATCAAACTAAGACTTTATATTTGCTGTATTATGTTTGATCAAATCAATTATTTTCTATTAAAGATATGAATTCATACATTTGTTATTTGGTTGGCTTGATCTTAAACTTTCTCCTTCAATACAAATTTTAAATCATTTAAATTAACTGAAAATAACCCCAATCTACTTCTAGTATTACACAAATGATCAATTTCCAAAAGTGCACTTTTAGATTATTGCAATCTTGTCACAATCTATTGCTTATTAATTGATGTTATTGATTTTTCTTTGGGTTCAATTCCTAAAATTTCAGCAATTTCCTTTGATTTTAAAGGAATCAAGAATTTCTTAAATTTTTAGAATCTTTCAACTAAATTGTAACATTTTTAATATTCCATTGTTATTATCTGTATAATTTCTTCTTCTAAATCATGAATTTATTTTTGATCAAATATATCTTTAAGTGTTTCCTTTAATAATAACAAAGTCATCAATTCGCTTCTAATAGTTTAGAATTTTTGTACAAATATCAACAATGACCTACAAGGTTTTAATAATTATTCTATAATATCGTTTAAAGAGTATTAGATATAAATAATTGGATCATTCTATTTAATCATCTGAACATTCGAAAGACGAATGTCCTTCCTTGACATTTTACCACCCTTAGGTATAATAATTTTGACACTCAGTTCAAGAAGGGTGCTTAATTCAATTTTGATTTCATTCTTATCATCATAAGTATATTGTTTTAAGAATAACTTCAAAATATAGTATTCCTTCTCGATCTACTTCTTTAGAAAGGTTAGATAGATATAATTAATTTTTGTGAGTAACTTATCAAGTTGTCCACCTTTGAACTGATCTAACTGTGTGGTTACAAAGCTATGTTCTTTCGACAAACAATCTTATATATTGGATAGCATAAATAATCTTTAATTTTTGAATTCGTTAAGTTAGAGTGCAATTTGCTAATCAATATGATGATTAAATTCCTCTAATTTTAATGGTAAATGAATCAATCTAAAATCATAGGTGTATACTGTATAATCCTCAATTCTTTAAATCATATTTTACACAGCACATATTGCTGACTTTTTGTAGAAGTGTACCAATTTTTTCAGTTGTTTTCGATTAGAAGTATAAAATTGATACCTGTCTTATGGTATAAATTTATATTTGTTATCAAAATTGCCTACTGCGCATTTCTTCATAGCTACAATATATTCACTCGAAATTTCATCTAGCAGAGACGTAGTCATAGAAGCGTTAATATATTTCTTGAATAATTTTTATCTCAGGGTTTTAGGGAATTATGAAACTTCAGTACTATGCACAGACATAATTTATTATAATTTCTTGTGTTCTATCTTCTTTAGTAATTACCTCTATTAACTTTTATATATTCATTTTGTTACTTGGATTGTTAAACTTTCTAATATATTTCTTAGTTTTAATTTACAAATTGCAGAGAGAGTCTATCCACTTTCTTAATTTGACCACCAGGATACTTTTAAACTATAAACTTATTTTATTGAATGTCAAGATCCAATATTGCAACATCCTCCCAAAAATATTGACTATCTACTTATAAATCTAAATACTTTGATTTTTAATGGAAAAACTGGCATTTCGCCTATGGAGGTTCAATTTCTTTGCAATGCTCTAACCATTCCAAATTACTCTTTTCTTATTGTTGTTCCAAATAAATTATATCCGTACTCGACCTTCTACTATCAAATTGCTTTTAAGAAGAACGCTAATTTGTCAATATTTTTAATCCATATATATTTTACTCTTCCTTGGAATTTACATATTTCTTTTTAGACAATGAACGTTATGATTTCAAAACAAATGATCCATTTATCGGAGAATTAATGCTACATTACTTTAAATCTAGTACCTCTGATCAGATTCAAATGAGTCAACCAAACTTTTAAACTCCAATTCCTATTCTCTAATTCTCGACAAATCAAATTTCCGAATCTGAACAGGAGCCTTAATAGATAGCCTTTATTTTGCCACATTTTTGAGATCAAGTACTCTAATATTTCTACTCATTTTATAATTAAAATTAATCAATTGCTAAATGATAAAATGTTTAATCAAAATTTTCATAAACTCTTTCATAACTTTAACTTAACTACTACTATGAGTCACATAATAGTAACTATGATTATGATTGCTATAACTTTAAGAATATAATATTCAACACATTTATTATCCTCTTAATGACTAATTGTTCTCAAAAACAATGAAGTATGGGTTATATTCGAATTTCATTTGAATCAAAACCTTATTGTTAATGCATAATATAAAATTTATATAAATTTAATAGTAATTAAAAAATGATGTATTATGGTTTGAGAATGTTTAATATAAGATGTTTTGAATTACACAATAATTAATTATTTCATGATTTATATACTCCTTTGTGTAGCCTTAGCTATTGGAGCAGAAATAGATGTTAATACATTTAGCAATTACATAGAAGTGAGTCAAGAGCATGTCCATATTGAATGGCTTCTTGATTTAGATGAGCAATATATAAATGCTACGAGTTAATCAATTTTCAGGGTTAATACTAATAAATTAAAGAAAGTAATGAATTCTCATTATGATTAAGATTGACTTGGATATATATCAATTAAGTATAATAGCAGTTTATTTGTCATCTTCAGGAAATGTTTTATAACATGAAATAATAAACAAAGGAGATCAATCGCTTTTGTAAGGAGATGTTCTCTCGATTCAATTAGATAGAGTTTATACTAGAGGAGAATACATTAAGTTAAACATAAAATATAATTTGGATTCAAAAGGAGCAAGAGCATTAGGATTTTTAACTAAAGAATAAACCTATAGTAAAGCAGTTCCATATCTATTTTCGCAATGTGAAGATAATAATTGCAGATCTATAATTCCCTTATAAGATACACCAAGCATCAAAGTGTTCTTTACAGCAACTGTTTTGGTGAAAGATCCTCGTATCAATGTATTTATGACAGGGAATAAATTGTATAATACGAAATTCAAATTACTCAATAATTATGAAAATTTGTAAGCACTAACACTCTATCAGTTTGAATTGGATATCAAGATTCCAGCATACTTGATTGGAATTATAGCAGGTGAAGTGGTTGAAAAATCTACAGGAAATGGCACATATGTGATAGCAGAGCCTCATTTCATTGATGAATATGCTTAAGAGTTGTCTGATTTGCCAGTATACATGAAGAAAATGTAAGATTACATTGGACCATACATTTGGGGAGATTATAAAATTGTCATTTTGCCAGCCTCATTCCCATTTGGAGGTATGGAACATCCTTTATTAACCTTCGCAAGTCCAACTATTATAGTAGGTGATAAGAGTGGAGTTGGTACTGCCATTCATGAAATTGCTCATTCTTGGGTTGGAAATACAGTTACAGGAAGAAATTGGGCAAACTTTTGGATTAATGAAGGATTTTGTGTATTTTTAGAAAGAAAGATCTTATCTAGATTAAATGGATTGGATTCTGTTAAATTAGATGCAATTAATGGTAATTCTAGTGCATTTACGTCAATGCAAACTTTTGGTTTAGATAACTCATTCTCTAGTATGCATCCAAATACTACAAACAGAAATCCTGATGAATCAACTAGTCGTGTTCCATATGAGAAAGGATATTAATTATTAACATATTTGGAAAGTTTAATTAAAGAAGATCCATTTTAATAATTCTTAAGAGATTACATAGAGAATTTCAAATTTTAGAGTATAGATGAAGATTAACTTTATTAATTTTTATTAAGTTGGGTTAGGAAAAACAAATAAGAAGAAGCCTAAAGGATCATTGAAGAAATTTAAAAAATATGGAAAAAGTGGGTTTATACACCAGGTCTAGCACCAATCACAATTGATTTATCAACTCCATTGTTCACTGATGCAAATAACTTAGCTAAAGCATGGATTGATGGAAAAGGATAGGCTCCAGAAAAGGCAAATGATTTTCAATAATACAAACCAAATCAAAAGAGTGTGTTCTTCTAATATTTAATTGATAACTATAAAGATGTTGAAACTGCAGTAATGACAAAAATGGATGAAAAATATAAACTCACATTTTATAAGGATTAGAAGACTGTATATAAATGGTATAGGCTTGTTTTATTAGTGAAATACGATCAGGCGCTTGAAGGAGTTCATGATTTTGTATCTAAAGTAGGAGTATCAAGTTACTTAAAAGTATTATATGATTTGTTGGGTTAGAATTATAAGTATATATAATTTTATATAAAAGTAAACAAGCATATGATTGGTTTGATGAGAATAAGACCTTTTATCATCCAGTTGTAGTCTAAGCCATTGAAAAAATATTATAAAAATACCCTAAGAAACTTATTGTTGAATGAATAAATTACAAAAGTATTTAAGATATAATTATTGTTTTCTTAAAAATTATAAATCGTTTTATTTAGATATATCATCATATCATTTTATATTATTTATCTTTCTTTTCTTATAAAGGGAGAAATAGTAAAACCAGATAATGATGTGGTTCAAATTAACTCATTAAAAAAGTCATAATTTTGATTTATTAATTTTCAAGTTTGATACCAATAATTTGTTATTTAAATTTAAATAACATATGGGTTGTACCATTTAAAAGAAAGTAAGAGAAAAACATGTCAATTCATAATAACAATTAAGTATAGCTACTTAGGAAGTCTAAAAAAAATAATCTTCGCCTAAAATAGAAAATATGACAATTGAAACTCCCTCTCAGCTTAATCTAAGAGCCCAGAGACTTAAAGATGTGAGACACATTTTACTGAATGGATATCCAAATTCTCCCAAAAGTAAAATTAGTAGAAAGGAATCTGGACAAATTTCATAGATTGAATAAAGAAGGATTTGATCGCTTAAATCTTCATCTTTATTTTTCTATATTTAAAATAAATCATATATTCAGGTCGTTTTTTTTGATTCAGTTCTTTCTTTATTAATTATCCCACGTCTTTTATTTGTGTAATAAATAACACAAATATAACATCATTTGAGAATAATAATCAAAATTGATGTCAGTGAGTGTGACTAATAATTAATAAGAACTTTATATTAGAATTAGAAGATTAAAAGTATCGATTTACCACAATAAAGTAAAATTTAATTTAATTAATTAGTATAAGTGAATTTTATCCTTTCAATCATAAAAAAAATCTATCCTAAGTGATATTACGCTTTATATTAATAAATTTGAATAGGCTTTATTTTTGTTCTTATGAATTTTATAAAATTTAAGAAAATACCCTCTTTTTTTTAAATATAAATTCATATATTAAATTATGTATAAAGGATATATTGAAAAGAAATTCAAAGAATTTTAGGTTCAACCAATTTATTTGCCTTAAGAATTTCAGAAGAATGGAGGTGAAGGCAATATTCTAATGGATGTTGATATAGTCAAATAGGTATGTATAATGTTTTTGAATAAAGTTAGAATAATTCATTAAAAAGAATATGAATTAAGGTAATGAACACAAAATCCAATAATTTATAAGGATGTTTTCAGTTTAATTGCTTTTACCTTTGCATATAGTTGATGAATTATTAAGCAATACAATAGAGGCTAGCGAATAGTAATTTGAAGAAGAGGCGATTGATTTAATTCAAAGACAATCAATTAATAGAGTTAGAGAATAGACTTAAGTAGAAGAGGTGAGATTTATAACTTAACTCTAATTATTGAGTGAATAAAAACCTGAATAAGAATTATTTGTGGAGGAAATTTAAGAAGCTCAATTGATTGTACCTTTAGCAAATTTAAAATAATACCCACTAGGCAGAACTTAATTCACCATAAGAGCAAAGCTATTTAATAAACCAATAATAGAAAAAGAATAGTTATAAGTAATTGGAGATTATAGTCTCTAATTTAGGGATGACAGTGGAATGTGCTCAGTATTCTTTACTAAGAATAGAATAAAGGAGAAATTTTAGTTGTATTATGAGAACCTTTAAGTTTAAACTATTTACGATATAAGTGAGATGGAGATACATCAATATAAGTAGACATATGAGATAAAAGTGACATCAACTACATAGTTTAAATAATATGCTAAAGTACCTGTCTTAGAACAATTATAAAGTGCATTGAGTTATAATTTAAAGAATGGTGAAGAAATTATTGTTGCAGGTATGGTAGCAGAAATAGGTGAATTAAGATAATAGAATAAAAAAATAATCATATACACTCTGCCAATTGACAGTAACACAGATTACTATAAGATACCATTAATCTTATGGGATCATCATAAATTATTGAGTTTTAAGGTTGGTGATGTGTATGTTTTCGAAGGTGTTTTATTAAAAGTATACACTGATGTGATTGAGTTAAAATCTTTGAGAACTAGATTTAAGGTTTATACTGAGGAAGACGAGAAATATCAGGATATTATAAAATTGATAATGGATAAAAAACACAATTGGCTATAACCCAACAATCAAGAAATTCAAATTGAATAGGTAATTCAATAACCTCTTTTTTTGAGTGATATTCATTCACCTATCAATTATCCTTATTTCAACACAGTAGTAAAAATATTGAAAGATAAACCAGCAATATTTTAGATGAAAACTCAAAAATGCATAAAGCAGATAATTGTTACTAGTGATAATAATAATAGTTAAACAATAGAACTAATAGGTGATCGATTATGTCAAAAGATTTATATATCTGAATAGGCTCTAATATTTATTAGCAATTTACAATTCATAAATGATAAAATTGTTGCCAGTGAACATAATACTCAGATTAGAGTTTTGCCCGATGATGATATTGATTTTGCTGAATAAATTGCATTATTAAAATAACCCTTCTCTAAGCCCTTATCATTATCCTTAAATGAATTAGAATAGGATGTTTAAATTAATGTCTAGAAAAAAAACCCCATAAAGATTAAAATTAACCAGAAACTCTCATATTTTGATAATTAAAAATGTGTACTATCTGAAAGTCTTAAGAAAGGAATTGATAGAGATGAATTGATGGATGACATTATTCCCTTGTTGGAAGGCAAAATGCATAAAAGTAGATTTAATGTATTAGTGTAGATTGATGAATTGTTTGAAGTCAGATATTAAAAGGGCAATGTGAAACTCTAAGACCTTAGGATATCAGACGAATCAAATTCAGGAAAAATAACATTATGGAATAATCAAATCAGTGATTATAAAATTGGTCAAACAATAAGGATAGACAATATCTTCTATGACCAAAGTAAACAAGAATTTAAAACTTCATTTCACACCAAAGTGTTTACTAATGTTCCTAATAAAAATCTCCCAAATAAACAAAGGAGACAAATCTAAAAATAATTAGTTATCGAGGGTATTGAATATTAGAATTTTACTTACAATTAAGAAGTTAAATTGATTACAGACATTATAAAATTGCAATGCAGTCTATCAGAAGAATTGCCCTATTAATATTGCAGAGCAATGATATCAGAAATATTGATAGCCAGACTATCGTAGTAGTGTCCTTAATGCAATTTTACTAAATTAGTACAAAATAACGATGTTTATGAATGTTCTGGATAGAATGGAATTAAACATATTGTTACACTCCCAAAGATATTTTGTTATCTAAAATGTAAATTAACAGACTTCACTGCGTCTATAGAGGTTGTATTTGGAGATGAGATCTGTTAATAGTATATCCCTTAAAATAGCATTAATGAATTATATAAAAATCAAATGACAGTAGTACCATATTTTGATTGTTTGATGTACAAGGAATTTACATTCAAATTGTGGTTATAAAAATAGAAAGATCAAGATATGAAGAAGATTAAAATAATGAAACTATTTTAAACAAATTACTTAAAAATTATAGATTCATATTTATGAAATCTATAAAATTGTATCAGATTATCAATCATCATCATCATTTCTTTTTTTTTTCAGATTTAATTTAACCATAGCTTTACCAACTGCTCCAATCCAAGCTTCCTTCTCTTAATTATTACTTGCTTGCAGGTAAAAGGTTTAATCAGGAGTATCAATTTTCTTGATGTATAGCGTAATCAATATTTACAAATGTATTCTCCTTATTAGTTTCTTCCTAACAGCTTTTAATGGTGCTAACAGTTGCCAATTAAATAATTTCTGTAGGATTTGAATATTATTTCTCTGCCTTAAATGAATATAGGGTAGTAGTAGTTAATACAAACCATCGTCTAGAATAAATAGGGATCATACTTCCTCCATGATTTAAACACTCTTGATTCTTTCTCCAGCCAACCTTCTTTCATTATATTTTTTAGATCTTCCAACATGGAATTCTACATGTTTGATATTATTTTTTATTTTAAATTATCATTTAGAAATTTACAAATAGCATAAAAATGATCACATCTCTGATGAGAGATTACCAATACTCATAGTCATAGCAATAAATCTTTGTGAATAGAGTGAAAATAGAGAAATTAATGCAAAAATGTAAAATAAAATAATTAATTTGTGATGTAAAAGACAATGTATATATATACAAACTAATAAAAGCAATCCAATTGTGAAGTGGGCTTAAAGAAAAGACAACATTTTCTTGACTGTTGAAGTAAGAGACTTAAAAGATGAGAAAGTTGAATTGACATCAACATCCTTGAAATTTAGTGCAAATGCTGAAGGTGTAAATTATGCATTTGAAATCAATTTCTATGCTGAAGTTATTGTTGAAGTATTAAATTACATAGAAGTAAGGAAAGCAAATGGACCAATTATGGTGTTAATGTGAGATTCATTTTAAGTAAAAAAGATTAAGCCGCCTCATATTGGACTAGATTGATCAAAGAAGCTCATAAATTATAATATTTATAAGTAGAAGCATCCTTTGAATTATTTATAGGTTGACTGGACCAAATACATTGATGAAGATGATGAAGCTGAAGAAGGAGGCAAAGGATTAGAGGATTGGAATGCCAACAACTTCTAAGGATTTGATGGATAGGGTTAACCAGATGAAGATGATGAAGAAGAATAAGAATAAGAGGAATAAGAATAAACATAAGAAGAATAATAATAAGAATAAGCAGAACCATAAAAGGGATAAGAGGAAGTATAAAACTAATGAGTTTATAATAAAGTAAATATTAATAGTCTTAATTAATTTGATGAATTAACTTATTTGATAAGGGTATTAGCAATACCTTTGGTATTAGCAGATCTTCCTGTTCATTGCTTAAGACATTAGATTGTGGGCAAATGGAAAATGGAGGTTTCTTATGTTTAATTGAGAGGCATGGGTTCAGTGCCCTGTGGCTATCATGGTCCTGACACATAGAATTCTTGATATAAAGCTGGTTGGGAGGATTTCCAAGCTTTAAATTCATTTGAATTAACATTGGGAAATGATTATACAGTCACAGACAAAGACAGAAAATAAATTGGATCATGGACTATGGTATATGATGAAGGATTTGAGGTTGAACATTTTGGTGTTAAATATTTCGCATTTTCTAAATATGAACCAAAATAGCGTTGATTATAAATCATTATGTTGGAGAAGCTTTGATTGGTTGGTATAATAATTTAAAGACTGGTGAGAAAGGATGTTATAGAGCCTAGAAGGCTGATGGAAATGTTGATGCAACAGATACTTATAAACTTATTAGTGTTGTTCAACCAGAATTCATTTAAAAAAGTACAATACACGGGGAGATAGAGTTAAATTAAAAAAAGACTTTACTAACATAAAGAAGCAGTAGATAAATTGAATAGTATTCCAAAATTATGGAAGGCTAAAGCATATACGATCACTTTTGAAGGTAAGAGTTTGTTTGTTGGAATTGATAAAATGGCTGGTAGTAGAAGACATTATCAAGGCAAATCTGAAAAGAGAGCTTCGTTTTTTAAATTAAAATCTAGTGATGTGTCAGATCTACCAAAAACATATACTTTAGAAAGATGTCTAGATGCTCTCAGATAATATAAGCAATGTGGATCATGTTATGCCATTTCAACTATGGAAATGTTATCAGCTAGATTGAAAATGAAAGTAGAGAAAGTCATACTATCACCTCAATATTCAGTGGATTGCAATTACCATAATTAAGGATGCGATGGTGGATATCCATTCTTGGTTGAAAAACTCGCATTTGAATAATATTTAGTTACAGAAGAACAATATCCATACAAGGGTGATGCGGGAATTTGGAAAAAGATTGATTTCTCTTAATCCTCTAAAGTGTATGGAGCTAAGAATTATAAGTATATAGGAGGTGGATATTGGTTGAGTAATGAAAGAGATATCATGTTGGAATTGTTTAAGGATGGTTCTGTTATTAAGAATTTGAACCAGGATAAGACTTTATGAATTATTAAAGTGGTATCTATCATTCAGTTTCTTAGCATGAATGATCTGGTTGTGTATAATATAGGAGAAAGTCGATCATTCTGTTTTGTGTTATGGTTGGGGAGAAGAGAATGGAGTGAAGTTTTGTTTACTTTAGAATAGTTGGGGAGAATAAGGCAATTTTAGTTAATTAATAAATTGAGTAATAAATAGAATGAAGAGAGGTGCTTAAGAATCTGCCATTGAGAGAATGGCTTAAGCTGCAGATCCAGTGATTTATTCTAAATCTTCAGGAGAGTTTATCGAAATAAGCTAGTCTAATTTAAGAAAGTAATGACCAAATATATTTAATAAATCAAATCATTTGTTTTTTTATTTTTTAAGGATTGAAAAGAGAATGATTTCATCTCCTTCGTTTTCAGCTTTATATTTTATATCCAATCTTGGATTAATTTTTGATTGATCAATCCCATTGGTGCAATTCGATAACGTGTCTTTTATTTACACTACTTCTTCGCTTGGATCAAAAACGCACACTGTTATGAAATTATCAAACTATATTCCATATCCAGTTCCTTATTTAATTTGGCGTCCCTTTGCATCAAATCGATCTTCCCTTATTGCTTTGTATTTGATTTTCTTTTTTTCAATTATTATTGTATCAAAATCCTCGGGTTCCTCAGGTATGTCTTCTGTGTCATCCACCTGGGCTCTACTTAGTATTAATTTTGGTCCCAAAGCAGAATTTCGCATATTTCTCACTGAAAAATTAATAGTTTATAATATTCATTTATCTTATAATCCTCTTTTGTAAGAGAAACTTGAAAAAAATTATAAAAACAGAATTCATTCCCAAAATACAATACCTTTTATAATCAAATTTACCCATTCCTCTATGCTGATATATTTAATTTCTAATTTAATTTAGATCTAAAAAAATTGAAAAGTCTTGTTACATTTAGCTTCATTTTTGTGCATTTTTTTCTCAAAAGTTCTGATTTATAAGTTCATTATATGAATTTTCTGTTGAATAAAATTAATACTTTTATTTTTCACATAATATTTTCAATAAGCAATATAATAAACAGGTTAGAGAGATCTTTTGAATTTACTTTCTTAAATTATCATTTACTTCATTCTCATTTTTGTTATTATGATAACATTAAATCTCTCCATTATTATTGCGATTTAATGAGATTTTGATATAATTTTTGATTGTAATCATCTAATATATTGATTTATTAATTTCAGATATTTTGTCATGAATAATTTCTTTCTAACTCTTATAACAAAATTTTAAAAATTTCTCTAATCACTTACTAAATAAATGCATCTTAGATCTAGATGTTCTAAAGTGCAAAAAAATATTAAGTACAAACTAAGCTTTATGATAATCTAATAAGTATTCTCAGATATTCTTCTATAGTGCTTTATTATACAAATAATATTTAAACCAAAAAAAATAAATTCAAAGTCATTCTCTTTGAATTCTTTAAACTATTTAAATTTAGGTGATAAAATATTGAAATTCAGATACATCGTAATTTTTTAGTGTTTGAGAAGTTGATTACAAGATGCCAATCAGAAATTTCTACTATTTTTCCAAAATTTTGATGTATGTTTAGGCAAAGATTTTAGCTTTTTTGTGGTTTCACTAGTGCTCTGCCATTCATTTGGCCATTCTACTTGAGTTCGTATCATTTTCAAAACCGAATAATATTATAATATATATTCTTTTGTCTCTAATATCTTATAAATCTTCACTAATACTCACTACGTTGAGCCTTCATTCTAAATCAATTTTCTCTAATTTAAATCTACTTTTGAGAATGTTTAAAATGAATCCATTGATTCTGCATAATTTTTTCAATATTCCTAATAAGCAACAGATCCATTTATTATTAAATAAATACATAATATAGTGATTCACTTATTCAAATATAACACTGCGGAATTATAGTAGAATTAAAGGATAACATTGGAGATTCATTAAATATCAATATAGTACCTAGATAAAGAAATATTATTACAAGGTTGAATTAATATTTTTTTTTTAATTAAGATTTTTTCTACCTCTTCATAAAATGAATCCATCTCCTTCTATATCTATCCCAATATTTGAAGCTGTATTTGACCATTTATTCTAGTTAAATCTACCATAATATGGTTTAATTGCCTCATGTTCTAAAATAAATAGAGTAAATATGAAATCAATAAAGGTTAGATTGTTAACAATAAGATATTTTAATTGCACTAGAAATCGTATTCAGATCTCTAAGTTTACTAAAATTATTTTATTATATGATCGAGCAAATTTGTTAAATTCACTAATTTCAAGCAGGTCTTATTCAATTAGCATCTTTAAATTATTTATACCATTGCAATGTTTAAGTCAAAAAATAAATCAAAACTCTTCTCTTTCAACCCTTTCCTAAGAATATTTTATTGACTCTTAAAGACCTTCAGTATTTGATTTGTATGTTGTTCCTAAATGCTTTACTGCTTCTTTCGTAATTCAATGAATCCTTTATCTTCTGAGTCTATCACAAGTATAAATGTGACTGTGTCTAAAAGGCACTCAGAGAATGTAATTTGTTATTATTTCTTGTTATAATGAACACTGAGTTTTTCGATCGTATACCTGATTGAAGTATTTTACCTTTATTTAGCCTTGTCCCATATATATTATTCTAATGTCTTATTGCCTAATCTAGTGTTTCTTAAGAAGTGCAATAAGGGATTCTCTATATTCATCAGAAAGTGCATCTGAATCATTCTTGAAATCTAAAATTGCTATTTCTCTTCATTGCATGTGAATATGAATGTTGGCTTGGATATAAGTTATGGTAACAAAACCTCTTTAAGTTAGGTTATTATAAATTAATACCCCATGAACTGTCTCTAATTGAGAACATATATGCCTTTCTTAAATGCACATTTTTGATGTATATACAAAGACAAAGACAAAAGAATACTGCAATTGAGTATATTTGATCTTGATAGTCCAGATTTGTATCTAATGTATTCGCGATTGTCATTCTAATAACCGTCCAAGTGAAGTTTGTAAGTATTCCATCAGGAAAATCACTCACTAACATTACTACTGAATGTACAAACATTTAGTTTTAACCAAAAAGATACGTATGTTACACAACATTCTCTCTTTAGTTAATTTAGTATAACATTAAGAAATGGTTGATAACATAAAAACCAATTCTAGTAAATTTTTTATAGCAAAAGCTAATGATGCTGACTACAAGAAATACGCAAAATCCGACTATTTTAAGTGTAAATTGGCTCTGATTATTATTTATCAAGCCATCAATATTCTTGATTCCTAGTATAACTATAGAAAAAATTCCTAAAACCATAAATACTGGGTACTATATTTTCTCTAACAAGAATGATTGATATAGTGATTCTAAATCCTTATCTTTAAATTTTAATGAGAATTTATTCATCATGATATAAAATTTTAAATAATGAAATTTTCTTCATATTAGAGGCAATATTTTAGCAGAATCAGAAAATTATAATGAACAGTTTTAATCATTTGGAAGTTTGAGGAATAAAATTTGAAAAAGTAGACTAGAAAATTTGAGTACTTCAAAAAAACAAAAGAAATTAAAAATGTAAGACTTTATTATTATAAAAATAAATATTTAATTTCAACATAAACCCAAAACCCAATAATCAATTGGTATATGAAAATACACTCATAATTCTATAGCATTATTTTAATTATAAATAACATCGACTGGAGCACCTTCTCGAAGATTCGATTTTCTGTATAATTCATCTAGATTTAGTGGCCCTGATTAAGCTCTTATTCTGCTATGGGAGTTTCTTCAATTTACCTTATGATGGAATATTCTTTAGTGAGGGATTGTCGTTTCCCCTTTTCTCATAAACATTCCTGAGATTTTTAATTCGAATAGCAATTTCTAAACCCCCATTCCAAGACTTCATTCCAGTAACTACCCCAGATTTAAGTATGCTAGCCAATATATTTATCCTCCTCATATTTCGATTGAGGATTTAATTTAAAACTTTTGTGATAATTTCATCCTCTTTTTTTTACAATTTCTCTGCTTTCTTTTCCTTAGTATTCGATTTCTTGACTTAAGTAGATAATTTAACAGTAGCAGGAACTTTCTTATTTCTTCGATAACAAAATTTGGCAATATGATCCTTAACTCCTCAATTGCAACACTTTTATTGATTAGACATATTTCAATAATTTATTTATAAAATATTATTTCACTCTTTTCCAAGTACATCATCCCTTAGAGCTTCGCATACCTCAACTACTTCAGCTACAATTTCTTATGGAAGTGCCAAGTTTACAAGAGTGTCACTTAAATGTTTGACTACAAGATTAAAATGAGTATCATCGATTCCTAATCCTCTATGAGCTTCTAGCATATCTCTTCCCATATAATTAGAAGGTCTAAATCATAATTAATTTATACCCCCCAAAAAGCATAGTGAGAAAGGCTTACATCTAAGAATTCAGCTTTTTCATGTCTGCTTTTACAAAGAAATTCTTTAGTTTTGGGTCATTCGATAATTTTTGTAGTAGCTTATCAACAGTAAAATCAATAGCCATGCTTTATCCTAATCTTTCATAAATAGTTTTTTTCTAGATAATTTTTGATATTAAATACTTAAATAATGACTCTTGGATTGAAAACTGTTTCAATTGGTGCCTAATTCTATTAATTAGTATTATTAGGGATTGATAATTTAATTTCACTATCACCCATAAGATTCTTTTTAATTTATTCCTATTATTTATTAAATTATTCATTTCCCATTAGATTTCTTGCAATTTATTCAGTTTAATCAATGTCATTATCTGGGTTCTAAACCCTTTAAAATTTATTGTCTGTTATTTTAGATTCAACAGCCTATTTATCTTAAACTTTCTCATCTATGTTATTAATAAGTTGATTTACTAATTTAAATCGTAATTGGGGGTTGATTTTCATCAGCATCATATTGATTAGCATTAACTTGAATAGTTATCTTACCATTATTATATGTATTAGTCTTTTATCCATTTATAGCCAAACACCAATCATATTTAATAATCCCAATCATATCCATGTTTCTAGAAGAGTTCTTTAAACATTTTTCTGAGAAAACTATAATCAGGTTTATCTTCAAATCTTAATGATCTACAATAATTTAAGTAGGTTGAGAATTCAACTAAAAACATGATATTTTATTTTACTAGGCAAAGTCTTACATAAGACTTCAACTGGAGTGGTCATTTTCTTTTCCATAATTTTATGATATTTTTCTTATTTGTTATTTGCTTTGATTCCTTACCAAGGTAAATAACTTCTTAATAAATACACCATAACATATCCGATAGCCTCTAAATCATCTCTCCTGGATTGTTCTATACCAAGATGTGCATTAATGCTGGCATATCTAGCTGTTCCTGTAAGATTTTTATTTTCTCTATATGGGATATGTTAATGAGTCTTAGCATCTCTATATTTCTTACTCAAACCAAAATCTAGAATGTACTTATTTTATTAATTTGATTATGTACCACTGTATTGGATTTCCTTCCTAACCCTATAAGAAAGTTATCTGGTTTGATATCTCGATGTATGAAGCTTTTAGAATGCATATATTCAACCCTTTGGATCATTTGATCTGCCAACATGATGACAGTTTTTAATGAAAACTTTCTTTGACACAAACTGAATAAGTCTTCCAAATTTGGACCCAGTAAATCAATTACCATTACATTCAATCCTGCCTCTTATCCAAAATAATGCAATGCTGGAATACCAACTATTTTGCTTATTACAAAAACTACTTCCTCCTGCTAATGCTTTTGTAACTTTAGCTTCAAAAACTAACTGAGGATGTTTGGACTTAGCTTCTTCCTAAACAAATTCAAAATCATTATTACAAATTTGGCTGCCAATATGTCATTCTACTAAGTGGTCACCAAATAGATCTCTCCAAAAGAACCACTACCTAGTTTCTATTGGGTGATATATCTTCCATTATTTAATGGTATATTTTTTATCTCTGATTGCATTCAATTTTATTTAAATATATATTAGAATATTACAAATTTCATTTTACTTTTCATTAGATTATGATTAATATAAAGCAATCTAATGAGAAATCCACAACACTCTTAACTTCCATAAACTTCAACAAACTACTCTACAACCATCAATAAAAAAGAAGAAATAAAAATATAATCAATTTTTTACAGAATTGTTGTAAAAAACTAACTAAAGCTTAGTTTAAATAACAAAGCAATAAAGTCAAAGAACTCATGAGTATTCATAACTTAATATTGGTATCATTAAGAATATCATCTAAATATAGTAATAATCATTTGACTGACTTACTTTTTGTTAATAACTAATAATGGTCACAAAGGAAGGCAAAAAGCCATTCATTATGACTGAATTCATCAATTAATATCAAGTATTATAATCACAATTATTTGATATCAATACATACTCTAAATCTATTATTTATTATGAATTGTTAAAACTATCAGCAATAACATTTGAATTGTACTTATTAATATGTATTCTAATGTTCTTCTTAAATGATCAATATCATCCTCTTACTTATTTAAATGATTTAATCAATACTTATTTTAAAGTATAGAATGAATATGTTGAGATATAGAAATTGAAAATAATTAATTTATAAGATTGACACTTTCTAAATTTTAGATTAGATAAATTTGCCATTAAAGAATCAAATTTCTTATAATTAATATCTTTACTTATTGTAATAAAATAATAACGACATTACCAGTCTATGATAATTATATTAATGATAAAATTAATTCTAGTAATCTTCTTAATTAAAAAGAAAATCATGAATAATGAAAATTTGAACAAAATCTATCTGCTTGTGCTAAACAGGTTGGAGTAAAAATGATTGATTTAGATGACAAAGAAACAGAAAATTTTATGATATCATCATGATGTTCCTAATCATTAGGAAAATAATATTATGAAAGTCTTCAAAATGTTTGAAAATTTTGAAGAGATTTAGCATAAAATTGGTTAAAATCAAATGAATTGAGACTATCAAAGAGAATAAATGATATCATTCAACGATTAAAAAGGTAAGTAAGAGTTTATGAAATGATGGTTAATAAGTTAACTTAACTGTTCAATTGAAAATTAAAGTGTTTGAAACTAGAAGATTCTTATACAAAATTATAATAATGATTACTAATAATTTAATTATTAACTCTAATAATGAATTTAATCAAAATTACTCATACTTTGCTTAAAAATTGTAACATAATAATAATAAACCTGGAAAAATATTTAGCAAATTATTTATCTAAGAGAATGAATAAATATAAATTTGTTTTACTCCTTTATCAAACATATTAATATCATTAAATTCTGTTGCAAATTCAATATTAAACTTAGTTTGTTCTTTTATAAATATAGGCTCTACTTTCAGTCATAGAAAACAAAATTATATAGGAATACTTCTAATTATTATGAATGACACTCAATTCAAATTTCCCATTCATTTATTATAAACTGTCTAACTTGCCACTAGGATTATTCTAATAAAGAATAACTTCACCTTCAAATAAGGTAAGAAATATTTTGGTTTCTTCACAATATTTGATTGAAATTAGAGATTTCTAGTTTAATATTGAAAATGTAACAAATTTAAATTCACTTTCAATTTTTTATTATTAATATAAATAGATATTTCCTAAATCAGACCCAACATAAATTTATCTGTTTCCTTGACTTAAACAAGTTATTTTCTCTTCATTCTCCAAAATAATCTATTAAAATTCAGAAAGTTCTTTATTATTATTGAAAATTTATAATTTATTTTCTATTATAACAAGCAAATATTTAGAATCTTTATTTAATTAGATCTCTTGTAGCTCTTGCCTAAAAGATTTCATTCTATTACATATTTTTAAACCCTGTTAAAAAGAATAACTTTTAATAATATTATCCTTTCCTCCAGAAAATAATTCAGTATTTGAAAAGTCTACAATCAAAGTTATAACCTAATCTCTGTGCTACTATTATTGATCTTTTTAAATCCAACCCTTTCCTAAATTTTCATAAAGTGAGATAAAACCATTCTCATATCCAACAAATAATTAATTACATTTATTATTTAAAGCTAAAGCAGTAACTTGTACATTAAAGTTATCGTTATTAAAATCAATAATAGATTAATTCTTAAATTCTAAATTTTCATCAATCTAAAGAATTTCTAAGTTCTTATAATTGTTGATAGGATATTATCCTTAGATGAGCAGATTTCCAGTTTAATTTAAAATAGCTGCTTATACCATGCTGGTTTAATAATCTTTTGTTATTTCAAATTTTTTTTTTGTTAAAGGAATTTATGATCTTATGGGTACAGGTATATTTGGTCTTTATTATTTAATTGATTTATCCTCTTTATCCCCTTTTACCAACTTTATTAACTATTCAAAAAGTGTTATAAACTATTTTCGATAATTGGATTAGATTTCTTTTAATTATTCAGTAGTTTAATACATTGCACTTTTTTTTATATCACTATTGTAAACAAATTCTACTATCGCCCTTAAATCTTCTAGCACAAATTCTTTACCAAATTCTTGATATTTAATGTATCTCATTAATTTAGTAATCTCAAATTCGCTTTGTTGAATTACCTTCTCAATGTACAAAAACACCTAATTTATCATATTTTCTATCTCTTTCTTTAAATTCTATAATGTTGATTGAATATTCTTATAATTGAGATGAATAAGTTCAAACACTGGTAGTAGCTAATTTAAAGTAAATTGAAGCCATTCAATAGATTCTCCTCGACCCTTGCATAAAGAACACAAAAGCCTTTCTGATGAATTTACTTCTTATTCTGTTTTAATCCTCGTAATTGGTTAATTATGGCGAATGCATAATATTTTACTAAAAGGGCCATTCATCTCTGGTATAAATTAATAAATTTATTATGAATTCATTATGAATTATCATAGATTTAATTTCTAAAATAACTTATAATGAATACTCTTTAATTACTTGTTAAATATATAGACTAATAAAGAAACCTCTTAAATGTTAATTTAAAAATTTGACAACAATTTATGACTCACAATTTTAAACCGTTCTGTTAGAGTTTGTTATTATTATTTATTATGATTTAAATTTACTATTTAAATTTTAGCCAAAGCCAATTAAAATTAACTTATAAATTGTAGTTAGTAAAGAAAGAAGAGAAAGTAACAAATTGAATTTTAGTATTTATATACTTCAAAAAACATGTATAATCATTCTTAAATAAATTGCTAATCAATTATAAATTTACCAACCAAATCTATCATAATCTGAGGGTTTTATTTTACTATCACATAATCATTTATACATAAATTTTTATAATATTATTACCATATTCCTATCATTCTTTAATAAATTTAATTTCTAAAGTAATAGATCATTATACACTTAATAAATCCGATTTTCTAAAATAGTTTTTTCTATCTACATCTAGATGGTTGAAGTTAGTTTTCAAACCTGCTATTTCATTTGAACGACAATGAAACCTAGCCAAGATTAAAATTTAATTGCTAATATTCGTTCTAATTTTTGACAGTCATTATTTTACAATTAGATATATTTATGATTTCTATACTAAAATCTATTATGCTTATAATATCATCTGGAGTAAATACAAAATGTCCTAATTCAAATAATTATAATAAATTCAAATATAAAGATGCTTAGAAGATTAATTAATTGAATTTATTTAAATATTCCTAAAAATTTATCAAAATTATAAACAAATTATATTTTTTATTTGTAAAGTATAGACATTCAACAATAGTTAATTTTAAAAAATGGAAATATCTTTCCATGAAAGGCCTAACATAACTCTAAAAACAAATTAGAATAAAAATTTGATACGTTTTTAGCCAAAAAATCTAATTTAGGTTAGCATATGTTTTTTACAATTTAGTTTTCTTAAAAAATTCAATTGAAAAATGATTTGCAACGTCTTTAAAATTTTGTAATCAATTTGAAAATGAATTTTTTAATAAAAATATTTTTGATTTATTATTTCTTAAACTTTTTAATTCATTTATTTAATTATTAATTTAATTTCTGTTTCTTAAATAATTTAATTAAAATCTAATGATTATTCAAGTTTTTTCTCAAACTTATTAAACTAGAATTGAGTAGAGCATTTAAATAAAACCATTTATTGAAATAAAATATATTTATGTTCAAGAGTGAAATATATAAATAATTGACTTCCTATCAAATTTCGAACTTTATAAACTAGTTACATTTTTCTATTCATTCGCATCAATGTAATATAATGAACTAAAAAGAAAATTTTAGTGCCTAAATCAAATGCTCATTTATAATAAATATTGTTATGAGATATTTATAAATTCTGAATTATAAACTAAATAATAAATATTTCTAATGAGATTATTGTTATCCTTAGTATTAATGTAAGAAGTGATAATAATTTAGAGAATTATTTTGTGGAAATATCGTCAACACAACTGAGAATTTAAGTGAAGATAATGAGGAAATTGATATCGGCTTATAAACATATTGCAAGAAAATTCATTGTAATTCTTATACAACTGTATGAATGTTGTTTCAAATTTTAGTGTCATTCTTGTGAGTTTAAGAACTGTTGTTAATTTAATTTAGAAAAAAATCAGTGTTTCAGACTGTTAAAAGCACCATTTAATTACTCCGAACTATTTGATAGAAGCAAAGTAGAAGTAAAGAATTTATCCGAATATCCGGATCCACAAATGAATGTTACTTTTCCAAAATGTAATATTGTTAAGGAAGTTCCTCTATATAATGCTACAAATTATTTATATAAGAATCACGATATTTGTGGAATACCAAAATATTGTCCAAATTAATCATACTATGTTTCTGCTGAATCTAGAATCATCTTCTAAAATGTCAAATCATAGGTTGGTTAAGGAGAACTTTGTACAATATATTTTTAAGGAAGAATGGGTCCAGAATTCTTGATATAAATAGGAATAGGAAATTTATCATAAACTGAGGTTAAAGCAGACCTAAGTATTTGCTTATCCGTTGGTCTGTTTGATGACTTTCCTTGTATTGATTCTCTTTAATAAATGTAAAATTATGTTACAATTTGAGCAAATTAACCAAGAGTCTTTATTATAGGATAAGAGCAAATTAATTTAGAATTACTTTGTAATTCACAGAGGATGCAGAAATAGATTTCTCTTAGATATTCTATTAGATTATCAGCATACAAAAATTGTATTAATTTTCATTATAGGATTTAGAAGTTAATAAAATTAGCAATAACTATTTTAGTTTATTATCATACTTCTGCTAACAATACTTGGAAGCATAGTGATAATGGCGTTGATTAGGACTATTTTAATACGGATATTTGGCAGAAGGTTTGTTGAATGGTTGGATCCAGAACCTATTTTCCCTCATAGAAGAAGGCATTTCAATGTCTTATCAGAATTTGAAAGATTAAAATCTTAGAAGCTCATCCATCAGATCAAGTAAAATGAAATGAAATTTGAATAAGACAGATGCGCTTATTGCTTAGAATCATTTTAGACTGGAATAATTATTGAAATCTTTTGTGGGCATTGTTTCCACGAACATTGTATATAGAATCATATGCAAATACAAAAAAATGTGGGAAGGTGTTCTATTTGTTTAGTTGATATTAACAAAATGAATTAAACTCTGCAGTAATAATAATTGCCATAAGAATCCTTGGAAAATCAAAGTCAGATATAAGAAAATTAAGGCATGATTAATGATAATTTATAATGATTTAATTGTTCAGTTGCTGCTGGTTTATAAATATTTTCAAAATAATTTAAATGTATCATAATAATCTTTAAAGAATTTGACTTATATGTCCTTCTTCTATTATTTTGATAATTTGTTATAACTTGAACTTGAACTCATCAAATTATATAGCAGTCTTAAAGGGATCAAAGTCTAGTCATAATATTTAATCATATTTACTTTTGATTTTTGAATGTACTGATCAATTTCCTCATATTATTAGGAATTGAAAACCTTCAAATATTCTAATTGCATTAAAGTAATCTTCGGATTAAGCACAACCTCTTTACTATTCTTTTAACTTGATTCTATAGATTAACAGCAAGTCGTATATTCAAACACCATTTAATCTCTTCCAATTGAATTTAACTTTATTATTCATAAAATGTTACCTTCTTAATCTTCCCATACGTCTCCAAAAGTACATTTAAGCAATGCTCTGCCAAGAATGAAAAAATATCTTTTTGAGCATTTGGTGGTATAACACCGCCTCCTATACTTTTTAGTCTATCTCGTTAATCAAGAATAAATTGTATCAACCTGTCCAAATAAATATTATTATTTTCATTGTGTAGATCCTTAAGATCCCACCTTTATTATGGTACATACTGTACTATTCCATCAATCTTTATATAGGTTTGCACAAAATTTCTATAAATGAACTCCTTATACTAATTATAGACTTCTTTAAAAATATCAAAATTTTATGATGTTATTCCAATTAGAGAAAATACAGATTTAGTTTAAGAAAGTAAATACGCTAAGGATTCTGATGCTATAGCTCTTTCCGCAATGTCAACAAATTGTCTCTTTTCTTTGGATGCAAATATATCAATTTCTTTGAAGTCTATTCCTTCCTTACAAAACTTTTAGACAAATCTTTTGAAATAGCAAAATCGTTCTTAAAGAACTAAACAGTCACTAAATGAATCATAAGTTTGTACAAAGAATTCAATTTCCTTACTTTCATCAAACTTCATTATTTATGAAAAATTCTCTAGTATTTATTTCTATTATGTTATCCCTACCAATTGATTATATGAAACAAACATATAGAGTTCTAGCAGTTAAAGAAAATTGGCAATTATTTGTTGTTGACATGATGGATGATAAAAGGAAAGCAGAGCATATTATGGTAGCAATTCCAAGATTCTAATACTCGATGATGATAAAACTGATTCGATTTAATTCAAAACCCCTGTGGATTAAGTAGCATACTTTTTTATCCAAATTGCCTTAATAATGAGATCAAATTCCTCCTATTAAAGAACAAAAGGATTTTGGTATTCAAATAAATAAAATAACTACATCTCTTTATCATTGTTAATCAAATCTTAGAAGTCAACTGTTTTCTTTGTTTCTTAATGATAATTCTCCTCCCTTTTTTCAATTAAGTATTCAAAAAGCTTAGTATTGACTTGATTTAAATTTGTGAGTTATTCTAATTATTGAATTAATTTAGAATCCTTTGTTAAGGGCAATCTCTAGTACAATTCATTTTGTAAATATGTACTTATAGATTTAAGATTTGTTTTATGGAACTACTAAACAAAACTCATATAGACATCAATGATGCATTTAGTTAATCTAATTAATAATAATATTCATACTATTGTGAATCAGAATGACTAAAATCTTCAGCCCTTTTTATCAATAAGCAATTATAACCTAAGAAGTAGATTAACTGTTCAAGAACCAATGATTTTATATTGATTAAATGGGCATTTATGATTTTAACAATTTTCTTTTGAATTTATGACCATATTAACTATCTCATTTCTAAGTATGATTGTCTAATTTATTCTGTATACTCTTCGAATTAGGAGTTGCCATCCTCTTCCTCAATTTTAAAATCATTCTCTTGATGGAACCTATTGCAATAATGGAAATTAAGCATTTGTTCTACCAATTCACTATACAGTAATTTATAGAATTATAATAAGTCTTCATCTTAGCAATTTTGATAGATTTTATGTGGAATATAAGATTATTCAAACAATTTTATAGCATTTTTAAAGGTTACACTGATACTTTTCTTAGCCAAACCCCAAATTTGAGTTACATAAGATTACATTTAATAATGTTTTTCAATAAAATAATAGCTTTTCAAAAGGGAATAGTATTTTTTTTCATCAAACTTCATAAAATTTGCTAAGATGCCTGATTTTATTCTTTCTTTTAAGGATTCTATTTTATTTTCAAAAAAGTTATCACTAATGCATGCTAATTTTAATTCATTCAATTTATATTTATTAATATTATTTTGAGTTTCCTTCATTATTGGTATGATTTCATAAGCATTATCATCATATTTGTTCATTGCCTAAGCTAATTAGCCAAAAGTCTATTTTAGGATCATTAACTTTTCCAAAGTATATTTTATCCTTTGAATGGATTTGTACTTTTCAACAATTTACAATTATTTTTTTAAAGATGTGCGCTTACTTTCTTGCAATAACTATCTAGTTGAGATTACAGTCTAATACAAGGTACTGCTTTTTTCACACCATAAATTAATTTAATCTATTCCTTAAATGTATTGGGGCGCTTTCATAATACATTATTATGCATATTAAGATTCAATAATTTACTCTGCTTAATTTAAATTGGCAAGGTAATTTTATGTTTCTTTTAAACCATCACCATTTTACCGAATAGTAGCTTTAAATAATCGATAAATGTATTAAAGTTATTATTTCATTAGATCAGTTTGTGAAATGTCAATGTTGAATTAATTGATGTCTATAGGAAACTAGTCGAAGGATAAAAGTTAATTCTTTGATTTTATGGATTACTAAAATGATGATATGGATTAGTATATTTACTAAACTGGATTGTAATTAGTTCAACAATAGATGACCAAAATCTGTTGAAGTATTAATATGGAATTCTGAATTGCCTGCCTGTAGTTTTTAATTGGACAATGATGAATTAATAATTGCTCTATTTCGCATATGTCATTTTACCTAAATATCCTATCATCATCCTTTTGTGATTCTAGAATTCTCTAAACCTATTCAACTGTCAATGTATTCGAAGAGTCACCAACCAGTTTACGTAATATATAATTTTTTACATTCATTATTATTAATTATTTATTAATAACAAGAGTGTTGAAAATAAAATATATTTCAAAATTTAATTCAAAATGTCCGAAAAACAGTGCATCACCTGTATATATACATTTATAAGAGAAGAATACTTAAACAATTAAGAAATATATTTGATTGCATTTATGAGTATTATTGAAAAATTAGTCATATATTTATTGGTTTTAATGAATAATAATCTGTATTTCTTCTTTTGAAATCTATTCTTCTAGTTGTGGATGTAGTTCTTTAGTTACCGATTTCTAATTTTACTTTTGCATCTTAAGTTGTATCATCCATCTTCAACAGTATTTCAAGATGAGTATTATTTTAATGAAATGTTTTATTAATTTTTTCTGAGATTTCTTTCAATTTCATTTCAAATTCACAAGGTTTAATTTAATTATCATTAATACAACATATTCTATCTTATGCACTTAGATTGTTTTTTAATTGTAACTTTTAAATGGTAGTAGATGTTTAATTTTCTTAGTTACTTTTTGGATTTTGAATGGATTGGAAAAATATAGGAATTTTAGAGACTTCAATGGTTTAATTGATTGGATCAATAATTTCCTTAAACTTGGTCCAATATTGAAATTGCTTGGTATCTTACTTGGAAATAGGTAAAAAAATCTAAGAATGCATTTATTTTACTTACTTCTTCTATAAACCTAATAAATCCTGTACATAATTAGAAAAGTTGATCGGAACCAACTAATTTGGTCTATGCTTGTAAAGACATTGCTATGCAATTTTGCTGTTAAATTAAATAATTATTTGAAGTTTATATAAATATAAATGTTTTATTTCCTCAATTATACCCATAAGGAACTTGCCTATTTTATGAATAATCATTTACACCACTTTATTGTGGGTTTTATATTGAACCAGCTACAATTGAAACTATATAGATTACCTGCTTGAGTCTGATTTCTTCTATAGGAATTAATAGCTGCAATAGCATCAACCTATTAATAGAATTGATTAAAATACTTTCAATATGACTTTTATAACGTTGATAAATATCACAAAAATACATGAAGACCATTTCCCCATATAGGATTATTTTACTCAGTTGCTGTCCAAATGGATCCGATAGATAATAGCCAAATTAGATCTACCAAGATTAGGATTCCATTCAAAACCATTAACAACATTAGATAGACTGTGATTGAATACCATTAGGGTGTTAGCCTTGTCATTTCTTGATATCCAAAGATAATAGCAGAAAAAAACGCAAAGGGAAATTAAAGTCATTCCTTATTAAGCTGGACATTACAGATCTTACCTCTTTGATATATTATATTTTTATTCTTACTGTAATAGACAGAAAAATGAATTCAATAATTTTACTTAATTTTTTTGATTCCATCCAATTTATTTTAGTAATGTTAATTATTATTATAGAGGTATATAGATTTTTATCAATAATTATTTAAATTAATGGGATAATTGTCATGTGCTTAAATAGAGAAGCCAGATACCAATTTGTATAGGTTGACATTGGATTTCAATAAACAAGAAAATAAGAATTCATTTGATAGATCCAATTCCTTTTCTTAAAAATATGAAATTGGTAAATACTTAAAAGTAGGAAAGAATCCTAAATTGGATGAAATGTGGGCAGAAAAACTGAATTCATTTAAAGTTTATGATGAACCCACTAGAACCTCTTCAAATTATAGAAATTCGCTTTCAAAACCAGATAATATAAAATAGTTTTTCTAGGATTGTCCTTTAATAACATAGGATTATGAATATTATATGTTTAGATTTTTCATTCAAGAGAAATAGGGGTTTAAATACTATGGATTGATAGGTCTTCCATAAAAGTATAGATGGGGATATTGGAAAGTTATCACCTTACAAAAGGGTATAATGCATAAAAAGATGGATAAGCAAATAAGTGAAGCAACTTATTGTATTAAGAAAGACATAAACAGAACTTTGATTAATGATGTATTCAAAGAGGAGGCTGTTATAGACAAATTAGATTATGTCCTTAACAATTTAGCTAATTTATATCCTAAAGTAGGCTATTGCCAAGGTATGAATTACATAGCAGGTATCACATTAGGTACTATTTATTAGCATTATTTTTGATGGTTTCAGGAGTTTAAGAAAAAGAAACCGTGTGTGTGTTTGCTGAACTACTTGATTCCTCCTTTTACATGTTTAATCTGTTGTTTTAAGATGATTTACCTTTGCTTTTTATTATGGAGGAAATCATTATGAAATTGATATAAGTGAGATTACCAAAAGTATATGATCATTTTATCCAATGCAATATCTCCCCTTCAATTTGGATAAGTAAGATTTTACTAAGTGGATTTGTATACTTGTTTGATCTATTGGATTGCGTATTATTTTGGGATTACATTTTTATTAAGGGATCTGTGTTAGGATACACAGACCTAATAATTTCAATGGTGACTATCCATCAAGATGCCTTGCTGACTAAAGATGAAGCTGATCTTTCTTCATTTTTTAATTTTCAAGAGTAAAAAGTTAGATGTGCAGAGGACATCATTAAATAAGCCTTGCTTAAACCAATAGAAGAAAAAGAGATTAGAAAAATAATGAGAAAAACAGATAAAAAATTAGATTTGGTGGAGCTATTTAAATTCTTTGGAAAAGAAGGATTTGAGAAACTGTATTAGAAATTCTCGAATGGGATTACGAAATGATCTGTGTTTTATATAGAAAAATTTTGATAATTGACTTAAATTAGAATATAATAATAATTAAATTTATGTATTATAAATAAAATAAAGAATGTAGATTATGTTAAGGTTCTTTATCATAAATCTAAATTGATAATTTAAAGAAGAAGTATGCAATTCACAAATACAATAGGTATTATAATGCCTTTCATTTTTATTTTGCCAAACCAATATCGGAAATATTAGGCAATTTGCAAATTGATCATGTTATCCTATTTAAGGATTTGTTATATTTCAATGATGATAACGAATATTTAACAAAGTGTTACGATTAATTGGAGTAGAAATAAATAATGCGCAAACTTTAATTCAAGGTACTATAGCGTATAATCAATCAATTGTGTCTCAGATTCCAATACCCAATTTGTTAATCGTGACAGCTCATCAAATTCTTTAGAAGCGAAACAATAAACTGCAAAAATTACAAAAATAACCTGTAAACATCGTGGCAGCCACCAATAAATATCGAATATTATTCAATACTACATAAAATATTGAGTATTTCTGTTATTTTTAATAGATTATCATCTGAAATAGAAGAATATGAAAACAAAATAATAAGCTGGGAAACTTCAGAACATAATATTTATTCTAATTTTAATGTATCTTCTCAAAAAATGAAGCCAGTTACAACTTAATAAATGAACCATCTTAATACATCCAATTCTATCCATTAGCTATATTATTAATAAAACGATAAGGATATTGTAATGGTAATAAGAGATATAAATAAATTCACAAATCAATAATTGATGAAATTATCACCAAAGAAAACTGTAATTAATAATAAAATTAATGGGAATCAATCCAAAAATAAAAATGTCATCATACCAAAATTAGTCATTCCCTAAATTCCTGAGAATAAAATGAATTTTCAACAACTACTAAATTAGTATGACTAAATAATGTCATAGAGGAATTGCTAAACCGAAAGATAATCGAAGGGAAAGACAAAAGAAAAAAGTAAAGGGCAATTAGAGATTTATTAAGTATAGTATTTGAATTACCTTCGATTAGAGCAAGAATAAGTATTAATAATCTATTTATTCTGTACCGAGTTCTTCTAATTTTCAAGGCAAGGGAATCAGCACTTGTTCTGCTTCAATTTTATTGAAATCATTGTCAAAAAAATCAATGGACAAGTCTCCAATCGCATCAAGAAGATTAGAAATAAAGTAGAACCTTACTAAATTGATAAAATAACAGGAAAGAGATTTGGGGTTTTACACTTAAAGATGACATTAATTTAATTTATCTTAGTTTCTTTATTTAAATTGTTGTGATGATATTATAATATCATTTAACTGGTAAAAACCATAATAGGATGTTTGAACCCATTATGGACTTGAAATTTTACCATACTCCTTCGTTATATTTTAATCTCTACAATAATAAATATGTAGTACGTCTGGTTTATCCTCCAACTATTCCAAAGTAGTCTTGTTTTGGGATATCAAATACAAGTGGAATATGAAAAAGCCTGTAATAAGGACTGCAATCAAAAGTATGAAATAATAGTGGAGCACAATTAGGAACAGTATAAGATCTGGCATATCAGTTTCAATCACATTAAGGAACACCCTGTATTAAGAAATTGACACCCAAACCAATAGACAGCCTCTACTGTTAAAATGATGGAAAATTACTAGCATAAAAGATCATGCAAATGAATATCTTATAATTGTCTTTGGCTACACAATTATTGATCCATTGGCAATGATGGTCCATTCTTTACCAACAACATCTGCATTAAGAACAATGATGAGTTCTAAGAGGTTTTGGAATGCAACATTTTTTACAGAATCTCTTTTCTTATCCCTTTTGAGTAATATCCTTTTTGATGTTATAATCATCATCTAAATTTTCATCTGCATCCATATTTACAACACTTCTATCTTCATCATTTTCTGTTTTAAAAGTCTTGACTGATCTTTGACTTCTCCTTTGTCTTTATTCAGTCATCCTCTCTTTCTCCTATTATTAGTATTCATCCCATTATCTCCAAGTTTCTTCAATAAGATCCTCAATATTTAGACATAAAATTACTTAGCATATTGCCCCAGGTTCTAAAAGCATAGCACGAAGCATTGATATAAGGAACATAAATATCATCAAGTGTTATATTACTATTCCAAAAGTGAATCCTTCAAAATTTGGCTGAATGTTGTACTAGTATAATTCAAGATAGCAATTACCACAAAGTATATACTATATATGAATATTAAGATCCCTAGTAGAATTATGACAGGTATCCATGACATTAATCTATTCCAAAATATCATCAATATTCGTTTTTCAAAATAATATATAAAAATATATCAATCATCAATTAATAAAATGCTACTGTGATTAATTTTAAATAATCCCCCTCATATTGTATTGATTCTCAATAAAACTTAGAATTCTCGATAATATAAGATTCTAGTTTCTTTACTATGCAAATTTTGATATGATTTCAATAATAACTTCAATATCTTATGAATGAGCAAACAGGACATAACTTCTACGAATAAAATTTAACTCCTTATTGTTGTTAATTTTGAATTTAAAATAGTAAGGTTACATGTGAGTATTATATACTAAGAGTTAACGCAATTCGAGAATGAATTTGAGATAGTGAATTAATTTGTAATGTATATTTATAGGAATACATAAAATTCAAATACATTAAATAATTATTTATGTATTATAAATCATGCTGTTGCTTTTTTAATGAAGGTACGTTATGCAGCTCTCCTTATTTTTCCTGCGTATCTTCCAGCAACAGTATCTGCATCTTTTACATCAGCTTTATCAAATTGATCGACTTTTGCTTCTTTTCTATCAACAACATCTAACAAATTGATTTCGCAGGTGTTATCTCTATAATTAATGAATAATTATCTTACGGGTTGACAAATACATACCCTCCCAAATGCAAGAAATCTCCAGTTACTCCTTTGACATCTTAAGTGAATTTAATTTTCAATGGTCCAGGTGGTAAAATATATACTGCAGCTGGAGTACGATTTTATATGATAAGAGCAGCCTAAATTTGATAGAGAGAGTACTTCATTGGTCTTAGCTACAATTCTAGAGAAGCCGTCAAACTTGTCGATGATAGTTTTGTATGGAGTTCTGACTGTCAATTCCATTTTAGCCTTTTTGGCTGTACTAAAGAAGAAGGAGTTTTTTATTGCCAATCCGATCACGCCATTGGTAAGACGATTCATAATTAATTTAATTGGATTTATATATATATTAGGTAATATTAAAATGCATTAGGAAAATATAAGGAATGAATTAAGGGCTCTTTTGTTTGGCAAATAGGGATTGAGAATAAGAAGATCAGTGGATATCGAAAATGTAATTGTCCAATAGGAAGAGGTACAATCAGCTGTAAGATTTAAAGATGCATATGTGTTATAGGAAAAGATAGGTAGTACTTTTAAAATTTAGGATAGGTGAAGGGGCACATTCGGTTGTTAGAAAATGTTACAAAATTCCTAAATAGAAGAGTAAAAAGTCATTAATGTCTAAATCCATTTAAGTTTATGCTGTGAAATGCTTCAGAACTGATGATCCAGAGATTGTCAACACAATCATACAGACATTCAATTTGTAGAGACAATTATTAGACATCCCTTAAGTGTGCAGGACTTACGATTTATTCATCGACCAATAAACAAAGCATCATTATCAAGTGATAGAATATTGTGATAGCCCTAATTTGGAATAAGTGTATCGCAACCTCACTCTCAGATAGAAACAAGACACAATTAAACAGTTAGTTTAGGTTATTGCCTAAATTCATGCCAGAGGAATCTCACACAGAGATTTAAAACCTGAAAACATTCTGATTTAAACTGAACCAAACATTTAAATAAAATTAATTGATTTTGGAGTCTCCAAACGATTCAAATAAAGAGACAACTTTACTGAAATGTGGACTGCAACTGGAACTATCTTATATTAGGCTCCAGAAGTCTTTCTAGGAGGAGGCTATGATGAAAAAGGTATCCTTACATTTGTATCTGCAGTCGACATTTGGTCCATAGGAATCATACTCTATCAATTGTTATGTTCAACTCTCCCCTTTTATGCTGAGACCATCAGTGAAACTATAGAATAGATTACTTCGCTGGACCCTTAATTTCAATATTCCCAAGAATTTTTGAACTTGAATCCAATTCAAAGAGACCTTATTAAGAGACTGCTCAAACTTCATCCTCATTAGAGATTATCTGCCCATGGTATTAATTCTATTTATTAGAAATACCCTTACATCCATGGTTTGATTAAGAAAATCATGTAGATGCAAGTTCTGATGACATGATTCTAACATAAGATACTATTTTAGAAGAGAGAACAATGTCTAATTAAATCGGTACAGAAATCACAGAATAATAATTCTAAAATTTAATGGACAGTCTTGAGTGGGGTAGAAGAATTCATTTTAACTAATGAATTTTGTTTATAATGTGTTTTTATTATTTATTATTTATAAATAAAACCATATGGGTAATTAAGAAGGAATTTGTTGTCTATAAAGAGATAAAGAATATCAAGTACTAAACAATGAATTAGTTATATTTCGAGAATATTAGAATATCAAAATAACTGTAAAATTAGGAGATATATAAAATGAATCTGCAGAGAGCGTAAGTAATTAAATTATCTTATTTGAGTCTGTTTATATACCAATCCTGAGAAAATACCTTTGCAACCCTCCTATACACAATAAGTTTATGACAATTTATGTAAAAGTACTATACTTACAGTACCTTAATAGTTGGTTACGAAAATGTGTACTCTTAGAATCTAGATATGAGCAACTACAAATGCATTACTTATTATCGAGTGCGAGCATTTGAGGTATCAAATATTGGTATTTGATTAGTCAGAAAAAGATTTGTTTTAATATTATAATGGATTTAAAGAGTGGTATTATAAAATTAGTATTAATAGTTTGACATAATTAAATGATGATCAGTACAAAGAAATCTTAATTTGTGATTGCCCTATTAAGCAAAGCAGATCAATCAGTTCTGAAATACTGGTCAGATCAGTTATTGAGTAAGATATTATGAGATGATGATAGTTTCATTGAGGAATCCAATAATCGACTACACATCAAGAGCATAACCCTTATGAATTGTGACAAAAAGTGTGTAATATGCCTTAAATTAATAAAGAGTCTCGTTTCCTCAAATATGAACTAATCAAACAAATTGAAGAGTCGAAGTAGCCAGCCCTGAGGAAAGACAGACAAAATAAATTTATGAAGTTCATAACATCAACTAAGAGTGAAATTTCAGAAATGGGAAGATAAAACAAATGCGATTTTAGTTTGAAAGATTTTGATTTAGGAGATGAATCTAAATTAATGAATATGAAGGAGGAAGAATGAAAGATGAATAATTTAATAAATAATATCATAATTGTAATTACAATAAAAGAAAATTCAATTCAATAAATAGATATATTATTTACATACTAATCATTTCCACTCTCCCTAAAAATTAAATCTAATCATTCAAATTTCATATATTTTAGATATTATCGTAATTACCAATATAAAATTGAAATCAATCCAAATGAATATATCATTATAAAGATATATTATTTTATATAAAGAAATCTTTGATTCTCTGAATTCAAATAGTAATGATGTAATATAAATTTGAAAATATCAACAAATAATACAAATGATCACAGATTTTAATCTCATCAAAATTATATAGGAGAATCTGAAGAAAAGGATACAGATGAAGATTTTGTAAATGTTTACTATTAAATTGATCAGGATTATAAAGGTAATTCCTTTTAGCCTATTTCACTATTCATGATTTAAGAGAATAATCTTCAGAATGCAATGAAATTTGAATTATGAACCATTTAGAGTATTCTATCAGTTGTAATCCTTAGGAAAAGGGAACCATTCAAGATAAGCAATCAATGAGATATATGAAATCATTAGAAATGAGAAGATGATTATTTACATTATATATTAAAATGTAAAAAACTCATTATAGTTCATTTAGCATTACTTCTAATTCAATTGATAATTCATAAAACAATGCTTCCTTAAAAGGTAAGATCTCAGCGTTAGAATCCCTGATGTATGAAGTAGCTGACTCTGTGGAAATTCATAGAAAGGAATATCAATCCTTAAAATAACTTAAAGATGAATTTGAAGCCATTCTTTCCAACAAAACTGAAGATATGCTCAAAACACTTTAGAATGAATTAATGTAATATCATTTATATCTATAAGTCATTTAGATGATGAAATGAAAAGGGAAGTTGGATATCAATTGGCAGAAAATTCAAGAATTCAAACTTAGCTAACACATTTAAAAGGTGAAAAAACTGCTCTGGCCATTAAATTAAATGAGCTTCATCTGAGAATCGGCAATCTAGAAGTACAAGTAGGAAATCATGAATAAAATTGATTATTATTATTAATTTTAAATTATGGGATGTCTTATTCAACCCGAACCTAAGGATCCTACCGATTATGAGTAATTCAATCGCTAAAATAGTAATCATTCTTTGATATTAATAGAATAATAAAAAAGAGTTATTGGAGGTGAATAAAATCGTGAACTCAGTCAAAATGTTTATCAATTCTTTCTTAAATTAGGATTTAATTGCATAGGCAGCAGAACGTAGATTATAAAACTACGAAAAAAGAGGTTTGACACCATAATCATAAGTTGAATTCGAATAAAAAAGGTAAAAGTAGGAAGAAGCTGAATAATACAAGAAAGAAGGTAGATCATAAAACTGTAAATGGGATTGATTTATTGCAATTATTCTTTAGAATTTGTTTTTAACTGATTTAAATTTACTAATAAATAAAGTGAACTCCCATTCTCATATTATATTATAGTTGATCAAATAGATGATTATTTGAGTAATAATAATTTAAATTTATTAGATATTGATATAAATATAATAAATTAGTATGATGTTTATTTCTATCATAATGATATGCAATAAATTTTTTACTTTGAACTTATAATAAAAATTAAATATTGCTAGATCAGATTACATTGATATTTTCTAAAATTTTATAATGTATTTAATAGTTTTTTTCATTATTTATATATTAAGAATTTTATAGCTTTAAATATTAATTAAATTTAATTATTATAGAATTTTGGTCGATGATTTAAGAAGAAAATATGAATATAGGCAAAACAAACTCTAAAAATCAATTTTTTAGTTAAGACGATGATTAGAGGTCTTTGTTACATTACAAAAGTTTTGATTAGAAGAAGGTATTAAGTGAAATCAAAGAATATTATTAAATTAATCAATCACTGAAGGGTATTCTTAAAGAATTATTGCATGTATCACATAAAATGCCACTTCCAGATGAATGTTTAGATCATATTCTTGAATTACTGCAGTCTGAAATGAATAATTAATTTGAATAACTGACATATTGTCAAATCTTAAGACTATCAATCAAGAAGGGAGCAAAAATTAACATCCAGAAGTTCGTTACAATTTTCAAAGTGATAATAGACAATGATTCATTATTTGAGCTTGTTAGTATATTTTCCATAATGCTAGACCAAAAATAGTAAAAGGAGGAAGATTTAAATTAGATATTTAATTAGATTTTAAATTTTAATAATCTTAATGTAGAAATAAAAAAATCACTAAACCATCTGAAATATACTCTTAATCCTAAATACAATTCATCAAATTAATAATAGCACCTGTTTAAAAAGAGTGGCATCAATCAAGTAATCGCAACCGTTGAAAGTCATGTTGATCATGAAAGAGTGTAGGATTCCGAATATGTCTAAGAGAACTTTCAAAGCATCATTCATGATCAACTTACAGAATCAGAGTTTTAGTATTAAGTTGCCGTTGAGAATATTGAAATAAAAGATGATATCAAATAACCTACTCTCTTTAAAAGTACTTATGAGACTGTAAAATAAATATATGAATATGCATGCAAACATAAATAGATTCAAAAATAAGATAAAGATGAATATTTACCTAACAAATTATTGGATCAAAAGTATTTTTCAAACGGGATTCTTGGGGAATTTATATGTGATCGAATGATAATCGAAACATTTCTAATTATATCTCAAAAGTAAGAATTAAATGAAAAAACTATTTAGAAGGTTTTTTAATTATGTAAAGGGATCGATGAGGTCAAAGGCTTGTTCTTAAAAAATTAATCTGAAAGTGTTTATGTTAATTCTCTCCACAGAAGTGAGATCTAAATTGGTAATCTGAATTAAATTGAGGAAGTGGCTAAAAATATTTTAAAACAGTTTTTTAATCAGAATGAATCTCATTCTAAACTTTCTACTAATCACAGTAGTATTTTTGGTGATAGTGAATTAACTTGCTTTGGCTAGAAAAGTTAATTAGTGATTGATGAAGTTATGAAAATTATGTATAAGTAATTCTAGAAAATCAGAGTATGTGCTCTCTAAATTATTTAAAATCTTATTAATTACTAAAAACTTCAATTGAGCCATGAATAAATGTAGTTCATTGAAGGACTGTAAGAAAATGATGAGGATAATGATTGTTTTCGTGAAGAAGCATTAAAGATTTACATCCTAACTTTTGATTAAAATAATTCTAAAAATGCGTTGAAGGTTTGCATTAATAAATTAGAAAGGAATCATTTTGAAGGAATTCAATATATACTAAATTAAAGTAAGAACGAAGAAAGAGCAAACTTCTTGTCAGGAGATAAAATTAAAATGATAATTAACAAGATTACAACGGATCAGTAATCAATATCAATTGATATTCGAAAAAAATTGACCTAAATTGTCCAAAATTTCTTAAGTCATTTACAATTAAATATTGAAGAAGAAGATTTTGAAAAATTATTCAAACTGTTCTAAAATTCAACTAAAATAGAATTAGAAAAATAATTGCAATTTAATTTGCTTTAATCGATAATTTATTTTCTCAAAAAAAACCCTACTCATTAAGAAGTTAAATACAATGAGCTTATGACGGACTTAGAAAAGTTTGATGAGTAATTGCAAAACTTAATTATCTTAAGTCTAGGAACCATATTAAAAAGATGCTTGGAATAAAATCGAAATACTATTAAAATAAAGATCTCCGATTTTCTTTCAAAAAAATTGTCACTTTCTTTTAAGATAAATCCTTAAGGAATCAAAGATGAGAGTGATTCAAATTATCCAAGGATATCTTTTATTGTAGCTGAAATCATTTATTATTAAGTATCGTAATCAAAAATTTAGCTGTCAGAAAATACTATTAGTGATCTGATTAAAATAATAAATAATCAAGATAAAGATTTACAATTCTTATCAGTCAAGATTTTAGATGAACTTGAACAGGATATTTCAAAAGAGAATTGTGATAATCTAGTCCCTTAGTTATTTAAAATCCTTAAGGATGATTATTAGAGATAATAATAGTTGATTTATTCATCTCTGTATACAAAGGTCATTTTAACTATCCAAACTGAAACTAAAGAATCAATTGATTTATAATATATTGAGCTTTTAGCATAAATTTGCAATTTGGATTAATTTGTTGAAAATACAGTATATTAAAAAATTTAAAGTAATATATTTGAAATTTTAAAAAAGCTACTAAATGGTAAAAAAAAAATACCTTTAGAATTTATGAAAATGTTTGAAAATATTTTGATTAATGAACTTTAAACCTAACAGGATGTTATTGAAATTCTAAAGGTGTTTACAGAATATGAAAAAATACCAAATAACCTAGTCGTAGCACTTGAAATTCATCTAAATAAATCAGAAATACCGATGGATTTCTTCTTGATTTTAGAACAAGTTATTCGAAATGGACATAGGGTTGCTGATTCTACTTTGCAAAAATATATTGATAAGATATCCAACTCTGAAAAGGATTCTGATAAATGCTTTGATATTTTAGAAATAGCAGAAAAAAACCATACTTTATCTGAACATATTTTTACTTCTATTTAATTAGAAAGAGCAGGAAAAGCAATCAAAAAAAAATAGGATGACTATCCTGATGCAATTGAATACATATATCAGAAAGTGTAGGAGGGATATAAGATATCAAAAAATATCTTTGAAATTATTGCTACTATTTTGGATGAAGCTAATGATAAATTAATTAAAATTTTAGAATGTGCTTCAAGCAACGAATAAATAATTCCAAATGGTGTTGTCAAGAAACTTTAGGATATCCTGAATAAATAGGATATTGATGAAAATGTTATACGAATATTTATGAATATGTTAAAAAATAAATAAGAGTTGTCTGGAGATCTTATACTTAAATTAGAAGAAATGTTAGATTGTCAAACTATTTCTGAATTGATCATATAATTTTTTGCTATTTCTAGTTAAAATTGTAAATTATTTTCTTTGCAAATAATTGAAAAATTGTGTAAACATATTTAAAATACAAATGATTTAAACTTAGAACTTAGTCTACTTTTAGCAATCAATACAAAAATTAATGCGAATAATTCATTTCATCAAGATATTACACTTATCAATAGAGTTAATGAAGTATTAATATCAAAACTCTAAGTATCAAAATAAACTTTGTTGCCCTTATGTTTACAAATTACTAATTATATTTAATTGCATGCCAATATATTAGACTCAAAAATATAGGAAACATTGACTACGTTATTGTATGAAAAAGAAATCTAGTATGAAATTAAAACCGAAATTAGTAAAATATTAAAATTATGTAAACTTGATGCATAAACATCTTAATTTATCAAGTAATTTGATTTTACATAAAATTCTAATAACAATAATTCAAATGATACTAATGAATAGATTGAATTATTACCTGAGACCTTGAATTAAATAAACCTAATTTTTTAGGACGATAAAGATCAAGAGCAGCTATAAAAAGCAATTTCTCTGTTAAATCAGTGCAGAAACAAAGATTAAATACCGTTTGAATTGACCAAAAGCATTATGATATGTATATCATAAAAAGATTTTAAACCCGATTATTTTAAACTCCTCAATCAAATAGTTGAATCTAACAAATTAATCCCTAGTGCTATTCTCAAATTTCTGATTGATAATTATGCAGATGATTTAGAACGTGGCTCATTCTAGTCATAAGAAAATGAAGTTCTTACACGAAACTTGTAGATGATTAAATAGTTAGATGCGCAAAACCAGGCTTGGAATTCAGAGTACTCAATCAATTTACTTAAAAGTATAAATCAGTCTATGAAATCAGGGTTATTATTGTCAAAATAAAGAACTTAAATTATTTGTACTATATTCTAATCAACTTATATTAATATAGATTTGGTTTATATTTATTCAAAGATTTTATCTAAATTGGTGTTGAATTAATTTAACATGAATGAAATAATAGTACTAGAAGTAGTAAAATTAATTAAGCGAAATGATATCAAATTAACAACCAAAATGATACAAGCATATACAAAGATTATTGAAGAAAAAAAGTATAAGGAACTACAAAATTGCATAGACAGCCTATTAACGAGAAAACTTGATAATAAAAAAATGTTAGCCTTACATGAATGTGTTTCATATGCCTGTTAATTTGGAGACGATTTGAAGAAAACCTGGTTGCCCATACTAGAAGATAATCTTGTATAGTAACCTATAATTAGCAATTTGTCTTTTAAAGGTTTACGGGCTGCAATGGATAAAAATTTAAGTTCAGATTAGTTTAATGGATATTGCAATATAATTTTAAAAGTATTGAAAAATGTTTAGGATGAAATTAAAGAAAACTATGATTTATTTGAAACTATTAATTACTTATTATAGTATGATTTGGCTAAAGTCTTTCAAAGTCCTGAGGATAATTGGCATAGAGAGTTACTTGAAGGTGGTTTTGAAATAAAAAATAAAGGGTGTAAAATTGAAAAAATAAAGGAGATTATTCAAGAAAATGGAATAAATTCAGAACATTATATACCTCTTCTAAAAATTATAACTTAGATTGAAGGATTGTAAGACATGTAATTTAACGATTTGATTATTTTTTTAAAAACAATTGGATTGTAAGATACAAATTAATTGTTGAAGCAAAATATTATTTATGATTATGAGAAATGTTAGATAAAACTAATATGGGCCAAAGTAGTTTAAGGATGGTTAAGAAAGATGATAGTTAACAAAATCAAAAATAAAATTAAATGTGGTCCATACATTGAAATTGTTTTTTTTTTTTTGATTGGCTTGATATGCAACGACGAAAAGTAAGAATTGAATACATAATAATGTAATTTTCTTTTTTCATAAATAAGGGAGATCGATAACCTTAACAAATTTCAAAGTCTCTTAGAATTCATTATTCAAAACGGATGTATTATTAAACATTCAGAAAATTAATATACAATAAATGAGTTGCAATAATATTTTGAAATTGAAGTTATAATTCTTAGATTTCCAGACCATAAAACAGATAAATAGTTAAGAAACATTATTAAATAATTACTTATGAAGGGTTGGACTTTTTAGAAATAGACAAAAATACTTGATAACCCTAAAGTAGCCAAACTAATTTCTCAGAGTGATAAACCTTTGGTGGAATTGTTCAAGACTCTTTATTATTACTAAGTTTCTCCAAATACAGACTTAAATAATATCTTCGATTAGCCAGAGCCATATAAGATATGGAGTTAAGTATTGTAAAAGTTATTTTTGGGAAGTTTTGAAGGGAATGCTGGAGAAAAGGACATATAGAAATTAGTGGATGAATTGGAAGAATTAAAATTCCCTAAGCATTTTTATATTGAAAAGATCAATTAAATTTAGACTTTGAGTGAAGAGAAAAAGAAATATACAGAGTAAGAAATATATTAATGGGTTGCAATAGTCAAGAATTAAGAGACTGAATAATTCAAAGATATTAATTTCATAGTTGAATTATTAGCTGTGATCAACTATGCTATTTTCAAAATTAAAGAGGTGAATTTAACTTGTACTTAAATCGTGACTGCATTGATCATTTTATAGTAAGAAAAGGATGAAGGAATATTATGTTAAGTGAAAACTGGTGATGGCAAATCAATAATAATAGGTATCATTGCCATATATTATGGATTGTAAGGAAAGAAAATAAATATTCACACCAGTTCTCCGATTTTAGCAGAGAGAGATTCAAAAAGTATGAAAAATCTATACTAGTTTTTTGGTCTTAGCTGTGCTGAAAATAGTGACAAAACCAAGTACAAGAAAAATGTAAAGAAATGTTATGAAAAACAGATTGTATATGGAGATGTATCCTAATTTTAATTTGATTATCTTAGACATCATCACAGTCAATTGAATACAATGGGTGACAGAAATTTAGAAATTGCAATTGTTGATGAAGTGGATAGTATGCTTATTGATGAGAGCTCAAAGTTTGCTAGATTATCCAGTACTGTTACTGGTATTGAGCACTTTTAATCAATTTATATTCTTATTTGGTAAAGAATTAAATAGCTTGAGGAGTAAATATATATCCTACAATCCAACTATTATTCCTAAAATGGAAATATTGTGAAAAAGAAAGAAGGTGAAAATCTTCATTTTTTGGATTCAGAATCTATTGATAATTTTGAGTAATTAAAGCAGTTGAGAGAAATAGAAACAATAGAGAATTTTGATGATTTTATGAAAGACCATTTAAAAATTTATATCAATGCAATATTGGAAAAAGAAGACTTTATAATTCTGCCTAAGTATTTTAGATAATATCTTGATCTTTAATTACCTAATTGGATAGATAGTGCCTTGTAGGCAATTAAATTAGAAGAGAATGTCCATTATGTCATTATCAATGGGAAAATAAAACCTGTTGATTTTTTAAATACAGGAATAATTTAAAATTCTTCTTTTTGGGGAAATGGATTACATTAGTTCCTGTAAATCAAGCATAATCTGAAAATCACACCTGAATCCTTCCTAACAAATTTCTTATCTAATGTTGGATATTTTAAAAAATATGAAAAGAGAGTTTTTGGCTTAACTGGCACTTTAGGTTCTCAAAAAACTAAAGAAATGTTGAAATAAGTTTATGGTCTGACTTCAGTTATTATTCCTTAAAACAAGTATAAGCTATTTAAAGAACTACCTTTAATTGTTGTTGATAATGATGAAAAATGGCTGAAGAAGATCATTGCATCAGCAAATAAAGAATGCAATAATAAAAGAGGTGTTCTCATTATATGTGAGACAATTTTAGATGCGAGGAAAATTCATGAACAGTTATTGTCTTAGAAGTATTCAAGAAATATGATCAAGCTTTATGATATGAATAATAAATGTTTGGAAAATGAAATTGATGTCATTAAATCTGAACAAATATTTGTTGCTACCAATCTTGCAGGCAGAGGCACTGATATCAATTCAGAGGATATTGAATAGTATGGAGGATTGCATGTGATATTAACATTCATGCCGGCTAATCAAAGAGTAGAAGAATAAGCATTTGGAAGAACTGCTAGATTAGGCAATAAAGGAACTGGATAAATGATATTAAATAAATTAAGCCTCAGGCATTTAATTTAGAATGTAGAGGATTATTCACAAATGAAAATCAAGAGAGAGGAAGTAGAAGATGAAAGGTTGTAGAAATATGTGGACTAAAATTTGAAGGAAATCGAGTTAAAAGAGAAGCTGTTTGAAGACTTTTGTAATCTCTTGAGTGATCAAACAAAAAAAATCAATTCTTTACCAAAATTAACTCAGCATTATACAATTTTAAGTATAGAAGAAAAATGGGCTATTTTTCTACTGCAGAACAAAGATATGAAAGATGATATTGTTGCAAACTTTGAAAAATTTAAAAATGAGGTGGATAAATTATGTGAAACGTAGTAAATCATATGCAATCCTTATTATAAAATAGATATTTTATAGAATTAAAAAAAAAAGAAGTTGCAAGATAAATTGGATGCTTTAAATGAAATCATTAAAGTTGACGGCAAATCATTTGCTTCTGTGTATTAAGAAATTGGCTTACTCTATCTTTAGTAGGAAAATTAAGATAAAAATAAAGCACTAAATTATTTGTAAGAGGCAGTTGAGTTATTGAGCAAGGAAGTTGCTTAATGGTAGAGTTTGTATGTAACTTTATCAAAGTATTTGAAGAATTTTTAAGGGAGCGATTTGTAAAAACAAATTTATCAAAAGCTACAAATAATAGAAATTTGTGCTAATAGTATTGTAGAGAATAAGAAAGTAATATAGAAATCTTAGAGATTAATAGATATTGTTTTGTAATAAGATATTAAACAGGAAAACATCTAATCCAAAACAATTAATCTTGGTTTAGAAAAATAGAATGCAATTTAATTGTGCCGTAATTAAAATGATACCAAGTATAATTTGATATTCAATGATCTCTGTTATTACCAAGACTATATTGATTAAGATTCTGTCATAAAAACTATTGAATAGATTTATGAGAACAATAAGCCAATTGATAAAGAAATCACGATATAATTAAATGAAATTATGGCATCCAAACTCAATTTATACTTCTATTAGAAAGCTCTCGAATAGGGCTGTTTCTTCGATAAATAAACTGCTTTGAAAAAATTAAAAAACAATGAAAGGGATACTGTAACTAATTCTTCAATACTTTTAAAAACCTCTTAAAATAAATTTGAATCATTAGCCATCCAAGAAGCTATTGAAAAAGTCAATACGGTTAATGAAACTTATATTGATATGATAATCATAAACAAACAGTCAGCATAATGGTAAATTGAATTACTAAAAAATATGTAGATAGACATTGAGTTTATCAATTTGGATAAAAGAAATGTTGAATAAGATTTGTAAATTATTAAATCTGATTCAATTGATCTTGTAATTACAAGTGACATTGAAGATATTAACAAGTTACTAGATTTAGATTTTGTTTAGAGAATAAAGCATTTGAAGAAATAGCTACACATCTCATATACAAAGGAGAAAGCTAAATAATCATTATTTAATATCAGCCAGAATAAATGTACTCAAACTATCTCCATTTCAAAAATCACAGAAGAATAGGTTAAGGAAGTACTGAATAAATGTAAAGAAAAAGCAAGATTCAATCTATAATTAAATTCGATATAAGGGGTTTGTTGGATAGAAGAGAATCTCTTTATTAATGTAAGATTTAGACTTAAAGATCATAAATGGATTAAAGATTTAATAAGGTGGTTAAGGTAAATCTAATTAGAATTTTAATTGATCTTTAATAATCTGGATTATAATTAAACAAAAGAATATATTTAAAAGGCAGACATTCAATAATAGGATGTTTAAGTAGTCAATAGGAAAAAATTAAAGGAATTTCTTTAGTCATAAGGACAAACTGAGTAACAAGAATATTAGAATTTTAAAGCAAGAGGATTTAAAGAAATCATTACATTGAATGAAATTAAGTTCTTTCCCTTCTATAACATACTAATTCTTGGTACATTAGCCTTTTCCTAATTGATAGTTGGAGGTGTCTTAGTTTCCACAGGACTGGGAAGTATTCTTGGCAAGATGATTCTCTAAGAAGGTATTTCAGATGTCATAAGCCTTATAACATCTTGCTATAGGAGAGAATTTTCATGGTCCGATTATTGTTATTAAAAGTCTGCCAGTGTATTATGTACTGTCCTCACGTTTGGATTGAATGCAATCAAAGATACAAGTAAAACAAGATAGTTCGTTGAAAGTTTTGGAAAATACAGAAGCGTCAAATTAAGTTCTATTGTTCAACAAACATGGATATTGTCCTTTTAATCAATTGTCATCAAAGGGAGTAATCTGATCCTCACCAACATTATTTCAAAAGCACTTATAGATTGTAAGCTTAAGCTATCGTAATATCTGTAAAAAATTATTTAGGAAAAGTTCTCTGAAAAGGATACAATTAAACTTTTGAGGAAAATTGAAGTATTATATTAAATCAAGAATGAAAATTTCACTGAGAATATCCTAAAATATGGCATTGAACTAATAACAAAAATTGGATTTATAAATTAGTTCATTATTTTACTCCAAAAACTCATAATCAATTCTACAATATCTGTAAATTTCGAGTTTGAAAGCTGGATTTTAAATTGTTGTGATAAACTTCTTAAAGTTGCAACCATAGTTTTAACCTAAAATTTATCAATTGATTTATTACATTCTTAATTTATAAAGTAGTTGATTAGTTATGCTAATAAAGAATATAATCTCTAAATTGTATATAAATAATGGAGTAGTAACAAAAATGTAACTTAAGTTACAGAAATTGAAACTATAACAAAGGTAAATGAATTTTTAGGCACACAGGCTGAAATTTATAATGAAATTGAGTAAAAAACATATTATAAACTTAATGAATAACTCAGACTTGAATTAATTTAAAATTAAACCTCTTAATAATTATTAGATTTCTTTAGCGATTTAACTGAACGTGAGACAAAACTTGAAGATGAATCCTATTTAAAAATCATTTCAGAATTAAGCTAATAATTAACTAAAAATGTATCAAGTTTGGTAGAATAATAAATTCTTTTACCTTGGATTAGTTCTGCCACATATCAATTTTCAGAGAGTTTAATTTCAAATTTTTCTAATCACAATATAAAAGAAGAAAATTATGAAAATATGTAACATAATTAAAGTGACCATAAAGAAATTGTAGAAAAAATAGAGAAGCTAATACAAAAAATAGAAAGCGAAGCCATTCCATAATAAACATCAAATCATGAACTTAATCAAAATCCTGAGATGGGAAATTAATAACACCAAGTCCTTAGGCGTCCTTTTTAAGCTCGAGATTCAGGAAGCCCGTTTATTCCCATTGATAATGAATAGCAAATGTTGATTGAACAATAAAAGATTTTAGAACAATAAAAGATGTTAGAACAATAAAAGATGTTAGAACATCAAAAGATGTTAGAACAACAAAAGATCATTGAGCAACAAAAGATGATTGAAATCGGACTTCTCTAATATTTGCAGCATGAAAGGGGAGATGCTGAATAAAAAGAGGATGACGATTCATTTTATAAAAAAACTTGGTTTATTTCTATTGCTTTAGCAGCAATCCCATTTACGTTATTACTTTGTATTGCAAAAACTGCTTACAAAAGCAATAACAACCCAGAATTATCTAATTGATTTTTTACTTTAGATTAAAATATAAAGTACATTCTTTAATCTTAGTTATTCTATTATTATCATATTATAAATTAATCCGAAATTAAGCATTAAAATGACTACATTCATAATTAATAAATGCTTATAAATTGTAATCTACTTTTCAACTATTTTAAAATATAAAAATTAATTAATCACTATAATTACTTATACTTAAACAAATCATAGGTTTTACACACTATTATAATTGATACTAGTTACTAATCACTTATCATTAATTTAACATAGTTTTAATGCAATTAAAATGATTATAACAATATATTATTTCGTTTGATTAATTAAAAATGGGCTCGAGTTCCGGAATAGGACTCTCCCCCACAACCAATTATATTGGTTTAAACTTGGATTTATACTTAGCCAAAGGGCCGAGGATTACTTTCGTAATAATTATTTTGTTTTCTTATATTTCTTTATATATTATTATATTCATTTTAGATTTATGGGATTATAATTTTGAAGTTTAAGCATAAACCCATAATATCTAAATATCTATTCATATATATATACATTTAATTTAAATTGATTCTCGCACTTAAAAAATTAAGTGCTAACTTTATCCAAGTTTAAACCAATATAATTGGCTGTGGGAGAGAGTCCTATTCCGGAACTCGAACCCATTTTTAATTAATCAAACGAAATAATATATTGATGCTTATTAATTATATTCTTTGATAATCCTTAAAAGGGTTATTTTAAGACAAGGATCTAAAAGGTAGAGTTATTAATTCTTATTTAATAAACTTTATTATTCATCAAATATAATTCTTCTTTCGAATTTAGGAACTTATTAATTAATCTATTGAATTTGATTAGATTAAGTTTCATGATTAAATAAATAAATGATTATATTCAAGTTTTAAGGATTAAAGTTATTCATTAATATAAAATCACGAATTTATTTTTGATATAAAGAACTTACGAAAAATACTTGATACCTTTAATTGTGAATCTATATCAATATAAAGATTTTTAGAATAAAAATCATTCGTAATAACTAAATGATATTTCTAAACATAAATATTTTGGTAATGAAAACAAAAATCTATTTAAATTCTAAATCAATTTCATCAAAGGGAGAGGCTGTCGAAAATTAAAGGAAATGATTATAATATTCACAATGATAGCACAATAATTTTGTTTTTAATATTAATCAATGTATTTTATAATAAAATTAATTTATGGAGTCTTAAGATAAAAAACATCAGAAAAGACATGATTCCAGTGACAAATAAAAGGAGTTAAAGAAAATTTAGAAGCTTCAACAAAAAGGATAGGCTTTATTAAGAGAAGAAAAGCCACAGAGTAAGAAAGAAAAAAAGAGCAAGAAAGACAAGAGTATAATTAACAGAGAGAAAGTGATAAAAGCATTTAAATCATTCATTAAGATCTTCTAAGATGACTTGGAGGAATTCTTTGATCTATTTTCTTAATTGGATGACGGGTGTGTAATTGAAACAGGAGGGATTGAAAATCAGAGTGTAAAGGAGAAACTTGATAAATTAATGGATAAACTTAAACTAAAAAATCAAGGGGATGACAAAGCCCCTATATTCAAGAAGGTCAATAAAAACATCAAATTGGAACACTATGTAAGAGGGTTATATGATGAAGTAGTGAAAGGAATAAAGTATTAAGAACCAGAATCAAGCAATTCAAATATTAGCAAAAGTGAATCACCAGAGAAAGTGAAAGAAGTGACTAAGAATGTTAAAGAGTAGGAGCCTTAAAAGTAATAGCCTTAGAGACTAGAAGAAAATTCAGAGATGGACTTATTTTTGGAGGAGAATTTTGCATAGGGTGGCGAGAGAAAGTTAACGAGTTATTTGAATGAAAGAAAGAAAGTTTAAACATAACCCATTTAATAATAATAATAGCAATAATAACAAAAGAATGGTAATTCTTATATAATAATAATTAGATAGTATATATTTAGGAGAATTACCATAAAAGCCTAAAAATCCTGAGGAAATAAAGTAGTTTATGATATGGTATGACTAAGAATTTAGACCAAAGAGTTTAGCAGAGGAACATAGGGAGAAATTGGAGAGGGAACGACTTGAAAAACTAAAAGCAGGCGGTGTATAACCAAATTAAAGAGGTAGAAGCTTATTAATAGATTAGGAGAGAAAAATTAACGTAAGGAGTTTAATAGAGATACAGACATGAATATGAATACATAGACAAGTTCAGAAGTGTTGGCAAGAATTAGATAATCCGGATCGCTAAATTAAAAGTTTTCATCTGGACATTTATAAAATTAATTCATATGATTATTATTTAATTATATGTATTATTTGGCAACTCCTACTACTATTGAGAAATACACATAAAAGAATATCTTCCAAGATCCCATTATCGAAATTATGAAGAATAAAAGTCCAATGTCTGACAGGGATTTGGTTGGTCCCAAGTTTTCATTAAAGAAACTATCAGAAATGAAGACTTAATCCTGCGAATAGAGTTAGATCCAGAATGTTGAACCATCAAGATTTGAGAAGTTCTATCAATCGATAAAACCTTCATTGGGATTAATGAAGTTAGAAAATAAGCTAAAATAATAAAGAGTCTCAGTTGAACCCAAAAAGAAGAAACCCAATTTGATCTAGCCTGAATTAATTAACAAGTAGGATCTATTATATCAATTGAAGATGATGAAGTTAAAAAACAGAATTCGTTAAGAATAAAAATCTGATTTAATTGACAATATGAAAAAGGAAGTTAAAATGGTTGTGACTAAAGAAGAAAGAATTCTCAATCAATTTCAATAGTTATAATAAAATAGGATAGAGACATCTCTAGTATTGGGTAATCGAACAGGCAGAAGTCTAGATAAAACCTTATACTAGAGATCGAATGACTTTCGACAAAAGTACGAGTTGAACTTGGCTTTGAATGATCATCTAATAGCAGATAAGAGGGTATGGTACCGTTAAATAAGAAAAAAGCATAACAGCTATTATGAGAATAGAGACCCTTACTCTGTTGATGAAAAACCAAATTATATGGATTCAACCCAAGTAGTTGCAGATATTTATACAAATTACTCTACTCATTATACTCCAAAATAGCAATTTACTGAAATCATACAAGTCAATCAAAAACTTAACCAACCTTTATACAGCAAGAAGACTTAGGACGATTTAAAAAAGAAGCTGAAGGAAATCAATCCAGACTCTCCTTTGCTTTCATTTGATCATAAATTGGATATCTAATTATAAGGAATAAGCAAATTCGACAAAGAATATGAATGTGTGCTCTAGGATGATGACAATCAATTGTATTAAATAGCAGAGAATTTAGATCATAAAAAATAATAAAGTGAAAATGAGAATGTCATTATTGCAAATTGGAATCTGAAAAAGAAGGGACAGACCTTTTATCCTAAGATAACTAAATACATAATTTGAACATTAACTATAAATAAAGATATTGTTTATGATTATTTATAACTATTTCCTCAAATGGTGTGTACTAATTATTTTCTAATAAAAATCTTCAAAAATTCAACATAAATAAATTCACATATCTATTTAAGTCTTTCTATTTACTATATGTTTATCTTTGATGAGTATTTCATAATCAAAGAGTTGTATCTAGATTTAAATTTAGACATGTAATTCAAAAAATTATAATTAAAATAATCTTCATCATATTCTTCAGTACTTTATTCTAAATATCCTTCCTTTCTTATTTCAAAAATGTAAGTAATTTAATTAATGGTTCTATATATATTATAATTATACTAATAGATTAAAACTTTGAGTGTTGAAAGTATTTTTGATTAATTATCAATAATTCATCAAAATTCTTAAATATACAAATAAATCGATGGTTATATATTCACTTATGAATTAATACAATGTTTCATTTCAGGCTAGTAATAATATCTTCAATTTAATGATTATAAGTAATTATTTAAAGCTTGTTTAGAGTATTTATAGATGAGAAATATTAATTTAGACATATGTAATTCAATCTCCTAAAATTAATTTAACTTTGAATTAATATATTAATAATCATTATTGATCTTCAATTTATAATACGACCTTTTAGATATTTTTTTCTTAAATACTCTCTCTTAGAAAATGTATAGAATTAGGGTTATTTAGATTATATACTTCATCGGAATAAATCCATTTGATTTAATAGGGCTCTTTTGTTATGTTTTACACTATGAATAAATTGAGTAAAGAGTGCTCTAACTTATCTCTATAGATGTATGTGAATCCCAAATATTGTAATTTTATAATTTCCATTCAAACTATTTAATATAAAATTATAATCATTTTTAATTCAAAGCACTTTTTGTTCTATGAGTGATTCTTCTTCTTCTATGTCTAAGAGTTAATTATTCTTCTTCATTTTTGAATTGAGGAGAACTTTGAACTTGTTGCTCTTTGTTTTAAAGTTACTGTGCAGTAGAATCATCAATTTAGAAAGTGTAGTTCCTGATGTGTCTACTTGTTCTTTTTTCTGGACTCTTAGGATTGGATGATTACTTTCGTTTTTAGATTTAGCTCTGTTTATTCGGTGAGTAGAATATAGGTGTTTGTCCACCTTAACAAGAGCCGGTAGATTGTATATCATCCTGGGAATGGATAGAATCTTCCAGATATTATTGCTTCTGAGTCTACTCAATAATTCGCTGTTAGAATTTGGATGGAGTGATGAGATTACAATAATTAATATTGTTTTCCTGGTTCTCTTGTTTGTGATTATGGATTTTAGTGTTGAATAATATGAGTTATTTTTTGAGTGGTAAAGAGGGATTCACTAGAGATTTCATTGATTTAAGATGATAGAAGGCTTTTTCATATTGCCATTATTTAACTTTGATTAAGTAGGCTATTGTTATTGCAGCACTCCAATTTAGTCCATTAGAACAACATACCAAAACAGATGAACGCTTGATTTCATTTGAAATGAGCATGGCTATTCTTTCAAATGTTTTAATGATGTCTGTATGATTGTCATCAACTTTCTAAATTAGTTACATAGAAAATACATGATAGGTGACAAAGTCTGTGTATTATTTGTAATTATGCTATCCCACTACAATGATAGTTCTGATGTTTTTTAATTGAAAATATTGAATAGATTCCAGGACGTGAACATTCCCTTGGTACAGCTTATGAAGTTTATCCTCCAAAACACTGAAGAGAAATGCTGAGTTGTGCATTTACTATGGTGTAATTAATTATATTTTTTGGATATTTAAAATGTAAATAATACGTAATAGGTTCATGGTGAATCACATTCCAAGATTCGGATTTAAATACATGAGTGACAGCACCTTTCTCAATGAAGAGCATCTCTAAATATAGAAGGCAGCATTAGACTTTGCAAAAGAGAAGATGTTGCCATATTCAGCTGAATGGGATAAGAAACATCATTTTCCTAAGGATGTCTTACGTGAGTTAGCAGCAATGGGATTCTCAACAATATATGTAAAATAGGAATCAGGTAAAGTGTTAGAAAATGATGATAAGGTGGTGTTGGTTTGGATCGATTAACAGCAAGTGTAATCTTTGAGGCTCTATCATATGGAGATGTAACAACAACAGCATATTTAACAATTCAAAACATGTGTGCATACATGGTGGATTAATTTGGTAATGAAGAATAGAAAAAGACATGGATTCCTCGTTTTGGTACATTTGATGCATTTGCCTCATACTGTTTAACTGAACCCAATAGTGGCAGTGATAGCAAGAACATGAAGACATTTGCAAAGAAAGTATAATTGATATCGAAATATAGGATGGAAATGATTATGTAATTAATGGATCTAAATGTTTTATTTCTGGAGGTTCTGTAAGTGATGTCTATTTGGTAATGTGTAAAACATCAGAGAAAGATGTATCATGCATCTTGGTTGAAAAAGGAACTCCAGGATTGTCATTTGGTAAACTCGAAGACAAAATGGGATGGAATGCTTCACCTACAGCCATGGTACTTTTTGATAATGTACGTGTTCCTCAATCCAATCTTCTTGGAAAAGAAGGTAATGGATTTAAAATGGCAATGAGTGCATTGGATGGAGGCAGAATTAACATAGCATCTTGTTCTCTTGGAGGTGCATCATTTGCTTTTGATTTAACCAAAGATTATTTGCATGGTATCAAATAATTACTACTAATTGTCAAGATCGTAAATAATTTGGATAACCACTCGCTGCATTTTAAGGTTTACAATTTAAATTTGCTGATATGGCCACCAATCTTGTTACTTCTAGATTGATTGTAAGATAGGCTGCTCAAATGATTGACAACAGTCATCCTGATAAAACCTTGTATTCTGCTATGGCAAAGAGATATGCTACTGACAGTTGTTTCAATTTGGCCAATGAAGCCTTGCAACTCCATGGAGGTTACGGATATTTGAGAGAATATCAAGTTGAAAGGTGAGGATTTGTATTATATCAATAGAATTGTTAGAGATCTAAGAGTGCATCAAATACTGGAAGGTACCAATGAAATAATGAAAGTGATCATTTCTAGGAATCTGTTAAAATGATTTAATAATACAAACAATTATTAATTAGTTAATCAAATTAATCAAGTTCAATCATTCTTCCAACCAATTCACTCTCCTTCCTTAATCCCAAATTCCATTTTTCATCTTACCATCAGGTAACACGTACTTTCCTCTGCCATGTTATTTACCATCCTACCAATCACCATCATAATATCTCCCATCTGGCCAAGTATATTTGCCTATCCCTTGCTTTTTGTCATCCACATACTAACCTTGATAAGATCTCCCATCTGACCATTGATAGTATCCCATCCCATGCATCTTATTGTCCTTCCATTATCCCTTGTAGATTCTTCCATCTGCCCAATAGTACTCTCCCTTAATGGATATCATTTAATTTAAATACATAACCATTGATTCTATTGTCAACCCAATCTCCTTCATAATAGCTACCATCTGGCCAAGTGTACTTGCCTTTTCCTTATTTTTTCCCTTCATAATAATCCCCTTAATAACTGGATTAATCAATCCCTAAATTAAATATTGCTTCAATACATTTCTCCTCGCCTTTCCCATGTTGCAAATCATTCTTCCAATAGCCTTCATAAATAGCTCCATTATTCTGTTTGTAAATTCCATAACCATTTGCTCTATCATCTGCCCATTCTCCTATATAAGCATCCCCATCCACATGATAAAATGATCCTTTCCCACAGGCCTTATTATCGACCCATTCCCCGTCGTATCTAGCACTGTCGGGCCATATTTAGACTCCTCTACCGTCTCTTTTATTTCCGATCCATTCACCCTCATATGTAGCTCCACTCTTAAATACAAACAAAGGACGCTTTTCACGTGTTTTTTAATTAGTTGAGTTGCTGACTATATAGTTAGAGTAACTTGATTACCTCCAAACTCCTGACAATTGAAATATTAAACATTCTTTTTTTTGTCTTTACTTGCTATTGTTACTTAATCGCACTGTTATTCTTGATTCCTATCCTCCTCTTTTTAATTCTTCTCCGAAAGGGATTTCTTCACTTCTTAGTAATTCTACCTAGCTTTGTGTCCCTTCCAAATTTTTTATATTACAACGGCCTTCTGATTCAAATTCTTATCATCCTTTATGTCTTTTTCCTGATCCTCTGCAAACACTGAAAACTTAGTATTCTTCTGTTCGGTTGGTGCACACTTAATCTATTTAAAATCATTCTAAAGTTGATAATATTCAATACCACATCTAATTGACTATTTTATGATTGTTATGAAACCGAAGACAATACTCTTCTTTAACTATCAGATTTTTTAGTCACTTCGATTTCGTTGATTATCTCCAACCTATCCTTCTAACATTAATTGCAATTCGAACAATTTCCTCCCATCCTAACTAATTATTTATAATTTTTATAATTAGATCTCTTGGATATCTATCTCAATATTGATTAGTTATAAAAATATAGACGATTCATAATAAATTACAATCTTTCAATATATTTCATCAGAATCGCTAACCTTATATCAAACATATAATTAATTGTCATAATATTAAATTTTTGGATTTTGGAATTGCTCAATAAAATGGGAAATATTTGTAATAAGGAACCTGCTGTTGCTGGAATTGTTGACAATGTTCCAGCCTATTATAATAGAGGCATTAACTTCAGATCAAATTATGTCACTTTTGATAACAGATAAGTGTATACTGGAGTGAGGTTTTACACTATCCATTATTACTTTAGATTCCAATGTGTAGAATTTGCAAGACGATACCTTATCTAAACCAAAGGAGTTGTCTTCGGTGATGTTGGTTGTGCCTATCATATCTTTGATCTCAACACTGTCACAGACCTAGTGACCTAGTAACAGAGACAATTTTAATCAATCCCACAAGGAAGTTCCATTCCTCCTAAAAAAGGGGATCTCGTCATTTATTAAAAAAGTGGCAAATAATGGTGGGGACACGTTGCTGTTGTTACGAATGTCGATGGAAACCTCATTGATTTGGCCGAATAGAACTATGATGAAGATTGGGATTCTCAAAGCTATGCTAGATAAGTCCTCTTAAAAAAAGAAGGCGACAAATATTTCCTAACAAATATCCGACAATATAAGCCACATGCTTGGGATTTGAATGAAGTTATTATTGGATGGAAGAGAGCTACTTGATTGTTAAAATATTATTTAATGTTTTACAGTTGCATAAATGAGCATTATTAATTCCCAATTCAATTAATAATTATGATCCATCCTACTATCATATAATTAAATTACTTATAGATTAAATTAAAGTTAATGTTTTCAATTTCAAAATTTAAGCACTTAAGGGAATTGATATCACAATTAGATAACTTGTAATAAGACCCTTATATTGTTTTCAATATTTTAGACATAATCAACATTGATATTTAAAAAGAAATTGTATTTGCTAATTGTCTCACTAATTATTATGATAATAATCTTAACAATTTTATCAATATCAATTATTTTTGTAAAATTATTATTTCCAATTAATTCAAGTTGACTTTTTAAAATTTGAACTATAATTACAATTTATATATTATTTTAACCAAAACTAAAAGGTTCATCTTATTCACTTTTTGGAGATATTTTTTATTGAGTATTTTCTTACTAACACTCTCCCATCATAATAAGACAGGTTGTATTAGAATTACGAATAGAACATACTAAAAAAGCAAATTTTGTTATGTAAAAAATGAGGATTAATTACATGAAAGTAAAATAGGATCAAGAAAGTATTACATAATTTAGATTTTTTTAAAATTCTAAAATCAATTAGATATAATTTTGTATTATAAGTTTCCACATATTGTGAAATTAAATATAATCATTTATTATTGAAGTTAATACTACTTTTTGGTTAAAACGTAAGAGGGTTGCCTGTACTTTTTTGGAAAATCCCTATCCCTTCCATCTATTTTGGTGGTTGTTATATATATGGATTATAACACTTTTTTTTTATTTCTAATAAGAATTTATTTAATGGATATTTTCTCAGTGCTTAATCGACATATGCAAGAGCTTCGTTTTAATTACCATGTAATCGTAAACTGCCAGCTAATATATTAAAAGAGATTTGTGTACCTTTTACTATTAATGCCTACAAATTCATTGGTTCAACATTTAATACTTATTCAGCACATAAAATAGCATCACCATAGTTTCCAATGTTGTATAAGCTTTAAACTAATAGGTTTACAGATTTGGCTACATTTTATTATTAAGGAGCAAATATTCATTGATTCTATTTAGAGTGCCCTGTCAGCCCAATTAATGGCCTCCTCATAATCTTTAAGCGATTTTAAGCATTCAGCTATTAAATTTATAAGGATTGTCTACCTTTAATAATTATGCATTGCAAATTGTTTGAATCTATAAAAAGAACCTTATCAGCGAATTGAATCGCTTCTTCGAATTTTCCAAGCCCTTTTAAGATTTCAACTAACATTTTTTAAAATCGCATACCTTTTGTCTAGAGTAATTAGGGGTTTTTTGGGTCTTATTAGAGTGCTTGATCAGCCTTTATGTTGGCTTCACTAAAATATTTGAGCATTTTTAAGAATTCAGCTAAAAATATAGATATCATTTTTTTACCTGTTAAGTGCAAACGTTGAACATCGTCATATAAATTGATTGGTATTAATTTTTTCAAATTTTCCATTGCTTCATTAAATTTAGGGTTATTATAATATACGATTTATCTGATTTAGTCTAAAATATAAAAATATTTTTAATACTATTTTAATGTGGTTCATCTACTTATTTAATTTGTTAATAATCTTATTTTTCTATATTTATATTCTCTAAGCCAAATACACTACCGCATTTATTTATTGATTCACATAAAACTATGGATTTATTATTTATGTCTTGTAGAATGTTCAGAGAAAAATTTTTATATTGGAATATTTAATTAACTGCAGAACTCACTTATTTTGGGTCAATTTTACACAATTCTGAATTTGTTAATAGAAATTTATTCTTCAAACCTTATTCTAATAAGGAAAATGATTTAGTAATATAAGCAAAGATTTAGTGTAATTGTTATATGATTTCTTCAATTTATAGCCTATTATTTTCTATATAATCAAACAAATCAGCAATCCTTTTTTAATCTCCTGAATGAATATTGTGATCGCCATTTCTTACGCATTCAAAACAAAAAATTCTACTTTTTTTACAAAATTAATTGAAGCAAGTAAATTCTGCTTAACAATCATGCATTGGACACTTTAATATTATTTCCTATTATTATTTCATATAATTAATATTATTATTCTAAATTCTATAATAAATTACATAGTGTTTATCTAAAAATAATTAGATCAATTCCTTGTTTAAGAAATATAAAAAATTCTTTCAAGAACTAAAATTGTAAAAGAAACTATTCATTCTCCAATATATTTTATATTTTCAATATTTAACATATTAAAAAGATCATCATAACTACAATAAATAGGTAAATAGAATAATAACTCATTTATAAATATAGGTTTATCAAAAATGTCAGAGATTTTAAATTAAATATTCAACAATATTTAGTTTTTTACTACAATGCTTATAACATTATTCTAGAATTATAATACTAGAAATTAAAGTTAGTGTCTTGATAACTTAATAAGTGTAGATGTTAATTAAAATACTGAAATTATAATAGCATATATATTATTCAATTTATTATAACAATTTTTAAATTATCAAATATTCGAATTCCTATATGATAATATATTTAGAATATTCATAACTAAATCTGATTATTACATCATATGATCAAATAGTTTAAATATGTTTACTAATTATTTCCGAAAATTGCTTTTATCTCCTAGAAATAAAGTGGCCACAGGGACATATATAAATAATTTTATTAGCTGAATTACTAAATAATTTAAGATTAGAGTAAGTTGAGTTATTTAGTAAATGAATAAATTGAAACCAAATTATGACATCATCAAAAACTTGTCTAATTGTATAATTAATAAGAGTAAAATTTATCAAAGCATTGATATTATATAAGATTTTTTAAGAAAAAATAACTAAAGTATTCAAAAAATTATATTTTAAAAATTTTGAAAATAAGAAAGCTAATCTTGATTTATTCCATGGGTAGATCTATTAATATGAATTCAAGATAAGGTCAGATTTTAATAGTTTTCAGTAATTTAACTGTAAAAACATTTTTAATATTAGAATACAAACTGATACTAAAAATCTGATAAAATAAAATTAATCAAAAATAAATAATTCTTTTACTTTGAAATACCAGTAAATTCATAATAGTTTTATCATTCTTTAATTTCGGTTTAATTATTTATTAATTTACTAAACTATAATTGTGATAGAGAAATTATCCTCATCTTATTTAAATGTGATCAAGTTTATATCCATATTTATTCACTAGCGAAATAATTAATTTTCAGAATACAAACAATAATCGCCTAGTATTCTGTAGTTTAGTTCAACAATACTAATAAGAATTATGGCGAATAAATTCTTTTTAGTTATCTTAAATATTTGGAGACTCAAAATTGTAATTTAAATAAATTATTCTAACCAAGTAAGATTAGCAAGGGAACTACATTAGTTTTTAATAGAAATCTAGCAACTCGAATAATATTAAATTTATTACTAATTCGATGACATAATCTCTATTAAAATATAGAAATCTCATTTGTTATAATTTTCTTTATAATACATTTTAAATAAATAAAACTTCATTAGTAATTATTATGTAATGCATTGAAGATTTACAATCAGATTCTCATAAAACAACTGAATTCAATAAAGCTATGATCATAGAAGAAGGAAGGTAGAAATTATTAGAATCTTTAGAATATCTAATTAAAATCAACACCTAAAAGGTAGAATCGTTATAAATTGAAATAATTTCTTTGAAGTCTAGTCTTATATAAAAATTAGATCAAATACTTGATATAACTAAGGATTGGATATCAAATTAATAAAAATAAAACATTGCATAAAGTTTCTTAAAAGAGATAGATCTAATAATAAAGAATTAATAATTTCAAGATGATCATATTATATTAGGGAATTCCATTATTTTTTTGAATAAAGGTTGGATACATAAAATTACTAAAAATTTGGAACTATTCAAAACATTTTCAGAATACCAAAATTGTAATCAAATTTTAAGTAATCTGGGTGGATTGCAATCTTAATAAAGCACATTTTAATTAGAATTTATTGATGATTCTATCTAATAAAAAGAAGCATGCAGAGCAATAGTATTCGATCCAAAAGGAAAGAAAATGGTATCAACAAGTGGAAAGGAGATTAAAATCTGGAATTTTGAGAATGGAAAAATCAAATTGGTTCAATCACTTTAAGAACATGAAGAACTTGTTAATTGTTTAGTTTTTAGCTAAAAACAAGATTATTTTATTTCTGGATCTTCTGATAAATCTATTAGATTGTGGAAATAATCGAATAACAAGTGGTAAAGTTCTAAAAAATATAATGATCATAAAGGAATGATTTAATGTTTAATTTTAACATAAAAAGAAGACTAATTAATATCATGTTGTAAAGAAAAATTAATTAAAATTTGGATTGTAGATTTTAGTAGTGATCAATTGAAACCTCAATATTCTTTAGAGAAACATAATGGTATTGTATATTCTTTAAGTTTAAATGAATCAGAGTCAGTTTTGGTTTCGTGTGGATCTGATTCAATTATTATGTGGGATAAAGGGAAAAATAATAAATGGAAGTTTTTTCAGGTTTTTAAGCAAACACAATAAGAAATTGGATGTCATGTTAAGTTTTTAAAGGAAGATCAATTCATTTGGTTACCAGAGAGAAGTAATCATTTATGTGTATTTGAATAATACAAAGATGGTGAATTTCAAGAGAATTAAAAGAAGAGGGTTTGCTTTTCAAAAACTTCAGGTTATTTGAATGAGTTTAACTTCCCAATTATTTATAATAAAGATTAAAATCTTATATTTTTGAGACACAAAATGCATATTTGCATACTAAAAGTGCAGAATGATGGATATTTATCTATAGTTTAAGAATTTGATTGTAAACATTGGTGTATATATGGAACAATAACAAACAATGGATAATATTTAACATTTTGGGGAGGAGGAAAAAATAATTATGAAACTTATAAAATATAAAGGTAATGAAATACTTTTATGGTTTTAATTATTCTTAGAATTTGGAGGATAATCCATAAGCATCCTCTTTTTTTTAATAAAAGTAGTTAACTTCTCTCCAAAATCTAAAGTAATTATCTTCAATTTTATATGAAGCAACGTTTTATTTAGTAATTATTCACTATCATTTTAAATTATATGCTTTTAATAAATTTTAATCTTGCTCACACTTGTTTTCTAAATGGAATTCCCTTCATTCTTATTACTTCAACTAGAAGGTTAAAATTAATATTACAGTATTGGCTTACAAATTTTTTATTTTATAATTTCTTTATATAAATATTTCAATATGCCTCCTCATAAATTTATTACTGATTTAGTTTTTGATATTTGAGCCTTGATGTTCAAATTAATACTTATTTAAAACTTAGATTGTCCACATCCTTAATTAATAAATATTATCAATTAAATGGATTAAAATAAGCTTGATATATAAAAAGAAGATAAATAATAAAGATTAATGATGTTGTTAGAAAAGATAGAGTGGCAAATGGAGGATTTTAAAGGGTAAAATGAAGATAATGTAATTATGTTAATTGGAAAAACACGATGTGGAAAAAGCCCAATTTATAATTCTTATGTGGAGCTCCATTTTATATCAGTTAAGATGAACAAGGCAGAATAACTCTTGAACTTCTTTCAAAATAAAATATATTCCAAGAAATAAGATAAGGATTAAATTCAAAAACTAATAACCCTAAGATATAAAATCGTATGGATTATTGTAAAAACCCTCTCTAAAATGAAAGTATAACTCTGTTTGATGGTTAATTTTGGGAAACTGTATAATTACCTATTGTCAATAATAACTCAACTACTGATTCTTAAACTCATTAATTGTATATTTATAATGCATCAAAAACAAAAAACTTTGAAAATTAATTATGGGCGTTGCAATCAACTTAATGTGCTTTCACAAGATAAAATTCTGTTGAATGTTATTATATAAGCCTGAGTTTATTTACCAAATTAGTTAATATTATTTTGAAAAAAATACATATGAAGAATTACAGAATCTTGTATAGTCAGCAAGACAAAAGAGGCCAGTTAAGTGTTCTCAAAATTTGATTTAAACAAGCATATTTAAGTGATATTAAATTAAAAATCTCATTTTCTAATTAGGTTTTTTTTAATGCTTATTTTAAATTGCTTGAAATATCTACCCGTAATTTAGAATTTGTGGAATCAAACAAAAAAAGAAAATTCCTAATGAACCCTTTCATTACTAATGTAACTTTAGGTTAACAATACTAAAAATATGGACAAACAATGGCTCTATTCATAAATCAATAATAGTATAAATCTTTGATATATTGATTAATAGAATGCAGTTTTTGGTAAGTAGTTCTGATAGAATACTAAAAATGATTAAACAAATGTGTTTTTAATAAATAAAAATAAATAATATTCTATCGTAATAATTAAATTAATATGTAAAGTCCAAGTTAAATTTTTAAAGAATAAAGTGCTCTCAGGTCCAAAAGTGAGTTAGTTTAAAGAAAGTAAAGCAATGAAAATAATTTTGCCATCATATAATATAATATCTAAAGCGAAATTAGACTCAAGAATAAACATTCAATAAAAGATCAAATAGAATTTTTACAATCAGAAATTACAGCTTTAGATTAAATAACAGATTAATTAAGTGAGGAACAGAGAAAATATAGAAAGAGCAGATTGAAATTAAAATTAATGTAAGTTTTGAGACAAAGTGAGCATGTTTCAACATTATCAATAAATCATATAGGTTAAAAAATTGAAAAAGAGAATAAAGAACTTATGCTTTATGTGTTAAAAGAAGCTTTAGCAAGAGATTAAAACAGAGAATTATTTATGACTGATGGGATACACTCTTGCGGATTTGATTCGATAATAGGAGCCTTTGGTTAAGATTAAGAATGTCTAAGATTCAGAACAACTTAAGTAGAATATGAATAATTAAAATCTGATTGTATGTTAAGGGAAGAATATTTATTAAATTTTCAGGAAAAAGTTTCAAAAATTTTTAAGGTTAGTCCATCGGATGTTTAAATTTTAGATATAACTGAAGGTAGCAGCATAATTTCATTCAAAATTTAGAGTAAAGCTGACTTAATAAATGAACCAGAGTCAATGGAGTTTTTAGAAAAAACATGTAATGGAAAAGTTGATATTTATAATTATTTTTTTGAAAGTAAACATAACAAATCACGCCAGATAGGATTAAGCAGTAAAGATTTTGATAGTAGGTATAATATGGTTTGGGATGGTCTTCGAGAATGTCAATAGAGAGGACCTCTAAATTAACGTTATGATTATTATTTTCCTAAAGGGTGCTATGGTTTTGGTTTAGATATTACCAAATATGGAATTGATTAAAATTGGATTTAAATGGATGGTAACAAAGATGAATGGAGAATATTGTTCCACGGAACAAAGAATGAGAATGTAAATGATATCATAGTGTCTTCTTTAAAAGAAGGATGGAGGAGTTTATATGAAGACGACCTATGTAAAGATGAATTTGGAAATAATGTTCCTGTTGGAAAAGGAATATACTTCTCTGATAAGTTCACTGTTTGTGTTGATAAAGGTTATGCTAAACCTATTCAAGTAAACAATAAGTCTTTCTCTGCCATCTTTATGACAAGAGTTAATCCGAAAAAAATCAGATAATCTGATCGCATGAAATAAGAGCGCTATTTTTTAGTAAATAGAAGTGCAGATGTTAGATAATATAGAGTCCTAATATATGAGAATAAGTGATATAATTATCATAAATTATAAATATAATTAGGATACTATTTAATTTAATTCTGTATTAATATTAATTACTTCTTTTATCAATTATTAGACGTCTAAAAATACGCTAAGGATTTATATAGAAAACTATGTTATTATATGGCTAATTTTTAGATATTTTTTTTTTATGGGCATCGTAATGAAGAAATATGAACTATCCAAAATAATTTGTTGGGGGTTACTTATTTAACATTAAGATATTAATTCAAGAAGTAGGTGTCATTTTAATTTGATGAATTTACAGCAGAATATATTAAAAAAGATGGTTAATTTCCTATTATAAACAGAATTATCCTTTTAATATATCTCTAAATGAAACAAAAATCTTAATATGTAACTTTATACTATTTGTTTACGACAATATCAAATAATTGAAATAAAAAACAATGTAATGATTTTAGGATCAAGATTATCTTACTTCTTACAAACTCTAATACATCATATGTGGGGAAAGTTTTAGGAAACCTCTTCAACCTCGATATCAGAAACTTTGGTAGGCAATAATTTATAAGG